ATATTCACCTTCCTAAAATAGATAAGTACAATTTCCACCTACGAGCAGGTAAAATAAGTCGATAGGGGTAAATCCAAGATAATCTCTAAGTACTGGCATGGAGCCATGCATACAAACGATGTAAACAGTATAAACCATACGAGAATAAACATAATCGTATCAGCTTTGCTAAATAAGTGGTATATTTTCTAGTAAATTTAAAGTTAATAGGTCTGTGGATCCGGTAACCCGATGGACTGGCCGACACGATAGGCATATATTGATGGCAAAGCTTATATATCATACATCGATATAGGACATTTGGAGGCCCTGCAGCCGGCCCAAGAATGACCGACGTCAGTTGTATCGTTACACGTTTTACCATTAATGTGATGACAAAGATAAATGTCCATATAAGAATTATTTCAGCTGTCATAGCATCAGTTACCAAACCTTCGTAAGCATAGCTACAAAACTGTAACAGCGCTCAATAAGGCAATCGTCCTCTCTCGCCAGTTAACTGGACTGTAATTGCTTTTCGCACAAGCGCCGACTATTGCCGACTACGCACACATTTTACATATACCCTTTTACATTTGCTACGGACCAGTCATCGCATATTTAGATTGTGTTTACCTTTAAAATGGTGTATATTTTCTTTACTATATGTTTACGCCACAGTGTACATGTATACTAATTAGATTATAATTCCTCTATTAAAGGCTGAAATCTCAACGTTGTTTCCGGTTGCAATATCGACTGCGGTCTATATATATGTACACCATTTTTATTTTAAGGTGGATATTAAAGGAAAATTAGGTTTTTCTCAAATCAAATCAAGTATTTCAATAGGATTTGCTTCAAAAGGTGGGTGATTTAGAGCGGAACTGACACGTGTAGGTATGCACTGTTTTTTGCCTGTGTGTTTTTTGTACAAAGCTAATGAATGCATTGTGATTGATACACTACCACTACAGAGCCTTTTCCCCAAAAAAAAGGCCGGTAGATTCGTTGCAGATCTTTAACATGCTTAATAGATTGACCTAAACAGTAATTACTGAGATAAATAACGACTACGAAATAAAAGTACCACTTTAGTTATTTTATGAAGCCCGTTCGAGTTATTGCATATATATATATATATATATATATATATATATATATATATTTTTTTTTTTTTTTTGTGTATGTGTAAACATTTAACGTCATATAAAACATGACCATTGGTTTCATCTCTCTTCACCTCCTATTTCGGCAACATACTCAGTTCACACTGATTGACACGGGTGAGGAACACAGTACTTATTTTTTTTTCTTAACGTTGCATTATTCTAAACCCTATTCTACTCTCTTTTTTGTCTTTATTATAGAATACAAGTGCTATATTCCTCTTCGTCCTGCGAGTCCCGCCAGGACTCTTCATATTCTTCATTAGCCTCATCGTTCTCGAGGTCGTCTTCACTCCTGGAATGCCCATTGGCTCCAAATGGAAGCCGGACAGAAGACTTCCCCGCCATCAATAGAAATCGTCTGGATCCCATTGGTATCGTTCTTGATGAGTTATTCGAACATCTCGGAAACTTTTGCGACCATTCTACCTTCGAGTTCCTCGCTGTGGCGACAACGACACATCGATCGAGGAGGCATGTATCCTCCTCAGCCCACCAGCCCTAGCTTGAGGATGTCGAACTATCCGGACCTGTGAGAAAAACCAAGGCAGTAAACTGACAATAAGAGAACGTTTCGCAAGCAGATAAACAGTAACTTTACTAGTTTTTCTACAGAATGCCTGCAAAAAAATGCTTTATGAGAGGGAGAATAATCTTTTTAAGCGGTGTCGATAAACTGTGACAATTAATATCGACTATCTACCAAGATGGTTTCCCGTCCATAGATTACATCGCCTACTTTCCAATTCAGCTGATTTACAGGCAAGAACTACATGTTACAATGTATTGCAAAAAGGTTCTACTTGATTCGGGCAACTGTTTTTACAACGAGAGTAATGAAATTTCCCCAATATTAAAAGCGGTCTGATGCATGTACTAACTAAATCTATTGAGTATAAAAACGTACTACTATTTCATAGCAACTGGGGCAGGATATCAAGCTATCATGCACTGGATCGGTCTATAGAATAATATTTTGCTACAGGCACAGCATCACAGAAAATATATAGTAGGATCATATCACGATGATAAGATAAGAGCCGCGATGCATAGATCAATAATATAGTAGTATGTAACTAATATATATATTAGAGTAATGGGTGATTGATAGCAGAAGGACAATCATAGCAGAACATACCTCTCATGCTTGGGTACTGGGTGGTGTGCAATGGCAGACGCAACCGGTATAACAGTGAATCCAACTCATTTTTCGCCCAAGTCGGTATGACCACTGTGAAACTAATGAGTGGTTGGCCGACTACTACTCCATTAAGCAGTTCGGTCAAAAGGGCCGTCCCTTCCACTTAAAATAATATACTCAGCCTCTTTTCTCTCAGACAGTATTGCAGATTCGTTGAAGAGGTACACATGTAGATTTTGATTTTGTCTATCGTTTCTCGCTATTAAAATCCCCATTTATCATCATGAATTACAGGCACATGCGGGATGGCAGATGATATACGGAAGCGGATTTTGTTAAATTATTATAACTAAACGATGCTTTAGAGTTTGTTAAGTTCCACCTGGTCCCGCCGGAGCTCAATTTCAGCATCTAAAAACACGTGATGGCAGGGGCGTCGGATATAAGTCTTCTTTATCTGTCCGTGTCTTTCTTTGTAATTTTCACTATCTTCAACACAGATTATCATCACGACCACGATAATCCCTAGCTCCGCGCCGATCTCCATAGGTCACTGTGGACGTGGTTACACCAGCAGAACAATGGGACAGAATAATCAAATTACAAAAAGCTAAGGCGAAACAAGCACACTCCTTTTTTGCAAACATACATTCAGCGTCACGAGATATCACATCGGTCACATCGCAATGAATGATGACTAAAGAATTAAAAAGCATCATGTGAAAATACGGGACACAGCGTCTCAGCCTTAGGTACGGCCGTAGTTAATTTCGTTTAAGTAGAGCTCAAAAACACGACAAGCAAGAAAGATAACAATATTTTTGAGGTGAATGCTAATCGTTGACTAAAATAGGTTCGACGACATTAAGTTTATACTCGTTCAAAACGTTGAACCCAAACAAGTAATAAAATGATTTTTTTGAAAACGTCAATTCTTATATAGTAGTTCCAAGGTTAGCCACGCGCGCAGTTAGCTTATTCATTTAGGGATACTCGAAGGCACACTGCTGTACATCCAGAACGAAAAAGTCATCTATTATATATAATAAGATGCACTTTTCCTTTTTCCCAATAGACTGACGCAGCCGTTAGTTAGCAGCAGACGACCCGTCACCGGATTAATATGATACGAGCGAGTAACGGAAAATTCTGCTAGTGAACAACTTATAATAATAGTGTTAAAACCGGACGATAATTGTATTGGGACTGTATGAATTATATAGTTTTGAACGTATTTCATTAATTCGAATCGTTTTGGAAAGGACAGAGTGCTACCGGCCTCCAATTGAGCATTCTATTTTCACAACACGGCAAGTGAAACAGCCCAATACAAGAATCTGTACCGCTTAAATTTATATGTAGAATATAATAAAACATAATATCTTACCCTCCTTCGCTGGAGAGAAGCGCTACCGTATCTGTGAAAAATGGAAGGGGACAGTTGATCAACGAAAACAGAACTCGTACCTTACATACGCGCCTATAATAGGAATAACTACGAAGAGGACATTCCCAGTCGTACGATTGCAAAGCTGGTGTCGTCCAACCTTAAACATGGGGATCAAACATAGGGTCCTTTTCTACTTATCAAATATGTTCTATGAACAATGAGTTCCTTTGAAAGGTGTGTCTTTTTAGCATACACGGTGATGCTAGTAATAGTCATCATAATTAGTACGTTGTGTATCCCTCAGTAGGTTTCTTTACGCGGTTGAATCTTGATTTGCAAACGTTGCGTCAAACACTGGATTTCACCTTGTGCTTGCTTTTTGTCTGACTTAGGCTGGAGCGTTTTAATACTGTCTCTAAACCGAAACAAATATTTCGACAATTTTTTTTTCGATAAACTAGAAGTGTGACTCCTGAGGGTGATGTGTGTGCAACACCAGTACTACCCATCGCAATCACAGCTTTAATTCCGGACCTAAACCGCCGAAGGGTCGTTTTCAACATATTTCCTTCCTAATCCGTAAATAACTTTTTGATAGTAACTGTGCGATAAGTGATATTGGTAGACGTTAAAGTGTTGTCCAAATATGCTACGTATGACAAGTTTCAACCAATGCTAATTCTTAAAATATAGCAGGCCAAAAGTCCAAAAAATGCAAGAGATTAAAACGGCCAAAAAGTTCTTTAGGCGCAAAAAGAAAACTCATCGTCAGAGCTTTTCTAAGCAACCCGATTGGCATTTTATATTCTCCGAACGGCCGTTCAGTTTCATCTCAATATCCCATGTGTATCAAGAATAACTTAATAGTCAATTTCAATGAATTTTCAAGTTTTTCTTTCAAATATACATTCTACTAAGGATTTTCTAATTTATCTTAAGCCTATAAATTTTCGGATTTCTCAGAAGTCGCACAAAAAATAGCAATAGCAAATACTGTCGATTTAGAGGAAAAAGGAGCTTCCTAATTTCAATAGGGGGGTTTGTCCAGCGCGGAAATATTGGAGAATAGCCGATTTTCACTCAAGTTCCGAAAACAACGCATTATTATTCGCCATGATGAATTTTTGTTTAATTTTTGAAAAAATTAACTTCCGTCCGGTACCACGACTTATGGATGAACACATAGCCAAAATATTTCCCAAATTTATCGCATCACCCTATATATATATATATATATATATATATATATATATATATATATATATAGAACAATACCAATCGTAGTTCTATTTAATATACCCAGAAAGACTTAATTTTATAGTACTGTCACAGGGCCCTAAACCTGTCTATTTATTATTTTATCATAGAGAACCAACTCTTTTGGAAATTTATAAATTCCAACTTACTACATTGTTATATGTTGTGAAGCATTACCCAATGACCAGGCACTAGTCAAGTGTGATATTATAGTGCGATGTTATGTGTTAACGATATTCAAGTTCAGTAGTTATCGCTAACATCACCAAGTAACTACGCTTACCGTCTTCATCAATGTAGTTTTGAAACGTATGATAACGAATAGAGTTCAGGCAACCTTACGCGACCCTCTAACTTTAACAATGTATTTATCACAGATCAGAGGCTAAGTTATTAAACTAACAGTTCTAATGGGTTAGTGAATGAACTTCAAAATTCCGTATTCATATAGTAAAACGACGTAGTCATCAAAACTATTAATTAAACAAAATAGAGCTTTGTTTTATTCGGGCTTAGGTGTTATCTCCCGTGCGTAGAAACGTCATGTGATAGTGTTAAGGAACCCTTCCACGGATCTCCCGTTCGTGAGCTTCATCAGAAGTCCACGTTTTACAATGGTGCTGCCTTTACCGCTATCTTAAGTAAGAGACAGCAAAATCATTGGTCGTCACAACAAAGTACATTCTATCCGTTCTGTAACGCAGCCTGTCGCACAGCATATAGTACTCGGAAGCGATGTTCGCCCGTCGAAGATCGAGGAGACGCTATTTGAGTGACGACGCTACCGCTAAGTGAATTCCCCATACTTCCTCCCGAGTCGAGTCCTACCGACTGATCGGCTTATGTACGAAGTTGCCAACAAGGGATTTTTCACGATTTGATAACGATGCGAGGATAAAGCACACGCCCATAAAAGACACGACATGCAAATAAACACACAGAGAGACATATAGAAGAGACGAGATGCGTAATTCAAAGTGGATCCTATTTCTGGGGCCTCTTGAGGGGAATGAAAGAACAAGAGAAGTTGATTTGAGGAACAAACCATTTACCTTTCTCTTTGTATATAGTTAGAATCGGTACAAAAAAAACACTGATGCGTTCTTGATACTCAAATTGAGACGCAAATAATTTTGACCACTTACGTGAGCTTAGCACCTTCAAATACATTTATTACATAAAAACAATCTGCATTATGACTGGTACGTAATTCAACAACAACTTCGTTTAGCAAAGAACGATATACTAAGTATCTTTCTGGATCAGCTCAGCCCATTACGCGTATCATACGGCACTGCTGATAAATAGATTTAATCGTAAAGTGGACACCCCTTCACTAGATTATGCATCTGCGTTTGACGATCAGGTCGCCATCCTCTGCTTCTCAGATGAACACCAGTCAAACTAAAAAGACGGTACAGTATTATACTGAACACAAAGCGATCAGCAACGCTCCACTAATAACGTATTTACGGCTTCTTCGAGGTACGAACTACGCATTGTCAACATCGCACACGATGGCGAAAAACTACCACTCCCGACTGAAGAAAAAGAAATCATGACTCCTAACCTATTGGGCCATTGTCACCTGTCATTGTGCAAGCTTTGTATTGTATAGCCTTTATCCCTTTTAAACGACCTAATAACAACCACAAATTCAAGAAGGCATGTAAAGGGAATTTTACCTTAAGATCAGAACTCTCTTGCTCTTGGGCTCATGCGCGACATCCCTAGATGCTGACGCCTCTTGTGCCCCAATGCGTAACATTTCTCGCAGAGCTGCCTTTAATCCATTGTCGTTCATTTGGCATTAGCACCCGAACTTTTCCTTTACCGTTTTCTACGGCGGTTACTCCTAATAATGAACCTTATTAGCGACAGTACGCACTAGCCGTATCGTTTCCACGGCAAGGTATACATTGTCCTTATTTACCAGAAGTCGTCACCAAGCATTAGGCAGAGTGCTACGATATAAAAGCGATAGGTCGATCCCGTTAGATTGGCCTGCTTGAATCAGGCTCATCATTTACGACTTCAGAGTACTCACTCAACTAAGCATGGGTTATACGTGCACCCTTATTTATAAGAGCTATAATATCCGTAAAACATTAAATTCCAATGCTCTGTTTTATTTCGCAATATGGAATTCCAATACTATCTCCGTAGTAAACTACAATATCCTATTTATGATAGAAACGTATTTTTCATGCGGAAGCAGAACTACGAATGGACTGACGGCAACATGCAACGTCGTTGTAGCATAGAATTTTAGGACGACGCCAGCAAAATCCTATTTGCGCTCAGGCGTACGGTCCTTTAGTTCACTAACTGTCCGACGCGTTGAATGCAGAGTTATCTTAAACACTAGGCCACGTTACTAGGCGCGCCTCAACGATTCACTCGTTGTGTGACAATGAGCGGAATGAAGCAGTTTCTATCAATGCAAGGTATATCTACAGTCTACGGGTAAGGATCATTGCAATATCGTTTTATAGACCTCAATCCAAACTTCATAAGACTTAAACTTGCTTAGAAACAAACATGGCTTGAAATAGCGGGAACTTACCGGAGTCGATCGTGTCATCACTGCTACCTCCGCTCAATCCAGTAAGTGCAATCTGTTCAGGATCATTTAACTTCAGATACTGTCCCACGCACTGGTTAAGTTTGAAACAAACGAGCAACATATATATATATATATATATATATATATATAATATATATTAGAAATACTGAACTTTTTTAGGCAGTAAGAAACAATATTTGTTATTTTGGTGTTGGCAAACAAGTGAAGTAGTAATATCTAATATGACAATCCATAGATTTGCCAAAAAAAATCCATCTCAGTTGTTTTATGTAGCGGGTCATGTTTGCCTAACACATGAGAAATTCTTATCCATTTTTTTATTACCGGCTCAAACTCGGCCGGCCCAACGATGTGATAAAAGCTAACACTTTTCCCACATAGAAGTTTTCAGAACATAAGTCACTCTTAGAACACCTACTGGTATCGACGTGAGCGCGGTGACGCCAAAAACAACGAGCAGACAACCCGCTAAGTAGAGAATGAAGCCAATATAGAAGACGACAAAAATGGCTGTAAGTACGTAGACGAACCAGTTCTGAGTCAATTTATCCGACACCAAAAAGCTAACGAAATATAAATCGATTCCGATGACAAGTATCAACAAAACCGAGGAGAATGACTTGATCACCCTGCAAATAAATAACGTGAAGGGTTATTAAGGTATCTAGGTATAGCATTAACAATCTAATAAGTACAATACGTTTTCATCTTCAAACTATAATTAATATATTCAACACTTGTTCAAAATAAAGCAACAATACTAGAGTTCTGCGTTTCGTTGTCCAATGAGCTAAATGCTAGACATTTTTTGGTAAATATTAGGCACCTACATTAACTTTTACCACTTACATATGTGTAAAGGGTGAACTTGATGTTCACCACCTTCATGTTATTTTGAAACAGAGATGACCCTTAACAACGGATAGATATTAAAAATGAGCACGATGTAAAACATGCAACTTACTTTCCGCTTTTGAAATCTCCCATTATGCCATCATGGCATACGAATGTAATACAAGGGATTAGAGCAAATGGCAACTGTAGGGACATCAGCGCATTCAGAAGGTCGTTCATGGACGATAGCTGATTAATATCGCCAATCTGTATCAAACGAAGTTCAAATGTACAGATCATAACAGAAAAAGCTAACAAAGCAGCCACCGGAAACAAAAACCAGACATCGCTCATCTACTATTCAATAATACAGCTGAAGAATAGCTTGTGATTATATTCTTATACAAAATGTGACTAGAGGCAGACTTTGTACACATACGATTCTTGAACATTTTATAAGAAACATGTAAAAATCAATTCAAGTCTTGCCGACCACACATAACTTATTCGAATAAAAGAAGCTATATATAGAAAAAAACTTTAAAGTTAGTGGCGGATGAAGACCGACCAACGAGACCAGAAGCGTTGGTCCAATGGCGATTGTTCGGGTAATAAGCACTCGAAGCCAGCGTTGAATATTGAGGTTAAGGAAGCCCTGTATAACAAAAACACAATACGGCAAAGTCATTGCTTCGTCTTGTACCAGTTAATCATTAGAACCACAGCATCTGCAAATCACTATGTCTGCTATAAAATTAAACATGCTGACATGATTTGAGCCCCACTTAGATAGATCTGTTTCACTTTATAATAGTACGTGTTTCACTCTATTATAAATGGTGATATTTCAACGAATGCAATTTAACAAACTTACCTCCATGATAAACTGGCCAGAGTAAGTCCCAGTCATTGTTGAGCTTTGGCCAGCGGCGAATATTCCAATTGCCCAGATCATCAAAGGGCCAAGACCGAACTGACATCCAAGATAGATTCCAGCCTTGTAAATGTTTATATGTACAGGTTTATCGTCCTTCTTGAAGACATCCTTCTTATACTGTAATGTTGAATTCATGCAGAGGTCATTCTGGAAAAAAGGAACAGTCAGATTAAACGTGTGGTTTCTATTTTACAAAAGTCAGTTCGTATTTTGGATATTTCCGCACAAACTGATCCTTTATATCATGGTCTTGGACAACTCTGCCTTGAAGCTAACAAGTGCGTGTAAATATTCCATAGTATAACATATACAGCAAAAGTATCTAGAATCGCTATTTCGAGCATTTTGAACCGACGTAAATCTACAGTATCTGCCACTTACGATATCCGCATTGGTTTTTCCGTAAAGGCCCTGCGCGAAGACGGATACAACAAAAATGTTAATGATGAATGAGACCAGAAGCGCAATAGAACTTTCGATGAAGTAGTATTTATTGGCCTCGGATACACTGTGCTTGTCGCGACGATCGATTTTTCGTGATTTGACCAATGCCGAATGCAGGTAGAGGTTATGGGGCATAATGACAGCCCCGATAATACCTGCGCATAAGCAAAACATTAAAGATGAGCAAAGACAACGGGATGATATTAGTGCTGTGAATATAAGCAACAAGTGCGTTTGTCTATACACGATAACTCAAACAAAAGCCAAGATAATTATAGGTATAGGAAGCACACAAAAGCTCGATCGGGAAACTATATGGCTTTAACCATATCTAATTTGAGAAAGGCTTATCCACAAATGTCATCAAGGCAAAAAACCTATTCGTTTACTATTTGATAAATGTATATATGTTTGTTTGGTATTTTCACGTTCGATACTCAGGCCGCTAGGCATTCCCTCAAAGTGGTTTTGCTGGACCTATCTGGGCTTTTTCCGACAACTTTATTAAGCAGCATCATAACAATATAACTTAGTAGTCATTTGTCAATGCCGAAATTCGAACCAGCGATGGCCGCATGTATTTAATGAATATGTATGAGGGCAAGTGACGCAGCATTACTTACCGACAGCCTGCTGAAGTACGTCGTAATTACAACTCTCACACCATGGAATGAAAAGTCCTTTGATAACCTCACTTTGAGGGGGAGCCACCGTAACATACTCGTAACCGAATGTTCCCGCCATAATTGTGATAAGTGTCAAAAACACACATTCAAGTTTCCGCAAGCCATATTTGTCCAGTAGCAAGAACGTGAACGTATCACAAATCGTGATAATCACTCCCCAGTAAACCTGGATACTGAAACACCAGGAAATTAGAAAATGTCAGCTTCTATGATCGTTCATGACTGGCAAATGTCCGCATATATTTTTCTTTTACTGGATTAAGATATTTAAAAGTTACTAGTCTATTTGATCAGCCAACTTAGTAATAAAAAATTACAACTATACACTAGAAGATTAGCTTCAGTCTTTACAATAAATAGCTTCCTATTTGCACTTGTCTAAAATACACCTGTAAACAAACCTTAATAAGCAGAGATTCATGATTGTTTGTCAAAGTTGGAATAATCGAATCAATTTATAGCAAATATTTCTGACACTACCCTCCGTCACTGATCAGGAACAAGGCGATTGATGTTCCGATAACCTCTTGCATGTCACTGCCGACTACGGCTATTTCGACGAGGATCCAGAGGAGATACCGAGGATACTTAGGGTACCTGCCCATGAATAAAGAAACAAAGAGGACATGTGAGGCAGCGATAAGAGCAGTTGATACATGAACAACTTTGCCTGCCACTCCGTGGTTCGGTTTCGCTAAAAAATGGGTTATCAACGTGATCAAAAAGGAGAACGTAAAAGGGCATCTTAAACTATATCATGTTTGTCCATTGCTAAATAGTAGAAAGTCGTTCTTTTTTATACCCCGTAAAAAAGAAAGCGGGGTTGTTTTGTGACCCACCTGAGTCGGCAAACTTCAGCGAGGTGGTGGCCACTTACGACTCCAAGGCGGGCCGCAAGACGCTGCATCATTAGGCCGAATATTGTTGCAGTAAATAGGACCCATAGCAACTGCAATCGTTCACAATTAGAACAGACGAAAATACGCTGCCTAAGCTCATGTTATGAACATACTAATCTTATGCGCTATTAGATCATAAGAAACAAATGCGCAACACGAGAAAAATCTTTTTTTTTAATAATGATAGTAATTAAGCGGCTATTGAATATGCACAAAAATAATACTATATATTATAACTATTATTAGGTTCTTTCAAGCGGGGCATGCGCTCCTCTAGATTTAAGTTACGTATAAGGTACTACTTAAAATAAGCTAGACAGGTGCAAAAAGATACTTTTCTTAAAGAATTCCAATCACGATACTTGTTAGGCCTATATAGAATGAGGCTTGCTCTAACCGTAGATACAGACTTCATAACGAATACCCAACAGAGGTAGCTGAACACGGCATACTTCTACAACATATATAATTATTGGAACTCAAGTGTTTCGCTTTAAAAATATCGCATGAACCGAAATTTGGACCCCACCTAATAATAGTACATCACACTCACTATTCGTATGTTTTTACTTCTTTTTAGTAAGAAATTCAGTGTTATCAATGAAATTGAATTAATTTTGCTCACCTTATAGCTGGCGACAGCTCCTGATTGCAGATCCGATTCGATGTTGCCCGGGTCGAGATACGCTATGGACATCAGGAAACCTGGACCTGTGAAGGCCCACAGTTTCCGCCAACTGAACCATTCCTGAAAACGAAGCAGACCACTAGTAGGGTCAATTACTAGAAAATCATATTAATCCTTAAGGTTAACGAAAGTGTTTGCCCTGCATTTTGCCATTAAAAATAAATATTGCACAGCTTCATTTGCTTTGCCACAATGTACATCACCCTCTGTCACCATTCGATCGTCATATGTGTGTTTTTTTAACATATATTCTTTCTTGTGATTCTTTAAAAACAGTCTTTTTAGACGCCCGATAACTATTCATCCATTTTATGTTTCTTGGAAAATTAGTGAGTGTCTGAGCGGTAGCAGAACATAGTTCTCTCAATAACTGAGAATTCAATAGAACAAAATCAAAAGGATACGCGAGCTGAAGAATTAACTAATCAGCCGATCTTCTTTATAATATTCCCCGCTATAGTTAGAACAGCAGATCATTTGATTCTTATTTACAGAATTGTGTTCAGATAACCCGCCTAAAAAATACAAGTGCTGTATTACCCACTATAATAGTCTTACTTGATTGAAATCATCAAAAATGAACGCCAACTATCGAAACGCAGTTCTTCAGCACATATTCTTTATGAAATTTCGAATTTTTTGAGCATTGTATCTATTTTTATTAAAAGTAAATAATAAAAAAGTAAGTTTTTAATACTAAATCCCAACTTTTCAGCACTGGAATACTTACGCTAACAGTAATTGTCAAAATTACTCAAAGACATTTTTATGTCTATCATGTAGCTGCAAATTTCTGAACTGCCCGTGCTCATCTAAACCAGTTTTTTTTTTTAATTAAGGTTACGAAGAAAATGCGATCACGTCCAGCGCAATGAGGCAGACTTAGAGGCGAGAGTCATAGGTGGTTTACTTTAAATATGTAAAGATAAGCCAACGCAGTTGTTCTATTACGCCTTTACTAATATAGTTGTTTAATTATTTTTATCAATTAACGACCCTGGTGCGCTAATTTCTTATAAGAACTTCTTAAAATACTAGATATGTCATGCTTCTGTATGCTGCCATCTTGGCAAATCTGTTCAGACGTGCATCATTGCTCGCATACGATGGCTAACTGAATTTAAGATGGTGAATGAATCTGATGAATGAAGAATTATACTTAGTAAATAGGCTTTCATTAGTGATATTAGCTAGAAGTTAGTGATAGTTAATTCTGGTCAAAAAGCAGTTCTGTTCTTCATAATTTGTCTTCATTCATTTACCACAACTACTAAAAGGCCTTAATCGAAAATTCAGGTTTCAGAATCAGACACAAATGGTAGCATTGAAATCTCTCACTTCAACTGAGCAATTTTTTAGAGGACAATAGTTGAAATAACTGTCTTGGACAAACAGGTCGCGGGTACCTTTTTTATTCGTTGTAGGTATTATGACAGATGTGAAAGAAAAAAAGGGCAGCGAGAACCATTACTAAGCAACGAAAAAAGCGATAGGATCTTATGCAATTAAATCTTTTTTCAAAAGTCATCTTCAATTGGCGAGACCCTGAGATACTGGAAATGCAGGCCAAATTTATGTGCTCGAGTCATCATGTGTGCTATCCTAGGTCATTCTGCGCCACTCCTAAGTTCGCCCAGACCTGAGGAGTCTTTTGTCTTCTATTATAATCTACGGCTTGCGGCACAAGAAGCCAAGTGGCCTATCGTCACGATTACGGGCGTCTGAAGGCGAATATTACTAGTGAACACAAGTATCACTTTCAAGTGTCGTATTTTTTAGCTCAAATAAGCTAGAGCAATGAAATGTTTCATTTTAAATCGAGTATGTAACCCGGTATTATTGCATAATACAGTTATTGCATTTTGTCAACAAAAACTTGACGATGTGAGAGAGCTACAAAGTATTTAATAATATTCTGTTTTGGCAAGTGGTGCATTGAAAACAGTGAAATTTCGCTAATGCATGCCTATGAGACAATATCTTAACTATTAGAAAAGAAACTTTTCCTCATGAAGAGCTTACGGTATTGACGTACGATTTGTTTTTTCGATAGCTCCAGCTATTTAATACTGGGCGCTTTTGTTAACGATGACGTTTCCCCTGTGGAACTGCTTTAATTAACATACAAGCCTTTTGAATCACGTGAGTCTTGCCTTTTCTTTGAGGCAGGACATTACCTTTCTTTCTCTCAGAACTACATAACTGATACGAAAGACCCTGGTGTAGCCACCTAATTACTAACATAGGTTTTGCTGGCGGACGGCACCGCAATCTTTTCGCTGAAGTATGCATCGTCTTCATCTTTGAAGCTTTTGCGAATTGCTTTAGCATCTCGCGCCGATCTGGACGTTGGCGGACTCGAGCCGGAAAGTTGCTGGGTGGGCTCGGACGAACTCATCGTTACCTCTAATAAGGGTTAACTTACTGGCGTTGCGATAGTTCAAGCACCTCAGACAACACTGAGCCACCTGAAAAATAAAATGGGGCAAAGTAAAGTGTCAGTTAACACTAACAAGAAAAACTTAAATCATACTCATATGGATTTCATCTAGATTCTTTTGATACGCGAAAAAGCGATAAAAAATGATAGTGCAGTGAAATATCAAGCTGTGACATGTGTGGATTGATCAGGTAGCATAGGCTAGGACATCTATTCATAATGCGATACAAAAAAATTAGCGTCAAAGTATCAGTTGTATATTAAAGCTTTTCGTAATACCGTTACTGCTAGAGTAAACCCCGGAGATAAGCAAAGAAAAAGTATGAAGACATAATATAAGATCTAAAATACGTATGCGAATTTTAACTCAAATTTTATTATTAAACTATATCGTGCAGATTAAGGTTGTACCTACCTTCGTTTGCTATAATTCGGGCTAAGCGCGGTCAATTACAATTCAGATAATTTTTTTACATCGATTTTTGTCTTGATAATAATCTAGACCTTTAGATAGGATAATATCATTTGTATTTGTATATTGTATACATTAACATATACTGTACGTCTATCGGAGATAAGAGGTCACCCAGGTACACTATACTTCGAGGCAATTTTAAGCAACATCATTTATATTGCATGACAGCAACGTAAACGCCTTAGCATAGGTTCGATAAATATGCTTAGTCTGCATGAAGCTATCTGCATTCTCGTATCTAAACATGGCAATCTGTCAACCTCTGGAAAAACCAGGCAATAAAACTATCTCGTCTAAACTCTAAACGTGTATTTTCTTTGAGCAAATGGCACACACTCAGTATAAGCCAACTCTTTTGATGAAAAAAGTTCATGTGTCACGTCTCTAATTCTATATCCGTATCTCAGGCGGGCTTGTACGACGGCGAGTAAACAGAGCCATCCTAGTGAGCAAACCCTTATCGTAAATCGTCGCGTAAACGCGTTACGCCCCGAAAGCCCTTTGACCTAATATTGTTATAAAGAAGTCATCGTAGAAGCATATTATCGTGTAACGAAATCAGCAAATCCCTAGCGTTGGGGAACTAAGCACCCCACCGTTAAAGACTGTTTGAATCACGTCGTGAGACAGATACGAACTCGTATAGCATGTATTTTGTAGAAAGAAAACTGTTGGTCAATTGCGACGAGCAGAATGAGTTTGGTAACCTGCGACAAAAAGGTAAAATGTCGCAATCGGATCGTGTTATCTTTCGTAAGGGCTTTTTTTTACCCGATCTGTTCATTCACAACGCCGCCAGAAAGGACGAATCGATCAGCATCGGTGACTCGATGTTCTAGTAAACGTAGAGAAACCAGAAGAAGCAAAAAGGCTTAAAAACAAAAACTCTGGCCGAACATAGTCCGCGGCCAACGTCGCACATGATCCGTCGTCTTTTTTCATGGTACTCATACATATCAGTATGGCTGAATGGACGAAAGAGTGTCATTTGTGTCAGTTCTTACATAATCTGACAATTGTTTCATTTGTCTATGATTGGACAAGAAATTGCGCACCGCCTTGTGAGCCGGCGACTGATTCGAGTTATTATCAATACTGGGAAGCGAGCAAGGCCAAGTGAGACTGCCCGAAGGGCCATTTTGTTATCACCATTCGAATGACTGTTTTAAAAAATAAAGGTTACCAAAGTGACAAGAGAGTTAACGTAAGAAATATTACGAGACATTGTAAAACTAGAGTTTTTAACATTGAGAGGTCAGCCAGGAAAAACGGGTGACATTGATCTTTAGCGAAATCACCTCAGATGGCGCACAGTTCGCACGACACTGGGATAAGTAGTTAGATCAGGAAAGTTAAATAATACTATAGTATTACTATGAAACTTTCTCTTTTCACTAAGCGGCTACTAAGTACTATGTAAGTACTAGGTACACTATGAGCGAAATATGAGGTTGATGAATCAGCGATCTGCTGTCCCTGAATAGCGAAATTCTTTCTGTTATCAATGAGATAAATAAGCGCATCAAAAGGTCAACTTAAAATTAAATACCAGACATTAGAACATACATGTAGAGATACGTGCGTTTTTATTAGAAAACTCATAGGAAGAGGCAAATGCAAATAGGACTCTCACATCTCTACTTCGTGAATGAAGTCACTAATACCAAATAATGACGGAATTACGAACCTTTGAATTTATTTCTCCGCAGCAAACTGATCTGTCATTGAGTACACCATTATCAATTGGATAGAATTCCGCCAGGAATATTCGATTGATTAACCAATTAGTGAAAGGGACATGTTTACAAAATGTGTCATTTTCAAGACGAACTCGTTTAAGGCTGTACAAGACTACATACACACAGCTAATCTGTTGGTATCAAGAAATTGGTGACCACACAACAGGACATTGAGTAAACAATCACTAAGGTTCGACTAACTCAACAGTTTGAATCCCTGCACCAGTCTCTACTCTGCACTAAATCTACTTTCATATGTGAACTCAAATATATAGCATAGCTGGCTGGAACCGTACCGTGCTGACAGGCACTGTCCCTCGCATGTATGACGACAAACCAATTGCTAGTCTATTACTTTTAATGGGACAGTCGATAGATAATGAGTTCGAGCGACTGGATGAGATTAGTCGGGAACATGATGTTAGCGTTTCTAGCGCTAGATTTAGTTGAATCCATAGCCATTTCTATAAGTCATTGACGTGTTAATTAGAAACGCCGGTTTCTAGTCGGCGGTATGGCCGCTCCTATTGATTTAGCAATGGACTTAACAAACGAGCATATAGGAGGTATAGTTTGTTTAGGCACTAAACATTTCCTAAGATGCTGGCTTTACGATAAATGTGTAGATTTGTTGACGATATGCACCCTTGTACACCCATTAATTATCTAGCTATAACCTAGACGACTACCGCACGACCTATACGTTCAGGCGGACGCACATTTCAGTGCACAATATTTCTGGTATAATCAACTTAATTTCTGAGAAGATATATGATTAACCGGCTAACGGTCACAGAACTTCTTGATGCATAACCTTATCATAGATGGTAGCATCTACGTGCGAACCAACGACAGGCATTGCTCCCCCGTATCTAATCTAAGAACAGAAAATCCATAGCAAATAGAATTCGATGATTACGTATACATAAACTTGTTTATGAATTAATCTCACATTTAAAAAACAGTCTTCGCCCATAGCCCGAAACTAGACTTCCTACCATTTTTGAAAAAAAAAAACCAAAAAGCCTACTCTGACAAAAATATCCCCAATAATTACATATGAGAGGCAAACAGAATCTACAAGCAACAGATCTGAATAAATTTAATCGACGTTCGTTAGTACCAATTTTGAAACTTAAGCACCACATCCTAATGAGGCAGAATCAACGTTATGTTATTTGACAAAATCAAATTTAATTATTATTGTGCTAAATTAGTTCAAAATTAGTCGTTTAACATTTTACGACTATCTGATATAGGACAACGCTAGGAGCAGAAAAATGTCTAGCCTTTAATACGCACGTTCTTACGAGCTAACGCCACGCAAGCCAGCATTTAGCAGTTTGCAATATAATTTAACCAAAACGAATTATTTTGATTATCTCAACTTGGTACTACTCTGTTAGATTTTAGTGTTCATTAAAGCAGTTGTGAATATCTAGCAGTAACTTTAATGCTGCTCCTAAAACCTGTCTCGATAAGAATGAAAGTTATTCAATACACCCCAAAAAGAAACCATTTACACTAACAACCAGCTTATCCGTCCTCTGTACATAAGACTATGGTAATTGGGTTTCATTAAGAGAGCGCGTGTTGAAGTTGCAAGCTCTTTGGATGACCTTATCAAATTTAATTGTTTTATGAATGACAGCCACTGTTCCTATATTGTAAAATTTAAAATTTAGACCTAATTTCACGCTTAGTTTTCTACCTGTTAGTAGAATAATGCATTCCAAATCATGATAGAAGCTGGATTCAGAACAGATTGTACGAAAAAACGGGCATATTAAACCGATTAGCTTGTTTTGTAGTTTTTGTGTAATCCGAAATAATATGATCTAGGTAAGTAAAGAGGAGAGGAGCCTACCGGCAAGAACACTTTCTATCTTCAGTGAAAAATATCATTCCAAATAAAGGTAATAGTGCATAGGTTATTTATATCTACAATCGTTTAATTTAATATTTTTTTAAGTCCGCAATTAAACGCAAGTTCTGGATTATCGACAAAGTATTGTCCGTTTGAGAACCAAAATTAAAGAAAACATTTTTTTAACTATTACGAAACTGAATACGAACCATTTTCACTGTAGATTCGTGCTATTCGCCAATAGCACGATATTCCCATCACTGCAAAATTCTGGACGAAAAAGCTATGACAAGTGATTTTTTCGTTTACACATTGAAATTAAATTAACACCGTTAAAGGAGCTCTGCAAATGCCGAAACCGATGGTGATCTGATAATGCAAGAGTCCAAACTTATGAAAATTTTCTCTCCAAGTGCTTTGAATTTTTGTCAGTAGCCTAGCAATGTCATGACAAAAGACGACGCTCTTTCTGTTGACTAGCTGAAATTTCTTTCAATGGTTAATCTTGTCAGCTGCTGACGGTAGCTATTCAATTCGGTCGCTTTGCTTGGCAACAGTAACTCAAGCACATAATATAGCCTTCTTCTAGCAGTGATATCATGATTTGCGCATCGGTTTCAGAATAATTCGATCGATTTCTTCTGCATTTGGTTGAACACTATGAGAAGTATACGTGTTTCACATGAAAATCCGCATAATGAACACGATAAAACCATCTTTAGGCTTTTTTTTTCCGGTAACCTAACTTGATTAGAAACGGCACAGATCATTTGTTTATAGGCTTAGCTAGTAGTTGTGCCTTTATCTTAATAAAACTGTAAAATATAACAAATTTCTGTAGATATTTCTCTCATTTATGGAACACTTTATAACAAGTCTGAATTCTAAATGCATTCTCATAACGTTAGCATATCTAAAGCCGAATATTAGGTTTAAAATAACACCAATTCTATACATGAAATATATATTACTGAGTCATCTAACCATAAACACGGTCAATACTTTTTCGATAGACTAACATGGCGCAGAGATGTGCACACATTCCGATGGGGGAGATATTGTGTTCAGATAGTGTTTAATTAATGAAATAGAAGACATCGTGGTCCCTTCTTTCGTTATTTAATATAGTGCTGCTTTCCCTTTGTTAGAGCTCTGAAATGTTCTTTATCGATGGCAAGGCTTGCCTTTTCTCAGCCAAGGTCACATTGTGCACTTGTAAACCTTTTCTGATTATAGGTCGCGCAAAAAATGTAAGTTATCAGGATTAAGGAAGTTTGCGGGATTGGCAGTTCAAAACTATTGCTATACAGGTTCGTTATAAACGGCAACATAGATTACTATTCGTCTTAAAGTTAGTTTTTCAACATTGCAATTAGCGTCTTTCTAACCTGAAATACACAAGTTGTTATATATATAAGCTATAGTCTTAGTTCTACGATGTTATGTACGTGTGCATTCTTCAGATCTTTCCTATTGATATCGATGTACTTTGAAGCGGATAAGACCAACCAACTCCATTTCATTAGAAATTAATCGACAAGATGTTAATATTTTCCTAAAAGACTCGCTAGTCAAGCAAAGGCGTTGTTTATACAAACCCTGCCATTAATAAATCATACATATATGTATATATATCCATTGACACCTTTTCGTGTCAACTAACTTCTTTTAAGTCACATTGAATAGTATTCACTTATTCGGCTGCAGTGAGTGATATTACGCTATTATGCTCTCGAGGCACTCGACAGCGTTCGCAAGTAGCCACTCGTCGTTCAAGGGTTTACATGTCTATATATGTACGAGTCAGATTCGTTTGTGAAATCATAACCATGTTACAGTTGATTTTGTAAACAATAACTCAAGCGTTCAAAGCGAAAACGTCGCCAACAAGTACGCGAGATTTTTTTAGTCACCTATCGTTATCAAAATGCCCTTGAGCCTGTCCGCCCTGAAGCGGTCAGTGAACTACCGAAAAACTGTATTCTGCAGTAAAAGAAGAAAATGTTACTTTATATACTGTCCTTAGTTTTCCGTCTAGCCTCGACACATATGGCGCTCTCCGGCATCTGTTGGAGATCAACTTCATTAAGGTGCAGCAAGTACCTGTAGAAAAAACACAGATTTACAACTTCGCTAGCTTTACGTTGCCATTTACGATCGCAACGCCATAACCGATGTTGCTTGTCTCATGTCGCCACTGGTGAAGCAGTAATATACTGTGTTGGCAGGCCATGGACCATTGGGCCAACATTTTTCTGACAGTGACACCCTTTCAAGCTAACTATGTCACCTGACCAGTCGATATTTGTTGTTCCCATATTTCCAGTTAAAAACATGGTAACTTATTGTCCTATATATATATATATATATATATATATATATATATATATATATATATATATGCGAAGGTAATAAGTTACCCTTATTTTATACATAAGTATATATGTTTATCTAAGAAATAAACTAACTCAAACTAAAACGTTTATCGCTTCGAAAAGGGGAAGCTTCTTACTAAACATTTTAATCTATTTTCAACAGATATGCTTATATTTTATGCTCCAAGAGGTGTAATATTATTTAATGTCTTTATTCGGTTCCCATGAAACTTCTCTATAATAATAATGAAAAACCTAGCTTCTGGAGGGAGAAATGTTACCACAGCTCAATGTCACGTTTCTGGCACCATCACAGCTAAAAAATTTCTGTAATCAGCTTAAAGGAAAGGGGCATATGTTTCTATGGCAATTACAGTCGGTGTTCATACGATCAACTTAGCTATCAACTTCCGTGCATTCTTCTTTAAATCAAGGTTACGCTTGGCTACGAAATGCGTATTTAACGAGTAGCAGTCCTTTCATACGAAAAGGCTCAACATAGTAAACAGCTAATGACGTTGCACGGTTTCTTAATCCGCCACGGTTATGACTGGAGCGATATATAACTGGTCAAACGTCACTAGCCACTATCGACGACTTACTCCGGAGGACATCTGGATCACACCGTAAGTTGTGGATATACGACGAGCAAACGCAATTACAGCACTGAATTAGAGAGCAATCAAAGAAAAATTTATCCTGTACATTTAATTCCTGTAGAGGTGATAAGCAGGTGGGCGAACGGATGAAAAAAGCGCCTAGAGTAAAAGAGTGTAAAGGTCAACAGGTTACTGAGAAGTTTCATTATCGGTGGTTAGAAAACTTAGGCCAATTGTTCTTCACATGCAGTTATGTCACTGTGCATTAAAACATGAATATTAGATATAATTTATTCGTACGCTTGTTAAACTAAAAATAATGAACTAACCGCCGCGCCTTGGACGGGTGACCCGGTCAGAAGCTAATTATAAAAACCAGATTATGCGTCTCCTACGTGTCGGCATGCAAGACTTGATTCTAGATGCTCCGCTTGATCCTTTAATCCATATCATTATATATGTAGCCTTGAAATCTTTTGTGCAGACGCACTTCAGTAAGTAAATAAATAAATAAATAGTATTCGATGCACTACCGATGCGGTCTGTCTTATATTTATTTATTGTATACACGCTAGAATTGCGCAGGGCTGGATACAGCCTTGATGGTAACTGATAGTTACAAAATAAGTACCGCTACTCTCTCTCTTAGGTTAACTCTTCGAGTAATATTTAGGTACTAAACAGCCTAACATCAAAGAGTAAAACGGAGTAGGTGGTTCAACGAACTTTTTTTTTGAATAACAAACTTTATATTGACGGACAGTTAATTTTCAGTGAAATGTTGTTAACACACCATATGTGTGTCATACGTCATACAGGAATACGTCATCGTTCTTCTGAAACATGGCAGCGACGTTTTACTGGGTTCGAATAAGCCAGACGAATGGATTCTCCAAACGTCGTTTGCGCCATTCAAATGTGCCCTTAAACAGCATCCCTGATTTCCTAATTTTCAAAAAGATAGAGCCTTTGTTAAGTCTTGCCCTCAGTCCAATGAATTTCAATATCTGCGTTATAACGTCGTCTAGGGCCAAATCGGACTGTTGTCAAATCGTTTCATCCTTACAGACAACCCAGACTAGAGCAGCATTTTTTATTAAAATCTGATTAATAGCTTTTTAGTTGTAATTCTTCCATTATCTTTGTGACAATATGATTCTAGAAAAACGAAGGCAAAACCGAAAAAATCACGTACAAATATGCAAAGCATCAATCGATACAAGGCAAAAGTCGTTTTATAGTACGTTTGATTATTAAGCAACGCTGGGTAATGTAATACCACTGTTATCAGGATCCAAGATTACTTGTCAAAGAAATAAGTCAAAAAAGATAGCTGTTAAATAAATAGAATGACTATTTTTGACATTATGAAGCGATTGTAGCTGCACTGTTCCACGACAATTAGAATAGTCAATAAACTTAGCCTAAGCTATCTAAACTACGCTACGTCACCGCCTCGATCATAAAATATGGACAGTTCTTAATACTTGCGTTTCGCAAGTATTTAAGCAACGATCGAATGGCTCTGAACATATCTGGACGATCTGAGATTTTCGGTCGTGAGAAAAGCTATTTAGCGAAACTATTACATTATATATTATATATTTTGGTACGGTAAACTCTATTGAATCCCAGAAGAATATTTAATAATGGTAGAGCACAGTATCTATTCTAATATTTCAAGTTTTCACGTCCGGTACTACTTTAGTATATTACTACCCCAGTACCCCTGAGGACTGCTTTGGACGGCTGGCCCTCTTCACCGTGAAAAGCGGCATCCGGTTTCGAAATTAGGCCATTTCACCTGTTCATAAATTGAATGCATAAACACTTCACATCACGGGGATAGAGCTCAATGTCTATATGTTAGGTGCACTGCAGCATAGTTCAGCCGTTCTGGGGTCAGTTAACAGCTAACCGCTATTAACTACAAGTACATGAACATTATATTTAATAGTCCACGTGTTCCTGTTCAAAATACAGACCAGTATTTTCGAATACTTATTCTATATATACATATTCTATAGTCTTCAAACACTTTATTCTAATAGTTAAATTAACCGACATCATATATCTTCTGTGAAACTACCACCAGCGCGCAGCTTTAAATGACTAAGGTTCCAGATGAAAGAATCAGGGGTCACTGCTTTGAAGCGCGTTGTATCGCACAAACAATATAAAATAAAATAGTTTTTATCTTACAATTGTGGACAGAGTCAAATACCTTCGAGATTGTTTGTTAGGATATACACTCATTGTACAGAATGTGTTTTCGCAAAGAAGACATTGTCGGATGCATCAACTGCTGAAAAGCAATGCGTCACGCTAAGTACGACACATACAGCTACCCCAATATATACACCTATTTTAACTCTGTAATCTCTTGTATCTTCATCTAAACCTGTATCTCGACCTTTACTTTATTTACTTTCTTTACTTTCATATGTACTTTATTTAAATTTCATATGTATTATTGAATATTATTTGAATCTACTTGGGTTTTTCTTTTGAGTAGCACCGCTATAGCACAATGGCAACATATAAACGGTCAGCAAGAATTAGCCCCCCCGTTGTAGAAACGTTTTCCTCTTAAGTCTCGTCTTTTTCAATTCAGACTAATGTACACTCATTTTTGCTCAAGTTTGCCCGTACCAATCATATCGTACCAAAGATTAATTTCTAGATCTGTGCAAATGTTGCCGAATAAATACTCTCTCTTCAGACGCGAACTCCGAGGCTGCAAACCGCAAGAAATTCCCACAGCCATTAATTTACATGAGACCTTAAAACAACCAGAACGTGCGATTCAAATAAATCCTTCTAGAAAAAACGTTACGTCAACAGTATAAGAGCACGGGCAGAATTTGTTCTGTCCACCTCAGCTGGTTATAGTATACTGAATCGCCACTGCATAGACATTTCCGCCAGATGATAGACATTATAATATAGAAAACATCTGTGGTGACGACTGAAAGAGTACTCTGCAAAACGAACGTCAGATCGAATCTATGAGAAACGAGTCAACCACGAGGCTGGTTAGTTTCTTTCGATAGTAAGCTGTATTAATTTTTTTAAAAGCTCAATGGACCTTACATATAAACTCGGAATAGACATTTTGCGTATGGTGTTTTCATAGAATCAAGCAATTTTTTCCATAATGCTTTAACTTTTTTACGTGTGCTAAACTGAAATTTTTTTCTTCGCTGCATAATACACCTAGAAGCTAATGCTACTATATTTGCCATACTTCACGTCTGGCGGTGGAGTGATTACTTTTTTGACGATCAAGGCAAACATCGGTTTGTCATTGTCCTACCGCCAAGGTCGGAATGAATCTGGCGGCCTTCGAACTCTGGCAAATGAACTTTCCCATATATAATATATTGGTCGGTCGCTGGTAAATGCCATTGCGCACAGTAAACGGAGCAACAGCCATAATAGCAAGACTTGCCGAATTAATCTTTTCAATCGCTGCCAGGAAACAAAGCTAAACCGCACTGCATTTTAAGACTTTTATTGTTATATTTCTCTCTGTATTGTTGTTGTTAATATCAAAATTAATATTAATATCAGAATAGCGTAGTTCACAAGATTCAAGGATTTACTACCGCCTTCGTTAAGCTATTGCCGCGAGCGTCAAATAGCCCATCAATACTGACGAGTCCTCTCTCACCTCTTGATATTATTTCTCGTCGTAGTAATAATTGTAGTGCAAAGGGTGATGCCAGTGTGACAAGCAGCGTCCGAGTTGATAACTCACTTCAAGAGGCACTCAAACGTCAGTTGTTCGCAGATAGAATTTAACGTTGACATCTTTGACAACCTGTCGTAGTTGCCAACGACAACATCGGTGTTCGCAATAGTGAAAGACTAGAGAAACATGTTTAGGTGTTAACACAAATCTTTTAACCGCCTGCGCGCGAAAGCTGCCACACTGAAAGACCCAGAAGATAGCGGCAGGCCGTTCTCCGTAATCAGTGAAGAGCGATTAATGTACACATATTTTTTTCCTTGCACAGCACAGCTCGCTTAAGTCACAGACACACGGCACGATCGACTATAGCCACTTTTCCCACTTATGCTAAGGGCATTGACACAGTATGAAATGATTTTTCAAAATCTTTGCGCTTTCGATGGTATTAACAAGCACTACTAGGTACCTCGATCAGTAGCACTCAACTCTCCGGCCATCTGCTACTCCGGCGCCGTCATGTTCCATTCTCCATGAATGTGGCTGGTGCCTGCTTGGAATGGAAACGGAGACTGTCGGTTAGACAGAAAATTTCTCTAAGAAATTCGCGAGGCGGACATATAGTAAACGGTCGCGATAGATGTACCGCCGATACCATAGGCTGAGCAAAAAGCTTCTTTCAGCTCAATGTAGGGAACTTTTTCTGCTAGAGGTCACGCATAATCATGATGCTATAATGTACCAACTTTAAAAATAAGATAACTCATTTTTTCATCAAATTGGGAACAATATTTGATTCATTGCTTTCACGTTATTGTTAACTTGTGCTGTCTAGATGCACATTACAGATAGTACGTACCGTATTTATTACCCCCTTTCGTAGCCTCGGTGCGGCCGTGAAACACCTGCTGCGAACACAATGCCACTGGCCAAGCCGTGCTGACATCTAGATCCGTGCGAACACTGGCCTACGGCATTAGGTAATAACAGTATTTTTCAGTGTCATTATATTTTCTGAAGTTATATAAATCATATTTGAGGAGCCTAAACATTTAGACGCAATGCCAGGTTGGCTCTCCATGACGAATTATATATCGATATCTTAGAGCGTTGCCATCTAACTGTGCAATAAATTGGAAACACTAACGTAATGCTAATACGCACAGGCATCATCTTAGAATTTTTTTGTAGAACGCAGTATTCATAAAGAGTAAACTAACAATGTGACCAACTATCCAAGCTCGTATTCCTATAGTCTGTATAGATAAAAATAATTCTGAGATTTTTGCTTTGGGAACGAAATCTTTAGAAAAAGTGATTATTCCTATAATAGCTAATTGTAATGACTTCGGAGAGCTCGTACGGTTTTTAATCGTATGTATCGAACTGTAAACTTTAAAACAGTTAGAAATTTACGTTGACAGACTCTAGTCAAATAGCTGGTTCTAGGTATGCTCTGTCCATAGTTCAATAATGCTTGATCCCGTCGTGATACGGCAATGGGTAGTGGGCTTAGCTACCCAACTTAAAGGTACGTGATGGTCTAAGTTTAAATCCACGCACAGAGGCACTTTGTACTAGGAGTTTTTATTTTTGTCTAGCATCTCGCTAGCCGCTACCGAACTGAGTCTGTATAGTGCTATATTGTGTTTATCATTCATCCTATCAGGGTTGCCGCCATACCTTATAAGTAAGTGCGTTAGGATATCAGTGCCACCAATAATCAATGTCGGTGGTGACTTTGTGTTGAGTATACTTTTACAATTACAAAATTATGACAATCGCCTTGTAGCTGTCATTGCAACCAATTTATTTGCTCTTCACCTCGGTCAAGCTCAAACTTGCAGTGTGATCATTCGTTTTAATCTGGCGAGTCTTCTAGAGAAAAAAAAAACTACCAACATGCCAACAATATCGGCGAAACACGTATTAAACTTACCTGGATGTAAGGCCATTCACAGGCACCTCACGATTACTGTAGTCCGTAATATGGCCCTAAGGTCCCAAATGCAAGAAGTTGTGGGGGATCAGAAGATCGGTTAAACTACCTAGCAAGTCTCAAAAGGATAGCTGTTTATCTCCATGCCCTGCTCGTTCTTTAAACAATGAGTATTCTCTTATGATCCCGCAGCTCCTGTACCAAAAAGGCTGCAATATCGCTATAGAAAAGACCAGATATATCTGCATCAGTCGTTATCGGTTTTCAATCAGTTCCTAACGTTTGCTCAGTAAATACTACTTTGTTTTTTTCGACGAATATAAGATACAAGTTCTCGTACAAAGATGCCAGAATATATTCCTTGCTTCGACATGCTTTTGATGTTTGAAGATGATATTAGCCGCAGTTCACGTTCCGCTCGTTCAATTCAATTTTTAATCATGGGGATGTTTTCTTTGACCTTATGGGTTCCACATGGGATGGCATCTCATGCTTACTGGGCATTGTAAAGCAGGTTTAAGTTATGAGGAACCATTGGACTCCGTCTGATCTAATCAATTTGTTACTGTCAGCTACTACAAGCCTGAGCACTATTTTCTTGCAATAAAACCTATAGTAGCATTATAGAATGGAGAGGGGGAGGATATGAAGTCTACGGAGTTTTAGCGATATTCGAAGGGGCGTTGGCCTGCACCGCAAAGGTTATGCTAATGTCTAAAATAGGACTAACTACCATGGCTCCCGTGGAGTACATAAGATGTCTTGAACCAGATTTCAGTAGTCAAATTCAGATTAAATGTAGATAACATAAGCTTTCAACTTACCTTGCTCTACTAAGCTTTATCGGATTCCAGCTCTTCATGTCAGCGCCAAACGTCATCACTCTAATGTAATCAATTCTAAGTCAAACGAACTAAGCTGTTTTAGATGCAAAAGTAAGCCAACGATTTCAAGAAATGGTACATTGAACGTCTACATTGAACTCAGGCTGAAAAAAAAGTTGGTTCAAAGTTGACGAACAAGTAGAAAAGTAAGTGTATTATTTAGTTTCGTACAAACAGTTTCTTGTATGAAAAATATGTATGCGGATAGGTATTACCAAAGTGAATTTAATTATTCTGCAACATTGGCGTCAAAATGAGAATTTTATAGTCGTCGAAACAACCGTAAAAGCCTAATTGGTGCAGTGTTCATTGTTGATACAGGAGTCGAGTAACTACCACTGCTCATAGCTGTTCGTTACGATTCTATGTTTGTCAGTGAAGAGTCAACTGATTATGAAAATTTACTCACCTTTGAAAACAGAATATATTTTTTTAATCGAGCTATGTAACTTCCGTAGTATAATGATATTCCTTTGATCAAGTGTATCGTACATAATGCGTTTTGACAAATCATACGTTTTGTGCTAACACCTTAACTTGGATATGCGTGCTGTTTTTTATTTACTATAATGGCCAAAAATCTCAACCGCAACTGTCACACATTAATATGTAAACTGTGTCTAATTAAACGAACACATGAGCCAATCATGCCAACAAATTAATATTTCTATTACTCTAGATCGTTTATCACTTTCATAAGATCCTGAATGATAAGTGTTGTGACGCCATCTTGTAGGATAATAAACAAGCTTCATCTAATTTGAGTTCGACCTCTAGTTTAAGCTGTAAACCTACTTTCTCTAACAAACGGTAAACTAACTCGATCTGAACGTGAAAGTTTACTTCTGCGCTTGCCCATTGTAAATAAATGTAGTTTCTGCCGATCGAGAACGTCCGACGTATTTGCTTGATCCAACACACTGAGCTAGTGTGAGCATCTTTTTTTCATTTGCTCCTGTCCCAAAGAATCGTTCCACAGACTCTCAGTCTATTTTCAAATCTCCCGCCACGGCGTATCGCTCCGCCATGTATTCGGCGGTTAGCCTTGTAAACAAACTTGCAGTAGCGCTTTCCGGCGTCGCGCCGAGAACATTTTTTAGTTGGTGTTCTTTGCAGTGTGTCAACTATATTCCTTCTAAAAGTGGCGCATAAAGGTTACTTCGCGAGAAATGACTGTCGATAAAAAAACACGCGCCGGCTCAGCGGATTCTAAGGAAGACGACCGGAAAGGCCGAGATCGGACAAAAAAACGAAGGTAAATTGTATACAGAGACAGTAGTGTTTCATATTGTCATCTGTTAGAAAATGCTAACGTATTGTTATTTTAATTTTAGTAAAATGGCGCTTCAAAATTGTTCACTGCCAACGAATGTGGATTTCGCTAGTTATGTGGAATGTTGCACAGGACGCAGGCAAAACACATACCTACAATAAAAGCTTATTGTAAATAGTATTTAATAGGTAATATAGTTGTAAAAAAGTTACCAGGCATTTTTCGTTATCCGGCACCATTGCACGAGCTCGTTATCAATGGAAGGAGAAGGCAGATTTTCCGCCCAATAGTATGCGTATGTCATGGTCATAATTTTGCATACATCGTTTGACGTACGCACTTTAACATATTTCAGGGCCACTTAGAAATTCTGGAACAATTATCTCTCTTTCAGTGTAGGACGCGACAACTATAAAATATTAATTAATATAAATTTGCCCAATTTAATGCTTTTGCCGATTAGTCAAGGTTCAAGCAAAATTAATTTTTTGGCAAAAAGTGTTAAAATGCAACGAAATATCCAGTAAAAGGTTGATTTCTGTTGTCTTCATAATCGCAATAACTAACTGTAACACCCGTTTCATTGAGCAGTTCTAATCAGAACGCTAGCTTAGAACAAGTTTTTAAGAGGCAAGGCATCTTTTAGTTGAAATCGACCCAAAAAGGTCGCTAAAAATGTAAAATAATGTAAAAAAACCTTCAAATTATGGTATATTTAGTGCTTTCAGTTCTACCTAATCATTGGCCTATATGTAATGCGGTTATCTGCTAACAGCTTTTTTCGAAAATATGGGTTACCTTGAATGGTAAAAGTATAAATGACAAACACTGGACTATATACTGTCTTTTTAAGGCAAACTTGTGCCTTAGGTAATCCTTAGTATCAAATTATGAGAACTAGCGAAGGTCTATAATAAATACTTAAGGCTTAACTATAAAAATAGCAGCGGGCCCCACAGTGACCGTTCGTTATTAGACGAAAATTAGTGGAGCGATGCGAATCGTAAGACGTGCTCATCACCTAGTATAATACGATAACGCCATTGACAGTGCAGTAATAGGGTGTCTGCTTATTAAAGCTCGGGCTATGTGAGGCAATCTAGATTCGAGTTAAAGCTCAGGCGTTTGAAGCAATGCTTAAGAGCAAGCTAGGCATAGAAATTTTACATGTACACTTATAGTACACTTCACATGGTCTTCAAAGGGATATTGCTATAGCGCTGAGCGCATGTCAAAGGAAAAGTGACCTTCTTGTCAATTCAATTTCTCTTCTTCGTTTTCTCGATCAAGTAAAATTCGACTATTTTAGCCAATATTTCTGTTGTGATCGGTTTGTGCTTCAGTTCGTCAACGACCTCTTCGTCATCGGGTTCGGGTTCATCGGCACGAAGCCGCAGTGGCTCTTCATCCAGTTCTTCGTCATCTTCAGACGGGTCTCGTTCGTCGTCCTCTAGTTCGTCTTCTTCGGCCTCGTCGAAGGGCGGCGGCCGTTCAAGAGGAGTGAAAAGACCGCCACCCCGTCGAAGATCACCCAGCCGATCAAAGTACCACATCTAGCTTTTATGTTTGTCAGGTCGCAGTAACTACTCCAAAATAACATATTTTCAGTGATTGACATCATGATAGGGCGTGATCTCATGAGTTGCAAGTAAACGCATTTGTAATAACTTTGACTACTAAATGATTTGTTGTCGGTTTTCTCATATTAAAGGAGCCCCCGCAAGGAACGCTCCCCTAGACGACGATCACGTTCACCGAAACGCCGTTCTCGAAGCCGTTCGTTAAGCCCGCTTCGTTCCCTAAAAATTCACATTGGCAGGCTAACCCGTAATGTCACCAAAGAGCATATTCAAGAGATATTCGCTTACTTTGGTAAGTAAACTCCACAACCTGGCTTAATTTTTATTGTACTATAATCTCATGCAATATTGCAAATTTGTTAATTATGCCACCGTCTAATTCGAGCTCTATGTAGTAATATGCCTCTTATAGACCCGACTCCGTTCTCAAAAAAGTGACTTGAAGTTGATTGTGCTAAAATATCATCCTTATCATCTATTTGGCTTTGATGTAAACGATTAAGCTTTTCGTTTGGATACGGGTAAAATTGGCTTGCGAAATTAGTATCATTTACATTTATGTTGACTATAGTCTAGACTCTGCTCCGATGTAGCAGCTTTATCGTGAATTGACATGATGTCATCTGATTACTCCAGTAGATGCTTCATTTTTCTTTTGTTAGGGAATAATAACATGACATATTAATAGAGCTTTGTCAATTTTAAAGTTGTTTAAATGCTAAAGGAAACCGCGTGATGCTATCTGCGTTTTTTACTCGTTAACTCGTTAATTAACTTCTGATGGATGTTAATTTCGTGATTAATTATCAAAGGTACAATCAAATCGCTAGACATGCCTATGGAGCGTCATCACCCCCACGTTTCGCGAGGTTCCTGTCATGTGGAGTTCGAGACCCACGAGCAGGCCGAAAAAGCCGTAAAGTATATGGACGGTGGCCAGATTGACGGTCAGGAGATTACAGTCGCAGCAGTCCTCCCATTGGGTCCTACAAAAGCGGAACGAGACCGAAAGGATGTGCTTGGCGGCGGCGGTGGCCTTGGAGGCCGGAATAACCGAGATCGAGGATTTCGTGGAGGGGGAGGATTTAGGAATGATCGTAATCGTAATCGGGACAGGTAAGCGACCCGTGGTAACTCTTGTTTATCATCATGAGGATCGATGTGCCGTGAGCAAGGTGAATTCATGTTTTCAGTGCTATAAGGCTGAGCCGTTACGCAACTACATAGAGCCACTATTAACTGTTGAGGCTCTGTGCACAAATAATAGGGTAGTGAAAGATATAACAAACAGTACACTAATGACAAATAAGACTCTTTCGAAGAGTTTACATTTTCCGCTGTTTATTACAACGCGGGCGTCATTCATCCAAAAATAACTGTCAGAAATAGCAGTAGGCCTCTATAGAACAATAATTTGGAAAAATGCACGGAGGTAAGTTGGTTTGCAGGTATGTTTCCGAAAATATTGTCGCTAAAAATGCATTTCTCTTCCGCTATAAAATTCATACCTATACAACATATGTAATAAGTACAAAATTCAAAGTTCGAGCAGAAAGTGGACATTTGCTTTTTCTTATTCCATTTTGTATGTTAGGCGTCGCAGTCCTCTGCGTTCACCGATACGTCGCGGAGGCCGAGGTGGCGGCCGTATGATAAGCCCTCGTCGCTCTCCACGAAGATCTCCGCGGCGCCGATCGCGCAGTCCACATCCACGCCGTCGAAGCACCACCACATCACGCAGCTCTTCAAGGTAAACGTCAACTGGTGACGTTTCGATGGTCGGAGCCCTTTAAGACTATGTGGAAACGCGATTGGGCCAGTTTCTCGAGGGGACGTTACGTAGAAGCACGTTGTAACACACAGACACGTACACACACTTAGACATATAGCCATCAGACGCACGGTATTGGTTACGTATATTATCTACAAATATATTTATATATCGAATACCCATTGGGGCTAGCGAGAATATAATTGGGCTTTTCGGGTAGAGCGCTTCGATGGGTTCTGATTACTATGCATTGTGAATAGGAGAGTCGCTGCTAATCGAGGTCGGAACTTGAGGCAAACGATAAAATGATAAACGAGGGGGGAAACGTACGTAATGCGTGTAAGCATAGAATCGGGCGCAAGCTTGTCGAAAAAATACTACAATTACCTTGTTTCGATGCACCCAGGCCTGCCGTAGACAGCTGCCCCTTAGTTCACTGCAAAATAGGCTGAGAGTATCACAGCAACATGGCGATTGTTGGTGCTAATCCTGAGGACATAGTATTGACCTGGCAGTTAGTTGATGTTATGCTTTTGTCATGAAAGTTATAAAAAAAAATTGAAGCAATGCTTTAAGGTAACTTCGAATCCACGTGTTACGTTCCATGAAAACAGTAGAGGTTTGCTAAGTACTTGTGCTCAATTGATACTTTTATCATATTATCATTCGAGTAGGACGGGGTATTGAAATTTAGCCATAGAATAAATGGATGTCTAAATATGCTTCATGGAGAAGGACGTTAGTTTCGTAAACTCTATGACAGTGCGCATTCATCAAGGGGAGTCAAGATCTTTTGGGATATTACACCTTGTGTATACAGGACGCGTAATACAGCTGTACATCGGACTTTGAGATGTATACGAGGTACCATAAGAATAATAAGTAAAGTGAAATTGAAGCTACTGAACGTTTCGTTGTGTTTTATTTCTAGATAAAGCCCACATTTAAGCATTAGGAAAAGAAAGAAAAATTGCATACTTATTCAAAAGTTGTACGAACTTGTATTTTACATTTTTCTCGTTCTGGCAGAGAGCACTAGACATCGCTTTGCGAGATATATACAGGACAGTTTCTACGGTGTTTGTTTAGAATTACCAAACAAAGAAAGGGAGGTGACTAAATGTAATGAAGTCCCAACGGTGACTTATGGCCATTTAACCTTTTCTACTTGTTCTTCACTTTGGTCGCCTTTAGATCGTTGTATAAGAAGTCCTGGAAGGTAAAAAGAAGTAAATATTTTAAAATTATATGACAACTTGCTATTCAGCATATTCAAAATAATTTAAACGCAGTAACTTAGATTTTCACCGATAGATATCGTGAAGAATGAGCAGGTTAATGAGAAGCTAAGCTTTAGTGGATCTGTTTCCTGGATACCTACTATTAGAAATACTGCAGCGAGAAGAACCGCTTTCATGGACACAGGCAGTTCCTTACTGAAGGATACGCTGTAACCTTCCTCGAAAGCAGCCGATGCCGGTTCCATTTCTTTTATTTTAGTTTGCTGGTGTGCATTCTTCGTTCCGGCCGGATCTTCCACCAGATCATGGGAGTAGGATTGCTGTTGACTGCCCTGATCAGCGTCAGGCGTCAGGCGACGAGGAAATGGACAGCTAATTCGGCCTACCTGTTGCCCGGTTTCTTCAGAGGTTACCTATGAAGGCGCCGTGGAAAAATAAACAAAATTATTGTTAGACAAAGAAGACTTTATCAATATAAGGTACACAGTTGAATCTTAGTGTTTAACAGGTGCACAGTACCACAAACGTGACGTACGAAAAAACAGTTCTATGTTAAACTAAAGCCTAGTTGTCACACATCAATGAGGTGCGAGATACACGTTCATTTTTTATGGTAATATTATGCTTCAGATGCCTGCGTTTTTCAAGGACGCACGATAAGGCGATAGCAAAACCTTTTGGTTTCGGCACAACTTCTCTGTGATGCATGCGACAAGCGGACCTTCACGGTTCACAATTAAAAGCCGTCAACTCGTCTGAGTATATTCGTTTTTTTAAAACGTGGACATTGACCGCTGAAACTTCGGCGAAACTATCGAATTCTAATAAAATATTTACGACGTCTTCTAAAGGAAGTCATATTCGAAGTATATGTTATATACATATATCGAATATACGCCATTCAAAGCAGGTGAGGATCCTTTACCACTAGGATGATACCTATTGAATAACAAAATATAAGTCCGGTTCAGACCGTGTGTTAGTCATATAAGAAATATAATAGTACTTTGCTTGAATCACTCACATCGTGTAGTATAAGTGTCATTTTCTGTACTTAATGCAAAAGCGAACCTTTCCTGTTTTTTCTTCTTCACCTTTCCAGCCACCGAGTAAAGAAAGCATCGCGTATTAACTAAACCTATCTAGTGATTAACAGTGCGAGTTCGTGGAATTTTGATAAGTTATATGTTCGTGCACGTACCGGAAAGATAATAAAATCTTCTTTTTGGCACTTGCTACATGTACAAACTGGCCCTACAATACGAAATTGCGTTTTACCTGAAAATTACGACACGAAAGTGGTGCACAGGTTACCTTGCGGCTAGTTTCTGCTCATGGATCACAGATAGCACATCTAATAAAGGATTGTCGCAGTGTGTGTTATTTTGCCTGAGCAAGAAACTCAAGCATACCTTAATATCTGTTATAATTTGATTGATGTCAATTGTTTGCGATTTTATTACCCTAATGACATTAAAGCTTACTCAAAAGTACGCTTTCAATGTAATTTAATAGGGTATGACGTACATCAGGTTCTGTTATTCGTGCGGCTTGCACGATCGAAGCGCTATTCGAAGGTGTATATTTACGAACGAAATGCGTCCATTCCACTTAGAATAGGCGTTTCATGTGTTATTTAGAAACGTGTTTTATTTAGAAAAGACGGGATACCACAGTCACTTAGCCCTTGATCATGCTCATGTTTTTCAGGAGTTTTTTTAGGGATTTGAGAAGCAAAAAAAGTAATTAATCATCAACAGCTTTTGGATATTACGAAGCAGTTACCTCAAGACAGAGGTTTATATCTCTGTTCGATTTAGAGACGAAAAACGCAGCGCATAATAGATCGTGACGCAGGTGCAGCGATCCGGAAATTTCACCTCAAAATGCGGCACCTTGAAGAAATGTTCGTTTTTTTTTTTATTTTCAAGTTTGTTTTTTTCATTGTCGCAATGCTGCTTTTCGACAGAGTTATATGTTGTATACGGCTAATAGCGATGTTATCAGGGTAAAAAATAACAGGCGGATTAGGCCATCGTCCCTAGCTTTGATTAAAATTGTCATAGCATAATATTCCTCAACAAAGTTACGATATAGGGATCTAAATTGAGAACGGCGAACCGAGAAGACTAAAACGTTGTATCTCGTGAGGATGCGGCGAAAGGCGTCTTTGTGAACACTAATATTTTAATGTGTTTTTAGATTAAAGGTGATAGCGATTAGTCTATTACAGAAAGTAGGAAATTCATAGATTCACTCAGATTGAACCTGGCCTTGCTCCTCCATGTTGTTAGGAAGTTAAGTTATGGGTTCCAAGTTTATAGATTGAATACATTTGCAAAATAATAAACCATGAATAGAGAAATAGGTAACACTCACCCTCTGAATTCTTAATTGCTAAGTGCGGATTGCTGAGAGACCATTCGTGGTGGACAGAACCCAGCTCTCCCCAAAGAGGAGAAATTACGTTTACCACCTGAAATTGAATGAAAAATTTAGTTGATTTTTATATATTTAGCTTAACTAATCACCCATATTTTTTTTCAAATGGTTACTTTCCAAAGCTTTAACTGTTTTACAAAAAGAATTTTATAAAATATCATAATTTTTACTCATGTAATTTCTTTGCTGCTTTAATGAATAATTGAAGTTAAATATTATATATACTTGTTGAAATTGCCTAACACATTGTATACCTTATAAAATACAGGAATATCATAGTTTATATTATACTTGTTGTTTGAAGAAAACCTATTTGTTAATCACCTGAAGACAACACGGAAAGCAGCAACAAACGCCACGATCTGGTCGGGAGAGGCGAAGCACTTCCCGACGATGTGAATCGCGCACGGTCAGATTCAATGGATGTTTCTGGAATTGCAGACCGGAAGTTCTATTGTATATCATCCTTTGGTGATATCAGTCTCAGAATTGGCCCGTGTTCGGGTTTAATTGAAAGTTGGCTTAATGTATCCAAGAATTAACGGTACTTTACATAGATATAAATGTATGTGTGTGTGTGTTAAACGGAAGTGTGGATTTAGTTGAGCCAAATTTTCCGGTAGGACGCTTTGATGAATCGAGAAGGACAATTGTGTCTGTTAGAATTAAAAACAGTTAAATAAGAAAAGTAACGACCCAGAACCACGCACAAATTTAGTGGGTAGTGCAACTGGAAAATACTGACTTAAGACTAACACTATCATGGCAAATACTCGGATGTGAATAATAGTAGTAGATTTAAACTGCTATAATAAGCTACGTGGCGAAATAATTGTCTATGTATGATACTATAGCTTACGTCAGGTATCAGCGAAACACGTTAGTTAACTCGGTAGCAAAACAGTAGCGGGTTAAGCCTCACGAGCCCGAGTTTAGTGACATATAAAAATAATCAGTTGAGAACAGCTAGTGAGTAACGCTGTCGTCGAGCATATATTTGAAGCTAATGAAATCAAATCTATCTTCGATTTTTATTTCACTAACGCTAAATTTTGTTTTGTCTTTTTTCTAGAGTAAAGACCTCGAATCCTTGTGAATAGTTTATTGGCAAAATACTTGAGTTTTGGCATTGTAGGTATGATTATACAATGCCAATGCTAAGGCTATCGCAAGTAAAAAACTTTTATATGGTACTTCTAATGAATCATCATCCACACTGTATGACTACTGTTATGGCAGTTACCGGAAAAGTACATAAGCAAGTTGAAATAAAACAGTCAGTGTTTTCCTCAACTCCGAAAACCCTCTGACCGAGGAGGTTCCTGACCGCAAAACCTCCGTGTGCCGTCTCACATCCGGCAATTGCTGTAATCAATAAACGGGTAAAAGTAAAATACCTTAATTAGAAACCAGGTTAAATGCTAGAGCGAGCCTTATATAACTACATAGAAATACTTAACATTAATTCAATGCGCATGACATATATAACTATATACGCACGACATATATTACATTACGAATGTAATAAAATAAAGAGACTTAATACATGCACAGTAACAATCTCGACATGATCTAAAAGGTGTTTCTTTAATAAATAAACTTTATGCAATATTACGTTTTTTATAGGTCTAACCCGTTGCTTAATGCGCGCTAGGTCGAAAGTTGGTTGAACCGATATGTAGGGTCAAACAGCGCTCTACCCGAATTTTTCTAACCGTTTTTAGTGTTACAAGCTCCACAGAGTTCAACTATGGTAGCTCCTTCGAGACCTTTCCTTGTTGTTAAGGCACCTAGTTTGGAAGGCAACCGCAATCATTCTCCAACAGTTGCAACAAGGTAGGTCCAGCAGTTCTAGCTGTATAACGCTTGAGCGAGCAGGATCCATTTCTGCTCATCACACCTAATGGCCCAGCCAGGCTAGCCGCCTTCGAAACCGTGGGAAATGCATCGCCGAAATTTTAGGACTGTTCTCCATATGCTGTTTCCTGTTAGTGACCCATGATGGAGTCAGCCTTTGTACGATGGATTCTCTCTAAAAGCCATTCTATTCTCTCTTGTATTTGACTTCTCCCTGGAACTGTATTACCGCCAATTGTTGCTCGATCCAAGGCAGAGAAAAAACGCGAAATGACGAAGAGAGATCCCTTGGCCGCTTGGAACGTAGACTGAACAACTTTAGCACGATGCAAGAATCTGGTTCGCTTATGTCGAGTTTCCCCGGCTTCTCGTAGCGAAATTTCCTTCCTGACCCCATGGATAATATTAGCACTGATTTAGAGATAATTGCCAATCCCCAGCATGCGAACGGCACAATATTGTCAATATTGAGTCATTGGAATTGTTCCACAGTGGCTCCGTCTATGCAGTAATTACGTAGGCTGACGCAGGCCAAAACTACAGGCTGGTAGTTTTGATTTGACTGCAGATGAACCTTTTGATTGTCGCCACGTTGCTACCTGCCATACAGTTGGCAAGCAGCAACATTACGAAAGAATAGTGTTACATATGCGAAAGGCGTACGCAAAAAGAGTATAGACCATACACAGCGACGCGCTAAAAATACATCATCGTCGTAGAACGAATAAGAAAACGCAGGAATATGTTCTATAATTGTGCCGTCTTTATTTGCTCACATGCTAGAGACAAAGCCTCGACCCGATTCTAGTTCACGTATATTGGGATATACATAAGGAAATTAGATGTAGGTTTATATCCTTTATATATATAAACAAACGTCTAGAAGACATGTCAATTAAAAGTGCAATTAGATGTTTAATTAACGAAGTTAACTTCGAGTGCGACTTCATTGTCAGTACTTGGAAAAGTTTGAGTGAAATCGTAAACACCTTGCCATATTAACGACGAAGAGCATTGGAATGGGAAGATACAGTCATGTGTATCAATTCAATATCTACTGCTGTACAAACTGCATCTGTTGCTAAATAGCCGTAAAAATTGTGTTTATCGTTATATAGACTACATCTGTTGCTGTGTAAAGTTAGTGTAAGGGATGCTCGCCTAAGCAAACGCATGCTTCAGTAGTAAAAATTTCACTAAAACTTTGCCACTTGATCTTTCGAAACGGTCAAGATACAGCACTAGACAATCCGATAATACACAAATCATGATTTGTTTACGGACATAAAATGAGGGATTACAAACCGGAAGGCAAAATGCTCGTTTAGAAATCAACCCAAGAACCGGCACAACAGCCTATTCCTAGGGAGAAGCCCGAAACAGGCTCTAGGCAGGGAAAATTCTATTTAAGTAGATCGTTCGCAAGTGTTGACCCCTTTTTCGCTTTTGGTTATCGAGCTATTGAGACCAGTAGAATCACCAGTAATAATTCAAGGTATTTCAACTTGTATGTTGCTGCTTGAAGAAGTAAAGCGCGCCAATGATGCCAGACCAACGTATAAAGCATGCTACATAAAGCAATATCTGGACGACTTCCAACCTTGTGCAGTCGTTAATTCGAGTATATTTGAGTAGACTTGAACCTTATCAAGAATATTATCTTGCTCTCAGAAGTTAGAGTAGGTGCGTCTATGATATGTACGTGAACTTAATAATACATCCGTGGCTTAGAATACCACAGGGACATAAAATGAAAACCTTTTGAAGAAGAGATTGATCCTAGCTTTTAGTATTATTGACGGAAGACAGGTGACCTTGACGGAATATACATTGTATGTAAATAAAAAGTATATATATGATTAATTGCAGCAGCTGCTTATGATATAGTCTGTTAACCGCACATGAATTCTATAAACTACTTGCAATGTCCGGGACCTTGTTCGACCGACATTAATAATAAATTTTAGCCACTTAATATGCTGCGTATACTATGAGTATACATTATGAGATAATGATACGGTTTTAGCAAATGAATACCCTCTTACGGTTGATGCAAAATACAGGGAAAGATATTAAATAAGCCCTTCTATTTTCCCTGACATCTATTTAAGTTACATCTTAATAAAGTGAATTTAGCAGAGTTTATTGGCTACTTAATTATTTTACTATTGTTTACTATTTATACGTTGAAAAATAAATCACTTTAAAAAGATTGCAACAGTCTGAAAGTCACGTTTTTGTTATGCTACATGTTTACTAATCAGCTAAATAAACCGTAGTAGTAGGCCAACGAAATCAAGCTTCCAGTCGATTGGAATAGTCAACATTATCTGCCGGAGCGTTAAACGTGACCGGCAATGCCTAGCAAAACACGATGAATGCACGCTAATTTTAATGTCATATTTTGGGCACTTGAGCTAAACAAGCATGAATCATTGCATGAGGCATACCATAGGTTGTTTGTTGCCCAGATAACTAAGGCGTAATCCGATAGCTGCTGCTTGGCCAAATGTTCCGCCGATTTTAAACATACAACGAAACTATAGTTGTGACCGGAACATTCTGCGGAGGCCTTAAAATGAAAAAGGGATGAGCCCACCAACCAGCAAACAGGTAATAGTATTCAATTTATTAATGGAATGCCTTGTACTAAATCACGTTAGGAGCTTCCCCCAATCGTGGAAATCCTGGTAGAATATTAGCAGCCTACTTTTGCATATTTGTGTAGTCGTGTGAGGTACAATAATAAAGGACGTAGCCCTTATCCAACCTACATTTTAATATTAGAATCTTATTTTTAACGTTGAGTTGATCGATGGAGGCCAAGTACTCTAAGCCGGGTATGCCAACAACGAGTGTATCTGAAAAAAAAAATGAAAGGAAATTACGAAATATATTAGTATAACTATCAAATGGTTAGTATATTCAAAAGGGTTTTTAGGCTTTGACCGACCTTCGGCTTGGAATATCTCGTCACAGTTTGCCGCTCTCCAGCTTACGTGGAGATAATTTTAAAGAAAGTCGTGAAGTGCGCGTGCATATGCTTTTTTACGGCTAATATTTTTTTCTATATATTGAACCAATTTGAACCACGATCATTAGATATTATTACGGAGGTCATCCAAAAGTAAATCCACGGCCTAACTAGGCCGTCGCAGTCTCCTGCCAAAACTCGCTGAGAGCAAGTTTACGTTGCGGAGTATTGACCCCGAAGTGTTTTTTTTTCCATTGGTTGTTGGCTATCCCCTTTGTTGTCTCAGTAAAATCTGGATTCAAGATGCTTGTGTTTCTTATGAATGCAAACACGTTGCCGTGCCTAAAGCCGCCGCCGCCGCTATCATGCAAGTTTTGTTTTGTGCGCACGTTAATGTTCGCTTTCCTTGTCACATTAGATGAAATAAGAACGCTATGAAATGTTTATATGAAGATCGATTTTGGGGAGTAGAATACGTGTAAATTAGATACATTGCAGTGGATGCTTCACAACGAAAACGAGAACGACAGCAATCAAATACGACGATGCTGATATTGAAAAAACGTGCTGTAACAAAGTCACGCGGTTTTGTCACTGGCCTACGGCTTAGCTCAACGATAGGCTTTTATTAGACTCGCTCTTTTCCACTCACTAGGTTTTCGCACATTTCTAACAAAAAGTCTTTTCTTACTGATGTTTTATTCAACAGCTAAGTGTTTTTTTTTTTTTTTTTTTTTTGTTTTATATATATCAAAGCGTAAGAGCATGGGAATTTAAGTGCACTCTGAGGAAAACACTCTGAATGCACACCATGAAAACTTTACAGACATACAGATCAATCTGATCCGACAGCAGAACACCACTGCATAGGCGATATCGTATCACTGTTGTTTGTTTACATATCTAGCGACCCTGTAACAGACGCTTTTAAAGATGCAACATATGTGTACTTCCATGTAGTTCGAATCGAGAGCAGGTCTTCAATACACCGAGTTAAGAATCAGCTTATTTTTCTCTAAGGCCTTCCATCATGACTTACCAAATTGTTATTAACATTAATCATTGCTAACCTAACAATAACTATTATCAATTTTCTCGAAAATTGTCTTAATAGATTCGTTTGTCAATATTTGGTAGAAGACAATTCGTCGTTGTGCATTTTAACACAGGCCGAAGCAGCAGATTTTGTTTGTCAGTGAAATCGAAATTCTTCGTTTAGCGCACAGTTGTCTTATCGTGCTGTACGACAAACATCGTGCGCTAAAAAACGTCTTCTATAACGGGACAGGTGAACGCAGGAAACATACGACATCACCACCAATACTTTTGTGTGCCCTGTATACTTAACGAACTTAAATAAGCCTGTTTTCTACCCAGAAACAACCAGGAGATTATGTGGATCGTTCTGACTATAAGCATACAATACATTTGATCCATGTTTCACTGACATTGTTGGTGCCTGTCAATCGATAGAAGATGGGCAATTCTTTCGACCTTTCTTCTTCTCAGACCTATATTATCTCCGGTTTACTTCACACAGTAAACTCGTTTCATATAGCTACAGATCGATGGGACTTCGCGCTTTCAAATAAGTTTTTGTTAGCTGAAGAGGGCTGCGTGTCCAGTTCAGATATAGGCGTGTGCATAGATCTAGCATCTGATTTCCATCTAGGTCACGCCAAATACGCATCCAAACATCGGTTGCGACGGAGGACGTTCTTCAAGTAAACCACCCATAGTAGGCGATCTACTGAATCGGTAGTTCTACGCAGTTTCGCCATCATAACAGAACGCCTGATGGAAATCACATTCGTGTGCGGCACGATCAGAGAGCGGGTTAAAGGACTGTACATATCCACGCAGTGGAGGATATGTGTGTAACAGTAGATATGGACTAATACAGAGGTGATCTATTTTTTCAGATTGGAGGAATATATAGATTGTATATATAGATTGATAACCTGCCTTAGGTTATTTGATGCGGCGCTGTTTAATGTACTCGGTATTATTTAGCGTGCTCATTTATATCATGTTGCATCATTACATCACATTTACATCATAGATTATGTCACAACAAATATGATAGCAAAAAGAAAAATAGATCATCCAGTAGAAAATTAGACAATGACATGAGACAACCTACACGAAAAACATGGTGGGGGCCAGCGGTATCATATACTGCTTAGCGGATCCTAGAACAATTTTACAGTAGGTTTAGGGTATGGGCTAAAATTGCAATTAGATACAAATATAGATAGGGGTGCACGAATTTTAGCTTATTTTTTATCCTATAGTTTTTTTTCTTACCTGGCCAGAGAATTGTACAGTTCGTATAGATCTGTTTGAATAGGTCAGGCTTATTTAAATTCAGTCGTCTTTAGTGTAATTGAAACCTTTGTACTACAATACACCACATATACGTACAAAGACTTATATGCACGAATAGTTTTGTGGCTCATGGAAAATAAATCAAAGCCAGTTTGTCTAATGTGGTCAACTTACTCGTGAGCTTGTGACCAACTTACCAGCCCTTTTTGTCATTGCCGTCTGACCACTTTAGTTTCTACATCTAGAGTCGATGAATACATTACCATTGAGTTATTCTCAAGGTAGTTTTCTATTGCATTTTTGCGGCTGGCTGGAATGTGCCTCTGGGTCAATTTCGAATTTCTTTGCATGATCGATACGAAAGTAATAGATCAAAGCAGCAACCAGACCCAGCAAAGAGGATTCTGTAATATCGATCACTAATCGAAGTCCAAAGCAACTTAGATGATCCCGGTAAAACTCGATAAACTTACGCTTGGACTATGGTTAGATTCAAATATGGCGGGTGATTACTAGACCCCAAGGTCTATCTAGTATGAGGTAGTCGGGAACGGTCGATTAGCACGGTCTGACATAATACGGTGGCTCGTTTTCATACGGGGACACGAAGCGAGTCTCGACTGACCCGAATAGCGGTTAGATCGTTCGATCGGTGACGTACAGTCTGAGGCGACATGCTAAAAATAGATAATAATTGCTGCTCTTGTTCCTGTTGTAGCGATGATGCAGTGTCAAGTATACGGTAAATGAGAGAATTAATCTCGAGCGTTTATAGAATAAGCATAATTTGTCTCATAGTTTGCAGCGTAGCCTCTGATAGAAAATATATATATAATAATATATATAAATAATCCCAGGCACTTGTACAGAACTTGCTTGTATACTAACGTTTCCAAGGAATAGTAAAGATGAATCAATCTTTGTTTGGCCGTAACTTGCACATAGTATAGATATGCAACTCGTGTACATATTTAGCCACAAGAACTCGATAGAAGTTGCGCTTTTCGTGTGGTTCCTATATTCATTGCAGTAGAAATTGGTGCCCCATACTATTGGTTACCAGCGCGTTTTAAATGTTCTTGTTATGATATTTTTGTTCTCTTTATAACCATTATTCGAGTAAATGCTAATCACTGACTGGATTCACCTCGATCATCAGTGACTGCTATTTAGCTTCACGCTTCACGAATCTTCGTATTTGATTCGAGGTTACCTAACAGTGGTGTAAATCGGACCAGCTTGACTTTCTGAAAAATATGGATAGATTTACTTGATTAAACGGCTTTCATTAGCAACGTTGCAATGAAAAATTTACATGTAGAACATTACGAAGATATTATCATGGATAAATTTAGTAGAACTAAACAAACATGTGTCCAACTGGGGGCACACTTAAAAGCTAAATCAACGCTGGGTCATGCCCGTTGTATTCTATCAGCGTCCAAGACGACGAGTAATACGTGCTTACAATGTGCGGCTTGCCCAAATGTCAGGTAAATAATAGGAGAAAAGCGGTGACAAAAAATATAAAAAGTTTAGAAGAAAATTCCCAATGAAAACCGAGAACAGAAGATTCGCCTTAGTTAGGGGCATATTTTTTAACTTGTATTAAATATTTGATGTTACGCAATAACGTACCTACTGTACATTGCAATTAATGGTTTCTGACAACCTGATATTTTTAGAATTCGCGGGAAAGCTTGTCTAGAAGTCTATTACTTAAGATAGCTTTATTATTAAACTATTATTATTCTAGGGCATCTATAGGACATTGACCACACCTTCATGTTCCTTCAACATCAACTTGCCATACTGTACTTTTTAATTTTTCTAATCAAATTTACCTGTTTTAGTTCGAGCTACATTTATTGTCTCCGGAAATATTGGTCCAACTCTTCGTGGCGCCGCAGCAATTACCGGTAACGCCTTGACTGAAAGAGGTGCTCCGCTACCCTTGTCGTTAGCACTTATCGTCTGCTCACTGTTGGCACCAACCACTCGTGCCCCGCCTAAGGTTTCTTCTAAACTTGTACTAACACTCGTACCTCGAGAGGCTGTCGCTTCCCCAGTATTTAAAATAGAGCTATTCTCATTTGCTGCTCCAACTTCCGTAACTTTGTCGACTTCAGTCGCGGCTTCGGTATTTCCCCGTAGCACAGGTCGTCTGATATGCCTAGAAGACACCATCCCAACTTTCCCTAGAGGATTTCTGGATAGACAATTCTCGTTTCGATTGGAGCCACTTTCGCCGTCCTCCTCGATCGATCCCCGAATGCGTGTTGCGGACGACAGAGATAAAGCTCTGTTCGTATTCGGCGTTTTTTCATTGGCACAGGTTCGCGGCTGCGGACCTTCTGCGGCAAATTCAGTAGCAATTCTGTCAGTAGGGGCGACTTGTGGAATGACAATTGTTGCTTCTGTCACTGCTGGGGGTCTGGTCTGCTGGAACTGCTGCTGGTGAGTATACAATCTAGTTGTCGCAACCGGTATCTCAATGGTTCGATGGATGGGTGTTGGAGATCTCTTGATGAACGACTGTGTGGCATCCGCTGTGAGGGCTTGGCTCGCTGCATGTTCCTTTGGGATCGGGCTGGTAGCGCCGCTATCGCTGCTGGTATCAGTCGTAGTGAAGCCACTAGCGAACTGCTTGCTGGTAATGGCTGCCGTTTCGTTGGCGATTGAACCATTGGTCGATGTTTGGACGGTGTTCTTCGTGAGAGCAGATGTGTGAAAGTTTCGGGGCTGCGACAAGGGCGAGGGCTGAATCTGGTTGTTGTAGGACATAAGAGGCGCGAAGCATGCGACACGAAAAACCCGAGGCATAGCGGCATCTTTCTGACGAGGGACAACCCCTGGGAGCCTTGAAAGGTCCCGTTATAAACGACTGCTACGCGTCTGCTGCAATTTACACAACAAAGGAAATAAGTAAGTGCTTAGTCGTACATACAAAAACTAAGTCATACATTTCTTCCACGATGGGACCGTTCAAGACGTGAAAAAAAATAACGTCTTCGGTTGTAAATTAAATACAAGTGAATCACAACTCTATTAGGAAAGTATTATTAAAGCGGAGTATAAAATTGATGACAAAACTGAGAAAAAATAGTACATGAGCATCGTATCATGAGCACTATTTTGTTACACGAACCGTGAGAGCATATCTTTTTCTATATTAATTTTTATAAATACCAGTTGCGAGCCATAGCGAACAAAAGGCTAATTACCTGTTAGAGCTCACTGGCAGACAACTAAAACAATTAAACGTCCATTGGTTACTTGAGCATAACCATGACTCAGTACGAGATATTAAACATTATCTATCGTACCTGTTATTCTGTAAACTTTACGCCATTCCAACATGAGCTAAATTAATTTCCACATTATAAAAACCTTGCTTTTATTACCTTTGGGTCGTGGTAGACCTACTTTATTTTGCCACAAATCGGTAATACCCTTCCTAAACACCTGCGACGCCGTCCGTGTGGCCTTTCATTCAAACTCAAACATCTCCGGGCAATAAGCACACACAGATTCGGTACTATTCTAGCAATGTGTTGTCACTACCGCACGACGTACTAGCACCACAAGTAATAGAATGCGTTCTCGTTCTAATATTCGCGAGTACTAGAGGGACGCGTTTTGGCACTCAAAGTTACGCTAGTGTCGCCAGTAGTTATTACCACAGAATGAAAGATGAGCAAAAGGAAGAGCGCACGCGTGTTGCGCCCCTGCTCCCCCATATCCTGAAAAAAACAGACCGCTGGCGAGAACTGCTATGTATTCCTTAGCTGTGCTGCGAATCGTCCTGGACAGCATGGTTAATAGGTAATATCATTAAACCTTGCGTGTTGCTAGGTAAAGGTCATTAACTATTGGTGTCTATTCTACTGGAAATGGACTTCACGTCCAACTGTGAACGTTATTTCAGGCGTCAGAAAGCGAAGCAAGAACACCTATTCGTGAGGCCCGAAGGATCATGGCAGTTGAACTAAGGGTCAATAATGGAAGGTCATAGGGCTAAAGGTGCAGCGTCATCTTCAGAGAAAGCTACAGCCTGAACATAATGGGAGCAATCGATTACCAAAGTTAGACAAAGAGCGAAAATAAACAGCAATCTAATTAGCTAAATCTTTAATGAACCGCCATGTTATCGCTGCTGTTGAGTGATTGTCGGAGAGTACACTATCGGATCGTTGGTTCAGGGCTCGGTTCGATCTATCTGTATCGACTAACGATCTGAGGCAAATACAGAATAATTGTGAATTTCAACGAAGGGTTAGTGGCATTTGGCTGGTACTTGGGCACATTGCTTGGCCAGCATCAAACGACACTTGCCATCCTGGCTCTTCAGCAACTTACCATATAGTGCGTTAAGGTGGGTCGCTAAACGTGTGCCAGGTAACCAAGTGTATTATATTAAATTGCCGCCTTAAATGGGTATTAAGAGACTTCAACTTGTAGCTACTCACTTATTGGGCTATTAAGTAGACTCTAGTCGTGTCTCGTATTTTAAGGATTTTCACTTGTTCAGAATCAACATGTTTTAGAACATAACCTTAAAAAGCCTCAAATTAAATCAGTAAGAAAATATGTTGTAACGTGGGTGATTGAAAATTCGCTGTATCAACCCAGTGTGTTGATAATCATCTCCGAAATGGATGTTCCTTCTTGATAAGCGGGCCCTAATACGAATAGCCAAAATCTACTATTGAGTCATTTCCAGTATTCAAGCGACATCTTTAACGATAGTTGTGTAGACACTCGTAGGTAAGCCTTTTTCTCATTGGAGGCCTCGATCAATCATGGCTGGAAGGGATTCGACTGAATTAACAGATCTATCTTTTTGAATGCATAAGCAGGTTAAAGGTCTTCGAGCCGCCAGAGCCTCACGTCAGTTCTCCAGGTTTCGTATCTATGTCTACTGCATCTAATTAATGCACGGCTTGCTCATGAGAGGAAAGGAATTATACATTAGTTATATAATAACTAATGTATAATTTCAACATTTAATTGTAAGTTTCAACAAGCGATTGAAATGGCTCTATTCGAATGAAATAGAGCCGATTCAACGCGATGCATAATTCGGGCCCAAGCTAATTCAACGATCATAATAACTCCTTGAAGATAAGAAAATAAGAAATAACGTTTCCGGCAGTCAGCTCGGAAAAGTGTTGATACTATACTACTAGTACAAAATTCTATATTAGACCTAATCTATTGGCTTTTGAAAACTTCATTTAGATTCAGGGCTTATCATTAAATCGAGCTCCGATTAACCCACGCATAACATTCATAGGTTGGATGATATAACACGTGCTATCTTTTGTAACTTACTCGCCATTTTCAAGTTGATTACAAAAACTATTTTTACAGAAGGTCAGGTTAGGTATAAAGCAGCTGGTTTTGAAATTCGTTTGGAGTTTTTGGTATGTTTACATACGCATGCGGCTTAAGAGCGCCGCCATATCTCTAGTTTTGGCGTCGACTTCTGCAGAGATTCGGGGTAGGAGCTGAACCGGATATAGTCGATTGGATAGAAGAGAGGTCGTAGAGCGCAACAACAGATTATCAATAGGTATGATAACCGTTCCAGCCAAAGAAAGAACAAGCTACTCCGGAAATATGACAATACCAGCATGCTCTCCTGATCGTTTATTGTGTGCCGCCTTCGTCAGCGACCATGTTTACCAGCCTATAATACGATTGTTTGCTACATACATAGTTCCAGCGAAGACGTGAAAAACCGGCACGAAAAACTTGCCAAGAAAGACAATCCAAAAGCGTCACTGTATCTATCACTTATCTGTGTAGCACGTAGTGATCAAGTTAAAGCACTGCTGCGAAGTAGACAACAAAATCGGTCAAGATATTTGGACATAGCTTGATGCTAGATACGTATATCATGTACAATAGTTATATTTTTTTTTGTCCAAAATATTGCAACATGTACTGCTCTGAATGTTATCTAAAGCATATCTGATAGCTAGCAGCTGTAGGACACTAACATCTCGAGCCACAATTGCAATACATGCCGCAAAAATTTTCTCAGATGTTACAAGGGGGAAATAAACTTAAGGTTACGTACACAGCGAAAACCGCTGAGACTTTCGGATCGCACATGAAACAGGAACGAACGCTACCGTCTACCTCGCTGCCGTCGACATGACTATTTCTTTTTCGCTTATTTGCATAGGGAATATTTTTGTTCATATGGTCCTATATGTTTTATTCGTGCCACATATGTTGTAGATTTGCAATACATATCGCTACTGTATAATCGATTGCAAAACTTGACGATGTCGGCTGCACCGATGGTAGACCTGCATTCAAGCTAAATTGAAAGTTTTTCTTTTTGCCATTATACCCGTCTAACGTAGTAGGACCTCCGGGAATCCCCGGAGTAAAATCTATTCGTCAGCTGATTTTATCAAATTTTAATGAAAAAATAAAAAAATTTAATGACGATCGCTTTGAAACTTCGTATCTGTCATCTCTGATGACTAGTTCCTGCTTGGCAGGTATTCGATATGCGTGTGCTCGCTGTCCGGGTAAGAGTCAACCGCTTTAGCTTCATTGGTGCTGTCGATCTCACATAGAGGGGCCTCTTTTGCGATCAAGAAAGGCTAGATTTTTACACACCATTCAATAGAAATAGAAGAGAGAGAAAAGCTTATGCAAGGAACTAACTGATGCTATCTGCGCATATTCATATTTCCATTAAACAATACTTGCCAACGCTTATATTCACCTGTGCCTTGCTTTTATCGTCAAGGGTTTCGCTCAGCTGATGCTGTCAGAGTGCAGAACTCGGCAACAATTGCAGTATATTACAGATTCCTAGTCAGCCATATGTGTGTCTCACCAAATGCGCCATCATGAGCCCTAGCGGTGGATGTTTACCGGCTAGAAAGCACTCTACTTCTTAGTCAGCAATGTCGTTCCGTTACAACAAAGAACTTCTTGATAAATGGTTGGGGCAATGGCAAAACAAACAGTATGCTAAGCTTGAACACATAAACGTATATAGCATGTAGAAGAGATGGTGGACGAGGCGCTGGGAATGGACGTCACGAACCATAAATAGATCTCAATTTATAATACCTGTCTAAGATCGCCCCTGCGCCACTAGATAAAACCTTGTCGAAGCAGGGCGGTTAGCGTTCCGTAGCCGTACTTAAAATGGCGCGCCTTGTATGTCGCCTTGTTCTCACTTCGAGTGCGCATCGCGGTATGTTTGGATGAAGACGTTGCCCATAGATAGCATATGCTTACATAAGATGTAATGGCATGTTATGATCTGGGTAAAGCAAAGCGTTAATGAAAAGTCGTTTGAGACCTGGGTCTACTCTCTGGTATTAGAGATCACATATTAAAATATATTGTGGGTTTTTCGTTGTGTTATGTCACTTATTTTTTGCCAAGTTATAATAAACATGATTTGGCACAATTACTTTAGTTTGTCGCAAGTAAATATTTTAGTGGACGAACAAAAACTTATAATACAATACGAGCTTAATTTGAGGTATTCATAAGGATATTAATGGTCTATTTTATAACTGAGTCTCACGGTACAAAGGCAACGAGTAATTTCAGACAGACGGCATTAAGATATCGTTATGTTCCTTCTACCACAGGAGTAAGCCACATGAAACAACAAGATGATAAAAATCAAAGAAATACTCTTTTTAATACATTTTTGTGCACGAAAATGCGACGCGATATATCTAATAATAACCAGGCAAAAATAGACGAACAGCCATCGCGAGTCAAGTGTGCCTTTTGAGCTAGTTACTGCAATACCACCATGTCTTATATTGTCTAACCCAGTGCCAAAAAGTAACGTATTACACAATTGTTTTAATGGCTGAAACCCTTTTGTCACCGAATTTTCACATAACACAGACTGCTATTGACTATGTTGTACATGTCTTATGATGGGCGAGCCTAAATCCTTTTTCCGCGAAACACCGTCCATTGCTTGTTGTGTAAATTCGCTAGCTTAATCTTTTGTAAATGCTACACAGCTGCACAGGTCATATATGTCTGTTCATCTATAGTTCTCACTCACTTGAATTTATAATAACTACATTATCTCCTTACTGAAATTAAAGTTTATTCAGAAGCTGTACTTGGGAGTGGAAGTAAGATACCGTGATTAGTATAGACTGGAGAGCAGAGCTTTAGGCACAACTTATAGGGGGAGGTTTCATAATTATCAGAAGACTATTCTTCTACTACGATTACTAAAAAAAAGCTATTCCGTCAGTATAGTCGTTAGACGACGTACGATTCAGCTTCAAGCACAACATCAATGTAGATGACAGTAGCAGATGCAATGTTAAGTGTGACACGAAAACAAATTATCCTTCATTTAGCCTTTTTTTTTCTAAAAAAAGAGGGCCTCTGGCGACTAGTATATGTAGTCTATACAATTGACATCGCTTTTTGGCCTAATGACGTGCAAGGCAGGATGGCAGATGAGAGTACGATATGATGATCTTCGATCAGTTATTTTGACGTTATAGTTATTAAAGGTTTTATCGGACACTGTCCTATGTATATATGAATTAGCACACCTAAAAGAATGTTACTTCCGAGATGTGGGAAGTCCGTTATTTGACGTTTGACGGCGCAGCATATGCTCTTCATCTGCACTAAGTCTATCCAGATTCCGTTTACATAGGAATACTTATTCAGTTTTTGTTAAATATAGCATTTTTTCCATTGCTAAAGCGGTTACATAAATAGTATCGACTAATTTCTGATTATTGATTCCGTAAGGATCTTGTCAATAACTTTTTTGTTGGAACTACCCCATCTGGTTAACAAATTTTACTGAACTGGGCTCCGTTAGTTTCCGCCATCTGCAATATAAATAATCCTAACTTATTTGTGAGTATTATACGCAATATAGTAGCAACATAAATATTACTAGCTTCACTAACTTAACGTACTTTAGGAACTCTATCATATGCAATCATTTTCAAACAATTTGTTCCTTTTAATATGCCCATTGACCCGTTACGTGACCTCAGCTTCGACAAATCGAATCTTGCCTTTATCGGTGATCTGATCACTTTTCGATCGCCTCTTACTCTGATGCAGCCCCGTCGCGAGCGCATCTCCTTCCTTCAGTTGTAAATCTACTTCTAAACGAATAGACTAACGTTAAGCGCTATCATTAGGCTTAACTACTTAAGCATTTCCATCGTATTTTCACCCTCAACAGCTTTGTGACCTCTTTTTGAGCTATGCGTCAATGGTCAGCTCATAGCGAACCTGAACGCGGATTGATAATAAATACGAGTAAAGCGTATTACGCATGAGGTCGCGGAAAAGGCAATGTGCAGCCTACCCAAGGACACACTTGAAACGCAGCCTTTCCTACACCTTTTTTTTTATCCTGCTGTTGGAATACTTTTACGTTATCTTCCTAATCTACCCTGGCTTAGCTGCTAAGCTTCCAATGAAACTGATGTCCAAGGGAACAAATTTACGCAGTATGTTACTCTTGAGACCTCGACCCATTCAGCTTCTCGCCAAAAGTATCCGTATATAAAGAAGATAAACATCCATCTATATATTTTGCCTAATCTAAAACTGATGTGTGGTCCATAATGCTTAAAATTACTATTCCAAAAAGCTTTAGTTATCTAGTTAAGCGACCATGTTCATATGGAAGGAGTTGACGGTAAATGTTACCTGATTCTGTGGCTTTTTCCAATTGACAAGATTTAAATAAAATTTGCGCGACAGTAACGTATCTTCATAAGGACTTATGGACACGTGAGGGGTGTAAAATCGAACGTAGACACTGCGACTTGCGCTTGGAGCGGCCAGCCGTCTGAACGTAACTAGAACTCGATTTTTCACGTAAGTTTATTTTCATTTCAAGCACCACTGTCCCTAACATTAGACGTGGGTCTTTTAGTAAAATGTGTTTATATCACGTTAAGCGATTTCCCTTCGATCTATGAAAAGTTTGGATGAATATATACGGAACCTTCGCAAAAAAGACTTACGATACCGTTGCGTTGCAGTTATTGCCTCCAGGATTACGCTAATTATGTTTTTTTTTTCTATATGTATTTATTTATTCAAATATTATTTCATATGCAAGATTAGCTAAGAAAATACGGGCAGCTTTTTAGGACAGCATTAATGAAAAAAACGGTCGTAATATTTAGAAGGACAAGACTTCCCAAAAAATACCACCCATTTTCATTGATCCATTTGTACGTACAACAGACGTACTAAAATTTCTGTGCAAAACCTTCTTTTAATGATAAGGAGATCGTTACCCATGCATCTAAAATCATAATATATGCGCTAGGAAAAAACATGCACATTGTCACATCGATTGTTCATTACCAGGGGCGATAACGGATTTTCGAATTAGTGAAGCGTCAGAAAAAGATTTTCTGCGTTCTTTTGAAATGTTTGTCAATTCATATCGATAGCATAGAGTGTGCCGTATTTGTTGAGAAACGGAAAGGTTTGAATAGACAGAAAATCCAGACCAGAACATCGTGTCACATCACTTCTAGAGACTACATAGTATGGCTCGAGTCAAAACGAAAACAAGTGTCCTTAAGTGAAAATCAAAGGAAAAACCATCAAAACACAAAAGCAATCCTAGTAGTTAGATAATGAAGTTCTATGATGGCTCAGAAGCGAGCTTAATGAGGTGGTTTTGATGCAATGCAACATAGCTTTCTATTCATTAACGTATTTACATCATAATGTAAAGTCGTTTTTGAGTTGTTTGTTTATACATACTGCGTATACGTAATATATTACATAATAGGTTACTTTGTTAAAGAACCCTTTGACGCTTGCGTGTCAGTAGAAATTAACACGCATACTATCTAGCCGCTTGACTAATCCTTTCTAAACAGCGATTATTTATTTATTAAGGACTATTTATTTTGTCGTGCCCCGCCGCGATTATCAATGTTCACAAACATCTACTTAACTAGCAGAGATGCAATGCGTAGTAACGAATTTACAGGGACGTTCTGGATACATTTCAGTCGAGAAGGAAATATACGACTTTATGAAAATGTTCATTCGATTAAGCAGGAATTTGCCCCGAAAATTTTTCAGCACCAACGTTTTTATGTCCCATATGAGAGTGGCAGATTTTCGTCCCTCCGAAATGCAGTGGAGGGGCGTCTTCGTCGTTCCAATCTTCAGTTTCTGACAAATCGTTCGATTCAACAAGGATGCTTGAGTTAGTTACCATAGTAATGGGTGTTAAGAATGGCTATTATTTACATATAGTTAATACTTACGCACGTTGATATCACCTCTTGCTATATGGATAAGTACAAAGATTTTCGAACCAATTTCCTTCTCGACCTATTTGAGCTATTCGGTAAAAATGTTCACCTTCCACTAGAGTAATACTTAGTTCATTTTCACGAAAATGGTTAGAATCACAAACTGTTTGTTATGGTTATGCACGATATAATAAACAATACAAGTTGGAAAGCCTAATGCACAGAAAACATTGGAAACAATGGAGTGATTCATTCGTAATTAACCGCATATGTACAACAAAATCAAGATTTCGAGTGTACGCTCAGTTGCTTCAGATGCACGGATATGAAGTAAACGAGAACAGCTTCAGCACAATTTGGTCTGCAGATGAACTAGAAGAACAGAAGAAATACCGAAAGGCTACGTTTTCATTCACGATAGCGATGAGGGTCAGCTATATTTAATTACGTTTGAAAAAAATCACGAACACTATTACATGAAGGGGCCGTACTTTCTCACATTACAGGAACTCACGAAGACAGCTTGCTCGTACCCGGGAACCGTTAGTGGTCGTAAGCGACGCTCCGCCACACAGGTCAACCCGTTTTGAATTTCATGTTTGTTAATCTTTCATGCAGTATACTCATAAGGCAAGGCATTCATATTTGGGTAAATTTTGGCTTGCTGGCTGGCTGGCAGGCAGACATCCATCCGTTCATCCATTATTTCTGCCAAAAAGAAGTCGGTCCTTTCTAGAACAAAATAACAAATTTATCATGGAAGAAAAACGGTGCGTGATTTTTAAAAATTGAGTAAAGATTAGCTAGTAACAGATCGCCTCACACTGGGCGAAACATGACGCGAGTAAAAGCATCCCCTTTAGCTCGCAATAGACAGTTCACGTTAGTGCCAGTTTTCACGTGGATTCTAAGAAAAATTTTCAAAAAAAAGGCAAACAGAGGGTTATATATAAAGGGCTCAAACACTTATCAAAATATCTCAGAGAGCTATTACCGGTACATCTGAATTTTTAGACGGGAACCTACCAGTTGCTAATTGAATCGTTTATATCAGATCCGCAAATTCAAACAGCTGAGCCTATTTACGCTTTCTGATGATAATGATAAGTTGATAATGAGTACCTGCACTTTGAGGCTGTTCATTGTTACCAAACCGAAATGTTATTGCGCTAATGTTATCTGTACGTAGCGAACCTGAGTGACATTTGAATGAGTCGATATGTACCATGATCGACTGATCACAGATTATTAACAAAAAGTTATTTAATGAATGAAAGGAAGACAACTTTGAATATCACTATTGGCCAGCTCAAGTTCCAAATTGCTGATCGTACGCTACATTGAATAAGCATGGCTTACAGGAGTGACACAAATGGAAAAAAAATAATTTAAATGCTGATTCTTGTATTCAGTTTCTCAAAATAACTCGCAAGTAAAAAGGCTCGGGCTTGCTTGTCAACCTTTCACTACTTCGTGTGATACCTTCCTAGACCACTTCAAATGTTTATAGCTTCCGCAAGCAAATACTTCCCCCCGTTCACGGGATAGCAGACTGAACACGAGTCATTTATCGCTTCGTACAGTTTGCATGTATAGTAGGCGATAAACACGGCAAATCCTTGTTGACGACGCCACTGCTATACGGTATGAAAGGCGGAAAATAGATATTCGTAGTTTAGCTTTTGCTCAGCCGTTAGGAAATTGGTGGCGCTACCATACGGGCGTCTGCTAATGATCACAGATATACTATGGGCACGCCTGTTATCGAAGCCATTTCAATGTGTTATTATACTTCTCCTAATATCGTTAGTGTGATTGTTATTTAGAAAAACTTACTTGTGTATAGCACGTAAAGTCCGCGTGTATTTTTTTGTTTCGTATAAATGATTTCTTCTTTCAGTTCTGATTATTTTTGATAAGCTAACTAAATAGACAACATCCTTAAAAGATACCGGGTTTATGGAAGCTCACAGGCTTAAGCACGCGGATAAGCTGCGTTATTTTCTGCATATTGATATCAAAGCACACTATAGCATTATCACAAATTTTTAATCATTGTTTCTATTAGTAGTCAATAGGTTTTCAACAGGTTTCACGAAGGTCACGTACGATTGATCTCCTCTTTTCCTAGCCTAGAGATATTAAATGCCAATCAGACCTGTTTTAAACATGACCAATAGTATTACAGTTATTGGCAAGCCGCGGTCTATCGAACTTCACGATATTCATTCAATATTATATTTGTATTGCTGCAACTAGTATTTTCGTCACGGGATCGATCAGCTTCGGTATACGTATTGAATTAACAAGCATTCGTAATCTTACTAATAATTTCCTAAAAATAGGACATTTTTTTAAAACTGGTCTAAGAAAAATAAAAACTTTGTTCATCTCTTCTATGGGGAGATCGTTATGATCCGCTTTCTCATGTTCCGTGCTGCTCTTTTTTTTTTTTGAGTGGATTCCGCCCGGGTCCGGTAAAGTGTCCTGAACTGAACTTTGCCCTTACTTTACCTTACACGCCATCTGACGGAAACCTATCGACAGCTTTATACCGGGTCCGCTATTATTTAGATAGCAAGACGTCAGTTAGAGCAGGTTGGACAAATAATTACTTCGTGCACATAGTTGTATTGAAGAACTCTCCGGTTGCTTTTATAATCATCGCAAAGTGATATATTTTATGTGCTTGTGAACGTTTTGCGTCAGAGACCGCAATACTGTCGAATCTATTTAAGACAGTCTTATTAGAATTCCCACTATCAAAAACATTCGTATATTTTGAAATATCTGCATAAGCATCTACAAGCTGCGTGGTAACTTAATGTCCGTCGAATCACTTTCTCATTGCAAACCCAGAAATACAATTTTACCCATAATAATAATAATAATAAATCAGTAAAAAGTGGTCCGCATGCTTTTCTTATGATATCGAGTACTTAACCCATAAGCGGCATATGGATTGAAAATGTTTGTATATTATTTATTAATAAACATTCGTACTACCTGTCCTTACCACTTTTTTTCTTTTTAATATTTAGGCAGGTTCATAAGTGGCTATCATGTATTGAGCTAGACTTAGTAGGACATTTTCGTAACTGAGGTCACAGGCGCCTCTATATACAGCGGTTTTTAGGTTTAGCGTCTGCTAATAATGTTCCTATAACATAAACGACATCAAAAACTCAATACTTTGTAATATATATATTGAAAGAGGGACGTTTAATAAAACAGCGCTAGTTACAACCTTTTTCGATCGCCTTTCCAGGTTAGCTTGTTTACAAGCGTCAATGGGCGGTGAAACAAAAAATGGCCGCTTGTCATGAATGAAATCAATTTTATGAGTAGATTTCCGCACGTGTGACTTGTCCGCCTTGTCATTCCAATACCCTTTAGCCGATGAATTAGAAAACATCTGTTTCGTTAAGTGCCTTCGCTGACTGCGACTGCTGATATCGGCATACTTAATTCATTTTGTGCGAGTTACCACCACAAAGCCCCTTTAGGCGACTTCACATCACCATCGAACCCCTTTATACTTCCAACAGCGCTCGCCGTTTTAGTTGTTTGCAACAAAGCTGCGTAATGCCATACTTAGCACGGGTCAGTATCATTACTTCTCGTTATTTATTGTTGAACGTAGTTTTGGTGTTTTTTTTCAAAATTTTTAAATCATTTTTATTGCCTCGAACGTGTTTCTAAACGTGGGTGATTAACGAATACTTCATTTAGCCTTCTCCGTTTGCACGTGTTACTTTCCGCTCAGTGACCCTAGCAACCGCTAATTCATTTACGAAATATAATATAGAATGCATTACTCAAACGTCGTATTCAAACAGCAATGGGGCCCCGGACAGCCAAAGATTGTTAGCAGTTACTGCAGAGGTTGTTCGATGCGGCATGTTTGAGCTCCGCTAAAGATATGTCTATAAGTCTGTAATATCCAATATGCAAGGCAGTTTGCAAGAAACTATACTGCAGTTCATTTTATAAATAGAAAAGGGTAAATTTTTGAAAATTTTTACTATATATTTGACAAGAATTTTTTGCTGTTCCGGGACCACGTTTACGAGGCAGTGAGGCAGCATCACGGAGCAGGCAATTTACAACTATTCTAGCCTATGATAAAAACATATGTACATGGTCGAGGTTCTACATGGAGCTTATTGATTGTTTTCGTGTTTTCATCCAGACTGGAAGCTTTGATCTAAATACACGCGTGTGTACGAACTAGGCCTCATCTTACCTAACGTTCGGTCGTTCCAGCGACGGCTACCCTCGACATCAAAAGGCTTTTTCTTTTAATTTAGTCGAATTATTGTTTTTTCAACTAATCACACAGAAAAGGAAACCGAATCCTATGATCGGTGCTAGCCGCATTTAAGTTCAGCGATATGAGCATTCTTGTTTTAGCCACACTAATAAGCGTCAAAACAGAAGTTACAAACTTTTTCATCACGAGTCTAAATTACACAAAAACAATCAGAAGACCAAATGTATTTGCTTGCAGTTGAAAAATAGCTTCTTTACGATGTAAAACCCAGTCCATTGACACTGACTGTAGTTATAAAGGGAGCCGGGCGTGTGAAGGTCTGTCATGAACAAAACTGGACCGCGTTTAATGCAAGCATGTGCTTTACTAATTCTAAGGCAAGAATAATCTGATACGAAACTATTTCCATTCTGTATCTAGTTTTACCTTCAACCCTCATATGTTTTGGTATCATCGTCGGTGGGTTTGTCACCGGTATCAAAAGCGGAGCCCGAGGAATAAGGTAAACGCTAGTTGGGGCAAATAATTAAAGTCATATACAAAGCATGAAACACGATTCATGAATCTACATTGAATTAACTGGCTTGATTTGTTTGTCCTTGCGTGAACTCGGATCATTGTGGTGCTGTGAGTATTCTTCAAACACCGGCGGCATTTTAGTTGAGAACGTCCTCGAAAATTCAGCTTTGTTGAAAGATATCGAGTTTTACGTCCGGGTCTACTGCGTAATTTAAGAATTGCTTCATACAGTTGGTCTCTGCCAGTACGATTTAGCAAAGAAGTTATTTCGCCTCAAGCTATCTTCAACCCGGAACTGAAAAATAAAAAGCCTTTTTTTTTCACACCAAAAAAAAAAGTACAGAAAACTTGCATATTAACTGTGATTAGAAACATTGAATTTATCGTACGAAACCGAGTGTGCGCCGAATAGCTCAGTCTGGGATAGTTAAGCGTGCTGATATTCCAACGCATCGAACTTCCCTACATGTTTGACATCACAATAGTAATACGAACGTTTGTTAGAACGTGTGTTTTCTTGGTCTGAAACCTCCAATCGTTAATTTAGGCTTATCGTATGCTAGAGTTAGGGTCTACGTAACGGCCGTGATCAGTACTAAATACTATCAAACAGTGGGCAAAAAATAATTACATGTAAAATAGCTGTCAAGCAAACCCGTTACCTCGAATTTACTATAGACCAGAATAAGTTGGAATTTAAACTAAAAGTTGAGCCCGATCCTATTTATATTCTTTCTAACTAGTTGGCTGGAGGCGGTTATACTAATCAAATTATGTTTGAAAATAACTTCGAAACTTACCCGAAGTACGCGGTTCTCTTTTTATTGGTCTCCGTTTACTTTATTTTCTCGAGGACTTTTTATATCCGTTCAAAACTTGTATCGACGTATTTTCAGCATGTTCGCGTAAACGCTCCAGTTGGCTTTTTTTTTTTACTTTTACATGATCATTATTTGTCGAAGTTACTGTAGCTGAATGGAATCGTCGTGTGGTGAAAATAGCGTGCAACGCTGTTTAGGATCAGTTTTTCATGAAATAGATAAAAAGATCTATGGAAAAAAACGACAATATCTCTTCAATTTATTTTCAATGTATCTTGATAGAGTAATTGATAATCCTGCGTGATATTGTTGCACTTTGACGCGATTTGACATTGGTGGACAGAACTAGTTGGCATCGATCTACAAGCGAGCCAATCTTTAGTCAGTCTATCTTTTTTAACCTTGCTTAATGCACCGGCTTGATCAATTGGCAGAGAAAACTACCAAGATTTTCGTATTTTTTTAAGCACTAAAAAAGTTCAAAGGACTTTGTGCTCCTTTAGACGATATGTGTCCTGCTATTCGCAGATACCCTATTTGAAGGGGTACCACCGTCGTTTCTTCCTTGCCACTGACCAGTGAGCGAAGCAGACGGCTACGTACTGTGGGCATTTTCTGTTAGGATATAGGAGACGAAGACCGGATCGTAGCTACCCAACGAACAGGTCCATAGATCCCTCAGCCGTGTTCGGGAGAGGGCGCTGTATGGAGAGGACGGCTTCCGTGCATAAACTCGCGGTGGCGACCAGTACCACGCCGAGTAGGCCGCTAAACGGACGCTACGAACGCTCACGCACCTTATTGGGCACAACAGTGGGTTTGTGTACTGACGTGTGATATCGGACTTTCTAGTCCCTACGCACCTACTGGAAAATTCTTCATAGCGAACTTCAGACATGGTCCTGCACGATATTGATTGCTTACCGGACCTATCTCAATGATTACCGTCGGCATCTGCGTCGCTGCATCATCAGGAGAGCATCTGACTCTACAAAGGACGATAGTAATGTGTACGCCAGATGCTTAATGAAGAGTTTACAGAAATATAAAACTCAAATTTTTTTAACAACATGTCGCTTCCAGCAAGTTTCGTAGTTTCCCTTTTGTAGAGTTTTGGTTGCCAAAGAGCCTGTCATAAGCGAGGGTGCTGTCACTTTAGCATCGTTACTAATAAAAGGGTCTCATCAACTATGGCGGAAATGTAGGCGCAGCTGCAAGCCGCTCCTACCAAACGACTTGAAAAGTACCCAACCTAGTTTTCCGATATACAAGCTGTAGTAACTTCGAATGAGAGCTTTTATCCAATGGACAGAGGTAAATTATTTGTTATTGGAGCAAACAAAATTAGAATGTTTCTATTAGACTGGACACTTTTCGATGGTATTTGAATTATGTGGTGCTCGGCTTGACAAGTGTCCAATTTGAGGAGAAAATGGTACATTATTTATGTAAACATTTCTTCTTTGAATTTGCAGGTAACCGTTTAATAGTGGCTGGTGACGACATGATGCTTACGTATTTGCACTAACCGGCCTTGCTCAAACACAGATAGATAAACCTTTGAAATGTTAGTAGGTTCAGAGTCCTGGAAACCTAAACTTCAAAAGACGAAGGCTTTGAAAAATTCAAAAAGACAAGACATTTGGGCCTGCGTGGACGACTAGGCAGGCGCCATCTGGACACAGCTATCGCTAGTTCTAGGTTGTTTCGTAGTAATCTTTTTGTTTGTCTTGCAACATCTTCATCAGGACTCATCCGCGTTGGTATTTAGAAATATTTTTCAGATTTATCAAGGCCATACAGGGCGTAGTAATTTTGTACGTAGACTTCACATAACAAAGCTAGTGCCCAATCTAGCGCACGATTAAGAGATACTCCATGTTAGCTATTTCCGCTTTATTAGAAATAGAATGCAAGCATTTTTCAGTACACTTGTCCGAGGTCACCTACACCTCGGCTGAAGGCACGATTACACTGAGCCCATCTCTTCCATTGTCCACCTATAGAATTAATATATTTCTAATATATATAATGTAATATAATTACTATTACATTAATTTTTTCCTCTTCTGTGGAAATTCCGTGTTACTTCTGCAGCCATTTCTTAATTAGCTCATTGTTATCACTGTAGCACATCGTCTTATGATAGTCCATTATGTTACAGGTGTGCTTTCGTTAGAGAAGAATTAGCCACGGATCACGTGTATTTTTACAAGTTTTGTTTTTAACAGGGAAACACATATCTAGTTACATACTATATAGTTGTAGATCATCATATTTGTGATGACGAACCCATTATTTTGATTTGCGGCTTTTAAGATTTTGTTACATAGGCTCTACATTACCCTTCAAAACTGCAGCTGGTCTGACGTTTCTTTACATTTATGGAAATTACTTGTGCTTGATAAACACAAGCTTTTTAGGTCGATCGTTATCGCCCAACAAAATTCGAATGTCTGCTAAACCGTAAAAACTGCAGTCACAACCTCTGACTATGGCCTTTGTTTGAAACGTGCTTAGCAAGATCTTTGCAGCTTAGGTTGCACGTTAGCAAGATATTAGCACGTACCCCACTCATTTATAACTCTGATCGCAATTTTAACTCAGTCACTATAATCCACTGCGATAGCCGAAATCTGCCTACTTTTGAGTTTGCAAGATATATACTTGACTTCGTCACAGCGGTAAGCGGAACAGATCTGGAATAGAACAAGCTCGATTGATGGTCAAAGATCTTACGTTACAAGATGGATTGAGAACTGAGATTTAGTTTGTCGTATGCATTTGCCTCGCCCAAAAAGCTTCACTCGTGCCTTCGACACGGTGTTTCTGTGTAGTTCAGATCCTTGGCCAAAGAGACCATGGATCGAAACGGACACTGTATACGGTACCAAACCCTTTGATCTCGGCGTATTCCCTAAAGGTAATAGATATACACATAAAATATACCAATAGCCTCTATGCATCTATGTCTAACTATTTAACTGTCAGTGAAGATGAACAGATAAAATACGCCTCGATTTAGTCTCTGAGAAATTTCATTTATAAGAAAACTTTTGTAATTCGCAAAGCTGGCATGAATTGTATTATTTTCAAATATGTTTTATGGCCATTTTGCTTCTAAGAAACACAACTATACCTCTGAGTACTATGTATAGAAGTAATTTTAACAAGTAAAATGTAACTAATGTGTCACGATCATTTTTTTGCGCAATACACCCGCTCTGAAAGAATAAAGCATTACAAAGTACCTGGCCTAGAACGCAAAAAAAATGGATCCGATACATTTCAGAGACTGCTGACTATCGAAGATACATCTATCAATTGTCGCTTGCGGGCAGTTTTCACGAAATCTATTTTTATAGTTTGGTACAAAGCAGGTACAGAATGAAGTATTGATACTAATTACGGAACATAGTGTTTTAGACGGATGATTGAAAAATACGTTATGACGCGTATGGACTATATATTCTGGTTTAAATTTTACTATCTGAAATGTTAAGAGGAAAATCTGCTTAGACGTAATCCTACCAAAAGTTAAGCAAAATTTGCACGTCAAACTGATTTTGTGGGCCATACATTTTCATATTAATAGCACCTTCGATTTTCTGTTGTTCTAAAAACATAAATAGAACTAGATAAATTTATTACAGAGATTAATTTATTAGAGATAAAAATAATAGTAATAGATCGCCAGCAAATTTGTTTTTATAACACATGTATATGACGAACTTCGTGCCAGTTGATTTATAGCTAGTGAAGACGGTTATTTGTGTCTTGTGTCATTTGCATGTGGTAAGTACGAACTAACCGGACACAAGGAGATACTGAAGATAATTACTTAGTTCTTTGCTCCAACGTCCTATCCATCTTTTCCTTCAATTCTTAATATCAAACAAGATAAATTGTATTTATTCTTGCGTCAACCTGCAGATGCCTCCAGTGGCTCACAGCTTCCCGCTGCAAAGCCTCTTGAAGTTCGCTACTGTCAAAGCTGTGATCTGGGCGTGCTCGGTTCCGTAATCATGCAACTTCCGCCAAATGTATCCTCCATTGGCTTTGTCTGATCCCCCCTTTACTGCGAAAATGTTCTCTTGCGTAGAGTATCTCGGTATAAATGTTTTGTGCGAACGCGAACCAAACCAAATATTGTCTTCCTCAAGGGTCAACTAAGCGTCAGCCACGACTTTCCTAAAATTACACTACACTTACATGGTGATCTTTCAGTTTGATTCGCCATATATTTGAATGCATATATGGCTAATATATAGCAGCTGTTTGCTATATCTACGTTGTAACGCCTCTATTGTGTCTGTTAGACGTAGACTTGTCTCTCAAGTACAAAAACGGCTGAAGGTTATTCTTATAAATCCACGATCTCCTGCCAGTAAACAGCATTGATGGCTGGCACCTCGCCTGGTCTTCGAGCGCGTACAATGTCAAACCTCGTATGTCGGAAATCTCCACTCGTGATGAAACAGACCAACGCTCCAGAATCGTCTGCTCCGCTAAGAATGCTCGCAAGGTGCCAACGTCGGCCTCGCCACTCGAACCAAATGTTGTTAGTAAGATGTTGATGGACCAAGCGTCTTCGACTTTTCGAATTCGAAGCTTGTTTTATCTCTAATAATATACTCTGTTGTAGTATTGAATATATGCAATAGCTTATGATGTCTGCTGCAAACGTTTTTGTAAATATTGTTGTTCATGCAACCTTTTTTGATATTATAATTGAAATACTTAGAGGGAATCCGACGCAGTCATTAATGTAAAAGTTGAATTACCTAAAAAATTTTGTTATGACGAGTTCCCAATTAAACGACAGTTTTAATTAATTTGCTGGCTAGTGTAAGTGACCACGTTCGAAGTTCCAATAGGATTTTAGTAATGAATTGGTCATCTATTCGTCAACCATTTCTTGTCCGAGCTGGCTTTCTGCTAGCAGAAATTGCCAAACCATATAAAATTCATTGTTTCATGTGTTGTCTCTCATGAGATAGACAGGCAAATTTCGAGAGATACGAATCTATTGTATCGCGAACGCTACTCTTATGCCGGCCAAAATTTTTCCTATGAACCACACGCCATTAAACTGGTATAAACATATGCTTTTATGGAATCATATATATTACGTAATTTTTCATGAAGTAAAGTTCATGGGAATTCAAGCCGAGAGCGATTATTTGAAAAGGACGTGTTAAGACTTCGGTGAGGTATTGTTATAACTGTGTCTAGAATTGCCATAACTATATTTAAAATGAGCACCGTAGATATTGTACTATATTTATAACGTTAGGCCTCACGGTTTTAAACTACATTAAGCTATAATACTTTCATTTTGTTAATTTAATTTAAAGATAAATGTTTTATATATTGTTTACAGTTTGTTTATGTGTATATTTCTATTAAGGCCTAAACCTCACCTATTTGCATAAGCAGATGGACATAATATTCGTACGTATGTAGATTAGGAATAACAGTATTCATCTATATGTACGTATGTATATGCGAATATATTAACTTCACTAAGTTTTTATCACGGCTTTATTATATATGTACATCTGATATATGGCTCTTTTTAGCGTACTCAAAAGGATTGTACCCAATTAGCCAGTCAGACGTGCTGTATTTTTTTTTGTGAATTTTAGTTTTTCTTGTATTTTTTTTTCTCGTGTCTATCGATAACTTCCAGACTACGCTATACATGATGAGCCCCGCTCAATGATTATGTGATTTGCGTCGAAACTTGCCTTCCTTTTACTATCGGCATCTGTAACAGGTCTCAATCTATTATATTTATGTAGATGGCCCCATTATGCTAAATGGAGTCCTTCATTCTTACTCTGCCACATATATGTTTACATATGTGTATGTGCTTCACACACACTATACATCCTTTGTTCTATGTTACCAATGCTTTTGACCGGTAGACTTTACATCGATTTTTCTATTAGTGGAAACATTATTTGTATTATGTATGCAACAATGACGCTAGCCTTCTTTTCTAATTGTAAAAAAGTGATGTTCGTTAATTCTAAAGAAAATAAGGCGGATGAAGGTAAAAGATGCGGCATATTATTAATACGCGTTGTGCTAATTTTCTCTTTATACAATACCGGATGTATCGCAGGTCTTCCTTACAATTTGGTTTTTATTTACTTTTTGAGTAAGGAAGAGTACGCAATATCAAGTAATGGCATTGAAGCTCGAATATTATATATTCATGCTATCATATGTATATGGGAGTGCGCTAGGTGTCTAACCCAAAACCTCAATATTTCAGTCGAGAGACACTAGACCTCAGGGCATGGTGTTTCTAGCTTAGCTTCCTTAAAAAGGAACTGCCCCAGAACAAGGGAAGTATCATTGATGAAAAATAACTTTCCTTATTCATACAACGTCTGTACAATCTGTTGTTGGAAAGACTTGAAACAGTAAAGACCCTCCCCCAGTGTTCTTTACCCAGGCTCCTGGCTCTTAAAGCAACCGCATGTCATCAATAAGAGTCAAGGAAGAAGTTGTAGCGAACATTTTCCTAAAGGAGGTCTTCTCTGTAACCACTTTTGTTCGTTTTCAAAAAATCGCGCTGTACAAGAAATATAATTCATTGATTATATTTATTATACAGCGGTTCTATGTTGTGTTAACAGTATATCGCATGAAACTTCTTATCTCTAAGCCTTGCTCACTCTGCATATATATATGCATAGGTATGATCAACTTGACGCTCGAGACGTTTATACAGGCGGTGCCACTTATTGCAATTGCAGCACACCGTATGCTACATAGGGTAAATGGTATTTATAGGAAAATTATTAAAGGTGGAAAGCTCGAAAAATAGATAGATAATTTTTTTTTCGATCTTCCTTTTTTTCGATGTGTTCGGAAGTGCTTGTTTGATGTGCCTGTGCTTAAATAAGTGATCTCCTTCATTCATACAATACCTCAAAAATTTCACCCAATACGATAATTTGAAATGTCCATCGTTAACGGTAGCATGAGGTCCTTCTCAATTAACCGGAGTTGCTGACATTTAGCTAATATCTATTATTGACAAATATTTTTATTTGTTTTATAAGCCAGTTATAATTCATAATCATTTATTTTAAGAAGAACTGTACTGCTGATATTTTTTCTATTTAGCCTCAAGCCATACAGGAAGGTGCTTTCAAGGCAGAGCAAATCTCATATTGAGAATCGAAGGGGTCTCGAAATAATTTAGAAATGACAGCCTTCAAGCAGAACGAAACAAACTCTGAAGTTTGTTAAATCTCATACTCGTAAATGGTCTATTTCGACGGCTCAGAAATCCCATGGACTACTGAAGCTCGAATCACCAAACTCTTTTTTCGGCGTAATGACAATAGATGCAGCATTCGTACTGATAAACGAGGCAACGACCAAGAAACGTGTTGACAAAAATGCCCGTTTTGTCGGAAGGGGTCTCAAAACAGCTCTTCGCAAATGAGGGCCTGACCGACGTTGTAATGGCTGAAAGCTAAATTATTTTTGAGAAATCGATCTATCTATTTTCGTTAACGCTTCGCGATGCAATATAACAGAGGACATCAGCCGCTTGCCTTTGTAACTCACCATGATACAATCGAAGGTACCGGAAGATAAATTACCGCCGTCGGGAAGCTGCTGAGTATCACAGCATCTTGGTCGTAAAACAGGCTATTTGATTTTATCTAAAACGATCTACTAATAGCTTCGGAGTTAATTTGCTATTTTGATTGAATACAGTTGAACTTCTATTATGCGGTAAAGGAACCATGGCCAAGGTTACTCTGAGCATATTCCATCCTTTTCAAAATCTAGCGAAATTTAGATTGAGACTGTCAACTTTTGATGCCTTTGATCAGACCATACGGGACAACGTAAGCATAGTTTAGATAACTGCTACGAATTTGTTCGATAACTTTGCTATGCGCACCTGTGGTCGAACGGTTGTACTACTATACGACTGATTCGATACTTGTGGAACACTAATTATTACCAGTTTCTCACGTGTTCTAGCGTACCTCCACACGTATAATGTATTGATTCCGGTCACGTATGCCGTCCACCATTCTCTCAACTGATTGCTCAAGGACTTGCTGCCATACAGGCTACCTTTCCCTGGGCCTTCTGCATTCAGATGAGATGAGGTCGGTTCGCCTGCATACGCCAGTGTATGTGGAGTGACTTGATGATATTGTCGTGTTTGTAGTTGTTGAGTACGAACTTGAAGCCCTTTGCGCCGTGTACTCGTCTTCATCCATTGATGGCGACGGCGATGTATCCGAGTCCCTTCGGAACCCACCGAAAAGAATCCCCGACAGGAGGGCCGAAGCTGATTTTGACTTTTTCAGAGCGTGACTGCGTTGTTCGCGAGCTTCAGCTTTTAATAAAATAGAGTTCATTTCATTGACTTTAAGCTATAACTGAGTATACGAATTTGTATATGGACCCGACAAATATGTAAATAAATATCGGTGATGATGGTAAAAAGTTAGTTAGAAAGTGTAATAGAATCATGTAATGATATACGATGTAGACTGTCAAAAGCGTCTTCGTGGTAAGCCTATTTGAAAATCCTAGGTAGCTTTATGGAAACTGCATAATTGAGTAGGCCTTCTTGACAATGAGAAACGAGCTTCCATTACAATTTTTACGTAATTCACTGCGCCTTGTAAAGATCAGGAATAACTTACCTGACTCATATTTGCTTTTGCTTTTGGTCTTGGATTTCTGATGTTTCGATTTTTCTTTTTCCTTCGATCGTGAATTGGACAGAGTAACAGTGATGCTGGGTGGAGTTTGTATCGCACCAACGAACGCAGCAAAATTAGACTGGTCCCAATGGTTGGTTCCCAGGCGGCCACTGGTTGAGTCCCAATCATTTAATGAAGTCAGGGATGTGTCTTTCGAGCTGGATGAATTTAGCCTACTCCCATATTGAACCGGCCCGACTGGGTATACAGCTGGCCTTAGAGATGAGGTACTTTCAGCGGGTGATTGGCGGTACCGTGACAGTTCGCGATAGTCTGTTTTTTCGGTTGCTCGCCGCAGAATTCCTAAAAAAAAAGGCAGATGAATAAATAAAAGGCGTGCAAGCTATCCTTTCAAATTTTATATTCGTATCCAAACAAAGAGTTAGGTTAATTCTATCGCACATAATGTCGTACAGAGGCACGTAAGCCATATTACATTGAAGCTGGATTATTATTGTCGACAAAACTAATCAAAAGCGTTACTGACCGCCGCGTAGTAGTTATAGAGAGAGGATTCAACTCCTACCTTTTCTTCCTCGATCTCGTAGCGGGTGCGTTTGGTCGGACGACACGAGCACCTCGTCGCGTAAGACGCGCCTCCTGAAATCAACAAGGGACAACAAGCGTAAACGCCTTTTGCTCACCGTCATTCATTTTGGCATCACGATTCTCTGTGTTCATCTCCCTGTAAACTAAGACAAGCTTTCAAGCTTGGTGTATTTTTATCTAATGTATACGTTTTGAAATCCATCACTATTATTTACGCTACTTACCACTAAGCAATATTAGATAGAAATTCAATGTAACGATATGAGCTTAAACTAGGTGAAAGAAATCGGTGTCAATATAATCAGAGTACTGGACCACCGACGCATGCGTGGTCTGCAAGAGAGAATAATTTAGCTTTGTTGCCGTGCTGACAGACCGTCAGTGTTAATACAGACGCGTCGAATAGCCCGCTTACGTTTTTGTAAACATACCTTAAGGCTGCAAAAGCAGGCCAAGACGAATGTTAAAAAGCTGTAAAGTAGTCGACGCAATTCCTTCGCATATCAATATGGGTATTTAACTATGGACCGAGGTGAGAAACGGGTCTAACGATTCTTTGTCATTAATTAATTAAATAATTATGTTATCAAAACGATATTGTTAACGCGCGCCTCTGACTAATTCGAAAGTAGAAGTTTTAGATAGGGCGCCATTTTAGCTTACTACATATTATTACTGCTCTATTCCACATTGATTTTGAATAATGTACGCATCGGTAACATATCAATTTGAAAACCTTATCTCGTGTTCAAGGCGTACCATTATCGACAGGTCCGGAAACAAACGCTGTTTAGAAACAACAAGACTGGAGGAAATTCGGGATCGAAAAAATAAAGTGAAAATACTAAAATGTTGAGAATCAGCTTAGAGTAAAGTTATTATTTTAAGGTAAAATTTGAAATGACCGTGAATTTTTTGGATAACAATAATGTTAATAAAGTTTGTTCATTATACCAGTACATTATTATTCGAGTATGCAAATTAACGGATACATCCAGTACGAACCCCTGGGTAAAACGGGGTGGGGCATCGCAGTTACTCGAGAGAAATCTATCTGTAAAGAGATTCTCAAGTTGGAGGGGCTCCTCGACGAGCATCCGGCGATACATCGCATCCATGTCCGCCGCAGATACAGAAAAAAGTCGTTCGAAATTTTCAATCAGGTACCTGCCGATGAGATGAACGGTGTTAGAAAAACTTCGCCTATTGGAAATGAGTCATTCAGCATTTCAAATACCAAATCTGAGTTTTACATTTAGTAAATGCTTCATTAGTATATCTATGTTGGCATAGAGACTGTCTTACTATGAACTTCAGCTGTAACGCTGTTTTATTGATTCTATTTCGGTAATTCCGCCCCATCTACAAAGATTTACTCTGAACTTTGGAATGAATATACATACTAGCAGTATGCATTTGTGAGCTTCTTGACGTCAATATTGGCGTCTTCCTATAAAAGTGGCAATTTATTGTGTCTGTAAATTCTAGCTGAAAGGTTACTATTCAACCCGCATCAATAACACGTATGATATGACTAAATGAAGATGCGAATAATTAAAGTAAAATATAACAACACTCTGAAGATAACAGGAAATGCGACACTTTAAATTGCTATATATATTCTGTATTTGACACGCACCTAACAACAAGTATGACATCACTCCGCTCTTCGGCCCTTTCAAGTTTCTCCACAAAAAAACTTTTCGGGCCCGAGGAGGCGCTAGGGGTTGGATTCGTGCGAAGAATATTGGGTCCTAGAACTGTTGCGAGATTGTTAGCATCCATTTTGTTACCCGACAACTGAAATTAAGTTCGCTATATTTAGAATAGCATCCAATTACCGAAAAAAATAATATTTTAATATTCATCTCTATGCTTCTGAAAGAACAAATACTATGTTTTGCCAAACTCCGAATATACGAAGAGCTGATTTGACCTCTATTCGATAACCTTACAGGTGTAGGCGAATATGAGCGGTGCCATGGCATGTACTGCATGTGTTTAGCGAAGAAATGCCCTTAACTTATCATTTAAAAACTTAACGATTGAGAGAACGGATACACGCCTTTAACTAGCCCATAAAGTCACTCAGACACGACACGTCTTCTTGATCCTTGACGAACTCTTCAGCTAACGTAAGTAGTGTTGATATAGAGCATCCCACAAGCGCACATTCGCACCTTTGCCCACTTACGTGAACAATGAATCTGCCGACTCGAACATGTCTTCTTAACATTGCTTAGTACAGTTATAGTAGTCTACCTGCAGGACCAATTCGGCTGGGTACTAATTCATTATGGGCACTTATCGTAACTGAAGAATCACAGACACCGTAGTTCTCGGTTGCCAAATTGCATATGACCCAACAAAACTTTTTATGGATATAGCGTCGACCATAGTGATTATTATATTATTAAACGATTATTTATCTCTATATTATCTGGACAATAAACTTTCGATAATTAAATTGCTTATTTACTGGATCTTTAATTGCTATGTTATATCAAATTCACACGAAAAATCAAATACTTCAACTTACAAAGCGCACCCAAGCCATTAGTACTACTGTTTCAGCACGTGTCACAATAATAAGTCTGCCGATAATAATTCGTGCCCATTAAACCAATTTAATATGTACGTTTGTGAAGCCATCAGGAAAGTTCGGTTTAGCACACAAACATTTTTCAGTTCTGTCTTGAACAACTATCGAAATCAACGTGTGGTTATATTCGAAATGATCTGAATAATTACCATTCTGCTCTCAACATAATGATTATATTAGGCCCTTATTGCAGTTTTGGAAGTAAGCCATGTTAAAGGCTTAAATTCAAATTTTCCCGGGTTTTTTCGGCTTTATTTTACAGAGAAGGCTGAGTTATAATTTACCTGCATCGTTAGCTTTACACATTACGGGAACGACAAGTAATCATATCGAATGCTATAATCATGCATTGTCATCATTTATCAAATGGAATAAGAAGACCTTGTGTTGATTTCAATGCAGACTAAGTCTATTTGAAGACTGACGCCACCAAAGTCCTATTTGGCCTGTGTTCCAGTAGGCTTTTACATAGGTATCCGGCAAATCTATATTTTTCAAATGGTTTAAAGATAGCTATAATGAACCGATTATCAATGCCGATAAAGGACTGATTCTAGCTGCCGTAAATAATGTCGCTATCCGTCTAGCGCTTGATAGTAGTCCGGCTTATTTAATTATTATAAACAGGTAACAAACTTCCTTCGTAATCTTTCGCTCAATACCGTCCAGATGGTCATACATCAGTCGCAAAATGGTCACAAAAATACCGCAGCAATTGATTCACTATCTGTTTTATTGTTCACAGTATTTATCACTGCCATCCAATTTCAATTTCGTACGAAAAGGGTAAGGTCGATGCGTCTCCCCATAGAGGAAGATCCCGCCTTAATAGACCTGATACTTCCGATCGATATTTAGCCTATACAAGACTCGTAGCCTGTCTAATAATAGTATGGTGTTATACGCACACGCAAATTTCGGGCTTACCGAATCTTCCCCGACGACTTCAGACCTGTATGTCTGTACATTTTTGCTACGGATCTATTATTACCAAGTCTTATTGGATGGGTCCGAAGAGATTTCCTTCACCACCGTTCTGCTTGAAAACGTTTGCTTGTTGTTGTTGTTTTTCGTAGACCGCCCTTCGCCTCAAGCGGTCTTCGTCGACTCTAATCAAATGTATGTGTCTGGCGCGGTTTTGATGTTTAGCAATGGTGATCACGGAAAGAAATTTCTCTAATTTCAGAGAATCTTCGAACGTTCTAAATAAGGCAGACAGCTAAATATCGTATTCAAGGCGGTACGGCGTTATGGAAGGGTACGTTGATGCTGAGAAATAATCAATGTTACCAAGACAAACAGGTAGACAGCTCTTCCCTCCATGGAACACGATGCGTTGGAACACAACGGCTTAAGCTTGCTCCATACATAAAGTTCAGCCGATAATAGTCGCGATGATGATGATGAGAATAATAATAATAATGGTTGGCATACAAAAACATATGTTATTAAATAGTAAAAATTAATTTCAAACACAACATCAATTTGATTACAATGAACATTATATATATATATGTATATAATGCTGTACAAATGCTCATATGAGTAGGACGAACTGCGTTCGTATATACCTATGTAGAGCCAGATTCGAGTCGATATAGATATTTAGGAACTACTGCCTAATACTTAATCCAAAATTTAACATATTTACCCATAATTGCATGGAAAGAGTATCTGTGTCAAGGGTCATGAGTATCAGAACATGACGATGTATGTGACAAATTTTATAAGCTATACTGGACGCCTTAATAAATCGTTATAATTATATCCATAAATTTACAGTGTTATTGAATTTCTCTTTAGGAAGCGCCATATTCAAATAATTCTATGCGAAAATTGTGCAATATTTACAGTTCGTTGTGATATTGTTCCATCCGGTATTGTGGTTACTACTGAGAGTGAACAAACGAAACTTGTAGCCCATAGAAAGTCAATTATTAATGTAGTAAGCATCTGCTAAATGGGCACCTCCGAGCGCACCTACGCCTTTGAACCTACTTCACATCCTGACCTACACGGTTTGCGTTTGAAATCGAATGTTTATCTGTGTACTCACAGTGTCGTCCTTATTTGATGAGTGTGTGCAAATATTGCGTAGGAGTCTAAGGAGCGCCCATAGTATGTCACGATTGGCAGGTGGCAGCAAGCGAATTAAGTGCACGACGGACAATAGTTGCATCTCGCGAGGTAGCCCTGTCCCATAGGTGATTAGAGGAAAAGGCTAATTAGTGATACGTTTATACACACGTATTATGAAGATATTTGCGCGATACTTTTATGTCCATATATGTAAATGAGATTTAAAACGCACGTAAAAATGACCAACTTATATATAGCTTGACCTCGTGCCGGCATTAGGTTAATATTAAAGTACAAGGCAGATAGACCTTATGCCTGGCCTACTGATCACTTTCCAACTATCTTTAGAAAACCACAAAAAAAACGGCATGCCTTTTTAAATAAATTTATTGTTCTACTGATCATGATTAGAACAAGTAACGCCATCTAACAATCATTTCATAAGCAAATCACAAGTTACTTACGTAAGGTAGAAAGAAACGGGGAATAAAGCTGCCTCGTCATGAGAGGCTCCGGCAGATCCCTAAAGAACTCCTTTAAAAGTTGTGCCACATCGTGAGCTCCTCCGCCACCGCGAGGCCAGTTTTCCCATTCCTTTGGCCAATTCTCCCACCTGCGTAGTTAGACAATCGTAGCGACCTCTGGTGACAACAACAACATTAGCCTATTTGTTTATTAAAAGAAGTTGTTGGACATGAGGGCCATCGCAAACATCCAACCCATCGGTGCATAGAATGTTCTGTGAAGCACAGAACGCGCCCTATGTCAAGCTTGCTATTGTTATTAAATAATAGGAAGCAAACCAGACTAAAGATCGTGAGGAAGCGAGGCAAAACGCGTTTCTAATAAGTCAGCGTGTTGCCTATGCCTGCGGTGTACACATGCTTGTCGAAATCCGCCTTTAATGAAGTCTGTCGAAGGGTACTAAGGACAAAAAGAAACACAAATTACACCTCAACTGAGCAACCTCTATTAATGAAATGGAACTAGAACAATAAAACTATATTTCTTTAGTTACGTCTTTACTTACTCATGAATGGTTACTACATTGTATCGTATGTCAGGACAATGTAATAGTAAATAAGTCTTTATGTATCCAATATATATGGACAATGTTACGTGACGTATTTACTGTATGCTGTTGACGTATTATATATATCGTAAAGGAAAGTGTACGTTGCATTTCCTAAGGCTATTTTAGCAAATAAGTGGTGTCTTTTTGTTGTTTGTGCATTCGTAAAATATCGTGAATCGTACAATCAAATGTCTCTCTATTTAAAATACACGATAATTTCGAGGTCAACCACTATATCCGAGAAGGTGATTTGCAGATATCGTTTTTCAACGAGGAAAATCATAAAACAGAACGAACGGCTAGCAAGGTTACGGCTGGACAATACGATAGATGATGCTTTGCAGTCAGATTTAAAGGACGGGGCCATCTGGTCATGTAAGGATAGCTCATCTGAGGTGGTGAGGAACCTCATCAGGGTGACCTTAGCCTCATGGCCCAGTGACACTAGTCACTTCCCCAACTGGCCTGTAATACCGTTAAATGAAGATCAGGGCTAATGCAGAATGAATCTTGACAGAATAACTGTCTCGACGGAAGTACGTTCAATTATCGAGCCTGAACCTCATACTCAGTCTACATAAAATAGGTTTGGTGTCGCTGGTCGTATGTGAACCGTATCACTCATATTAAAAATATATTGTTTTCTTTAGTACCTTTTCGACATAACGCAAAATGGCTCCCTGACACTGAGTTGATAGGAGTGTGTACCCATTCGGCAGCTTTACCCGATAATGATTAGAATTTAACAGCGCATTTTACCACTAACCAAGAGACAACAAATATATATCTCAAACCCAACTCAGGCTTTTCAAATAAGAATGCCTAAAACCGCTTCTTACCCCGTATACAATTCAATTTCCGTTAAAATAGCTTCCGTGAAATACTTTACAATCATCTAGTACCCTTATATTGAAAAAGATTCTTATTATAGGCCAATTTACTTGACGAAAATCTGTCGGACAACTAGCTATTCTGTTGATAGCTATCTATGTTGTATTAATTGAGCAGATCTGAAGCAAAATTAAAAAAAAAGATAGAGAAATGCTCATCTATTAGTACTTGTCAGAAGTGACACACAGTCATTACGAGAAGCATGTTTCACATAGTTAACGATATATTTGGAAGGGTTACAACAGAGAGTTGTCGGATGTTATCGGGCTCACAGCCAGAATTTATATCAATAATAGCAATGCAAAGAATAGCGTTTTGCCTAATGTTGAGAAGTTCGAATATCAGGCTTGTTTTATGTCCAGCTATATTCCTTCTAGTCGAAAACAAGCAGGCAAGCCTTATTTGCAGTATTACAGTAAACGCAGTTACAGATGACTTACGTCCATTGTCCTGCAGGCAAATCTGCCTAAATCAAAAACAGGCAAGTAGAAATATTAGGACATTTGCTTTTACATGCCACAACTTATCATCTATGTTAGATATTAGTGGTATATCTATTTAGTAAACTTAAAGGCACATGAAGTGGGATCTGGGTCTGGAACCGGGCGTAGTCAGACATACTTTGTTTCATACTGGAAGAGACCGGCAGCCGTCCGAAGCAATGGTAGGCTAAAGCAATTCTTCACGTAAGACTACAATGTTCGTTTATTTGTATGCCACAGTTCACCATCTGCCTGCTTATCTAACGGGATCTATTTTTCACTTACAGACATTAGCATGCATCCGTGCAGCTTCAGGCTATCCTTGTTTTAAATACGACGCATACATTATTCAGCTGCCTCTGCATTTAACTCGTACATGATTGTCTTAAACATCCATGTGAAACTCATCATTCAATAACGGGTTTCAATATTGTTATTTTATGTTTCCTAATATTGTCAAGAACAGAAGTTCAAGGTCGAAATTCCGATTTAATTGACGTACAAAAGGACGTCCTATAAGTTTCATATTGAAAGCAAATGGCGTCCCTGCTTAACTTGCCAGTTACGTACCGTGTGTCCTCTCCACTGTCGGCGCTGTCTGCAGAGGCGAGCTCATCGGGAACACGAAGAAGTCGTTCAACTTGCTTCGAGCCTGAGTCAAACAACTCTCTTAGTTGACGTACCCTTCGTTTTGAGCTCGATACCCGAAATACACCAACCGTCGTAGGTCCTATTCAGGTAAGGGACACGCAAAGATTTGTAATGGAAACCTATAGATGTCATTAATATTAGTGTAAATGAGAAAGGATCATTATATAGACCGAATAAGTCGTCTCGACTTTAATAGTAAGTTGTAGAACAATTAAATAAAACCAGAAAGATACATGAACTTTGTCTCATTCTGTATACGTCAAATCTAAATCAAAATAATTTATTCACCCTTATAAAATAGTATTCTAAATATATACATATAAATTTATAACAATTTCGCATACGAAGTTCTACCGCTATTTTTCGGTTTGTTACCGAGCCAGTCTACCCAGCTGTCGAACTTGGCGGTCGACGAGAAGCATGACACATACCTATGTCCAATGCAAATACACTTATTAGGTCCTGTACTCTGAATCGCTAAATGTCGGTAAAACTCGGCAAGTGCTTTCCTTGTTTCGTCTGTTATGGTCACCATGATTCGGGACTGACCGCCGTGAATTACCGATTACATTTTATCAGACTTCTTTGGAGTGCTGGAGTTACGACAGGTTGAAACAGGGACAGAAGTCCTCGGCGGATAGCGCCATCCTCCCACAGAAGGTAGGCAAGCCTGTTACGGGTTGTCCGGCACAATCTCAAGCCTTTTTTGAGAAGCAAAACCTTTGTTCGATTCCTTTAATATAAGATCATCCATCCGAGATTAAGCAGACCCCGTAAACGGCAGCGTTGAGATTAACAAATCGCAAAGCGCTTTAAAGCAACAATTCGTGGGTATTATGTATTAAGGACAAACCTATCAAGGCTCTTCTGCATGTTTCTGTAAAGTGCTGGAAAATACCTGGGTTGTTATACGAGGTCAACAAATCCGGGTAGCTGAATCCGTTAACGTATGTTAGCGGTCGGCCCAAGAGATATAGCGTGTCATGAATGGTAACTCTGTCACCTCTTCTAAATCGCATTGCCTCAGGTTTAATTAAGTTGGTGGTCAGCTTCGATTCCAACATGGCTGAATGTGACCTGGTTAGGGCCTGCCGCACATGAGAGCAACTGCAATCGTAACTAGCTAAATCGTCTGCACAGAGTAGAACCTGTACCGTATTTATTAGTCCACGTATTTTGTCCACAAGATTGTTTAGGAGACTGTAAGGAGGTTTCATAAATTATCACTTCTAAGTCACATCTGTGATATGGGAGAACGTTGGCAGCTCTAACACCTTACCGCCGATTGGAATATTGCTCCTATTAAGTTGAGCACATTCGCGGCAACTTTGACATCGGCAAGGATGCTTGAGGCTATATTCTTTGGAGCGCAGTCGGAAATAGCCTTGAAACTCACAAACAGTTACCAAGTATACTGCCGATAACTACTTAAGATTCGCATTTTCGCGTCATCAGGTAGGGTTTTGCATGTTGTTTTGGCCAAATGATCCTCCTTGGGTATTGCACTTACACTCGCACACAGGAGTATGCTTAATGTGCTCCTTAACAGACACGAAAGAAGTTTAGAACAAATGTTTTTCTTCGCGCCATGACGTCAATAGGCTTAGGATAACGGGAAGCGTTGTACCCCTCCAGTTAGAGGAAAGCAGTCTGGAACGAAGACGCTCGTTGAACGTAACCGTCCAGCACGACGCCAGCTCCACCGTAACCATGAGGTGGGTTCATTTTGAGTCCTGCCTGGGTCTGCTGCCCTCTTTGAGCGTATGCTCTAGAGCACCTGAGTCACTTCCAGGACAGACAATTCCTGGTTCAGCCTTTTGCGTTCGCCAGTTATCGGTTCGTTCCACGATGAGATCCCTGACGTGCGCTTTCAGTAGGTGAAAACACTAGTGAAATGGTCGATTAGCGCTGCGAAGTTCGTGGGACTCGGTGTAGGCCTGTGAGGGCCTAGCCATTTATATGACTGACGCTCGATTTCTCACATAAGCATAGCCTCTCGCTATAGGCATTTTGCACTGCTTAGTATATGTTTTCTGGCAGATTACTTAGACCGCTCCAATCAGTAGCCGCGCTGCACTGCCAGTTATAGTCTTGCCGATAGCCCAAATGCATCTTAGGCACGGCGAATGAAGTAGCAATTACAATGAATGATGTACACACGATGACTCCTGGGTCATGTTGGATAAACTGAAGATATCAAGATGTTGACGAGATGACTCGAATAGATTTCGACATCAATCGGCTTCAGTGCTGAGAGAATCTCGTGAGCTCATTCCCGGAACTTCTTCGAGTTTAACTTATGCGTTAAAGGTTAACTTCTCCGGACGGGCGATAGTCCTGTCCAACCTCAAGGTATAATCTATTACGTTACAATGTTTGACGAAAAGAAAAAATATCTAAGACAGAGATTATATATGTATGGCACGGCACCTATATTAGGACTTTTGTTTGTTTTCTTTTGAAATTATATCTAAATAAAAACAAATGTATTTTTCTTTGTATAGGTGATAAGTCTTATTTATGGTGGTCATGCTCAACCGCTACTCAATACAGTTTCAATTCTTACAGGTTTTAAACCACTCAACAAGTTTGTTTCAAATGTTCTCTGTGAAATTGTCCAAACTTTTTGTTGACAGCATAAGTGAACTGATGTTATCACCCCCGAGACATGTTGGATCATCATTTAATATGCCCCATGCATAGTAGTCCAATATGTTTAAATCCAAGGGGCAGTGTGATCACCTCAGAATATGCTTATTTTTCTGGCAGCCAACGCTGCGCTAATGGGCTTGTATTAGCTGGTACAGTATCTTCTTGTAGAAAGACATGTACTTACCATTTGAACACTTCAGCTATCAATGGTTGTACAACAATTTATAGAACATGCAAATAAACTTCCTTACAAATAAGTTAGCATTTCTAGAAAAAAAAGTATAATGATATAACGTGTCCATCACACAACATTAGTCTTAGACCATCAACGTTTGCCGACAATTTGCTTAAGGCCACAATAAACACATGCTCATTAGCAAGTCCACGGACATTTCTGCTGTTTATTTTTACCTCAGGGAAAAACTTATCTTTGGAAAAAATCAAGGTCGAACTGCTAGCTCATTTTCGAAAAAAAACTGAATAAAATTAAATCTTTTAGTTCTATCGCATTCATAAAGCATTCATCTGACATGACATATGACGTAAAATTGAGGTCTTTATGAACAATTTGTCCACTTATCGCACACACACTCACATTGGGTTTCTTTACAAACGGCCTTATCGAAGCAGGGGAGTAATTAAAGATGTACTTTTGGATAGCAAAGCCTAGCGTTAGGAACCACACCGTTCTCTCTTTGTCGCGGACCTTCCGCCGTCCTGCGCTGGAACCTACTGTTGCTTCTTCTGCGGCCACAGTCTCGATATGCTGTCGATTTAAGGTAATCCAAAAAGTTCATGATCACGGTGGGATTCGTCCTGCATAACTGAGTAATAGCTGATTTTCACTTAAGTTTCGAAAGGAACACCCCGTTGTTCGTAGTGTCGAATTTGTTCTATTGTAGAAAGAACTGGCTTCCGGCAGGTATACGGATGAACGCATGCCCGTTACGACAAATAATCCACACAAGTTTGTCTGATATGTATCGGCGTATCGTATGTATATATGTGTGCTGTATACTTACCATACTTGTAGAGATATCGCAGGCAAGAGTTGACAACGCGTGGAACCCGCGGTCCCGTGCGTTCATCGGAAAGGTTAAGGGAATAGGTAGACGAAGTGCCTCCGGTGCGGGAAGCGAACGTTCGTCGGGTAATCCGGCCGCCCCTGGGTTCCTCGTCGCCACCTTCACTACCAGCGCTTTCAGTTACCGCTAGTAAACTGACTGCGGACATGCCTCCAGTCATTGACGACATGCTTACTGCTCCTGAGGCCCCTAGGTCAGCGCTCTGAGTTCGTTCCCGACCTGCCCCAGCCCCCTTGCCCTGTGGAAAAGCAAATGCTCTTTACTTACTCCGAAGAACGTTATAATATATATATCGAAGACTAACTGTGCGTGAATTCAAAAGGCGATATACTAAGTTTTTGCTCAACGTATGCAGTTTTATTTATGAAAACAGTTTCACAAACGAAGTCCACTGACGTCTGCGACCTAGAAAAAATACGTACGCATAATTACTGAGCATTTCTCAGAAGTCACTCGTTCTGGCTACCATTCTGAGGTAGTTCAATCAGTGTTAATAAAGTCAACGTTTAATTTTGATTCGCTCTGATTGAAGTAGTTGCCTAATGAAATAGACTAACCTTTTTCGATGGCGTACCATCGCTTTCCATTTCCCAGGGGGTGCCGTCTTCACTGTGCCGCCGTTCCTGATCGGCTTCTTCGATTTCCTCTTCATCTAATGAACCCTAGATGTGTTCATTATCAATTTAAAGAAAGACGCAGCAAATGTTTAACTACTAAATATTATCAATTTAGTTAACTTCATACATGTATGGGCGTTCTTATCTTCCCTTTGAGGAACTATTTTCATTCATCAGTCCGCAGTTACAGCTGCAAGAAGATATGTAAATAACTTACCTTAAATCTCATACTGTAGGTTAATTCATGAAGGGAATCCACGTCAGCCAGAGTACTTTCTACTCCGTGAATTTTGGCATCCTGCCCCAAAAGCCGAACCAGACAGACTCCGAAGCATGTTTTGTCTTCTAATGGCGTATCTGAAAGCCATAACGAATCAATGAAGATCATAAGTAGAGATTGGGTGAAAACGACGAGCTGCAAATCCACAACACTGACCTCGTCTACTTACCTAATTTTTTGTTGAAATTGTTCGCGTTAATCAAACATTGTACATCGAATATTTTATAGCCGAATCTTATTGTCTACTTAGTTTTGCCCTTCATCCGGACTCTTTGTGTACGGCGGGGCATGAAGCTTCTGATGCAGCACGCACCATCACGTAGCCCCTGTGGCTTTAAACAAAATTGTTATTTTTCCACCGTCAATTATATTACCGATTTCTTGTCGATACAATAGAACTTGAAGTTTATACTATGAAAACCGCGCAGTCAACTTAAAACTTGAGTAGGTAATCCGATTTTGCTTACTCCGAGTGCAGCGAATCGTGTCGAAAGTCGCCTTGAGATAACTAACGATAGTACTCGGTAAATAATTCTCGCCGAATGCTGATTACTTCCTTTGTTATGTCGTTCAAAGAACCGCTCATTACCACCAAGTCGTGTTAAGGACAGCGGATCGCACGGAGAGACGAGTTTGCAATCGGCCTCATTGAGAGCGAAAATCTTCCCGTGTATCTTGAATCACTAGGCGCTATCGTATCCGAGGCGTGCATCCACATAAAAGCTATAGAGAAATCAACAAGTTTTATTTAACAGTATTTGGGCGCTTGTCAATATTTCGACCTCGGACGAAACCGTCACCATTCTACACCGCAAAGCTGCTACGGTTGCAGCATAGCTGCGACACGACCCGGTATCCAATTTTCAGGACAAATAAACAAGGTCAATCAATGTGGCTTGCAGGCTCTTGCGAAGGAAGTCTAATCACTACATTTTGTATTAATATCGGAAGTGAGATTTCCCTATTAGTTCCTAACAGAACTCCGGTTTAGAACTTTAAATTCACCAGGAGATCTGATGTGGATTCGGTAACGTGCCAATGAGCGCGTATCTGGGCAGGCAACAATCGTTCGAGCGTGCCCACAAAATAGCATTTAGAAGCGCAGGAAACGGCGGTGACATTCACATCCCTCCCACGAACTAATGGTAATAGCGAAGAGGCCGTCCTAAACCAATGTGCTTACCAAAGCTGATATTGTAGTCCATCACTATTCTACGAATTACCTCTCTGCTGAAATTATATATTCATTTTCAGAAGTCTTACAAGTATATGCAATAACATTTAAGCTTAGACGAAAAAAAAAAATAAACCTTTGCCTCTGACGACCACTGCCTCTAGTGAACGTAATAAATGAACCAGCGATTTGTGCAGCTTTCGTGCTGCGAGACAAACAACTAATTTTCTACAATATACGATTCGCAGTGCTCGTAGTAGCTGCCACTTCTTTCGGCGGCCGAAGTCTCCAGAGCTATTCAGCTCTCACGTTTTCTCACAGCATGTACTCTCTGCTGCATCGACAAGAGATCGCTTACCTAACTGACGGTAAAGGAACAACAAAGTGATTTAAGGCCACCAGAGCTATGCAGTGGTGCCTTCTCTACGGTCATGCTGTGACAATCACTTGACATGTCGGATGCAAAAATATCGATTAGATGACAAAACCAACAAAACAATGAAGATTCTGCTTAGAAAGGCGCAACTTCTTCGCAAATACACATTTTAACAGGTTTTGAATAAATCGAAAAAGCAAGCAAAGTCCATGTTGAAATTTTTGCTGGAAGGTGTACAGTTTGTCATTTTTGTTGGCGAATTGTCGTTTGTCAAAACTCCTAAGTATAAGCTCCTTTTGTGTCATTGGATCATTTGTGTATTGGCGATAATTAGTGTATGTCGTTAACTTTTTGTTTATCTTCAAATATCCCTGCTTTTAGATCATTTATTTACTCCAAGAGTCCTTTGTTTAATACTGAAATAATTTAATCTTTTGTGTCTAAGAGTGTCTTGCATCGGAAAAACGATGTTATGGATTTCATCTTCTTAACGTTTTTTCTTCGCCAGTTGCGCAGCTGTACATAGCATTAAATCCTAACAATAAAAAACCGATGAGTAGATAATAGTTTTTCCTCTGCTTTGTTGTTTCTCCATCAAATCGCTTGTATTGAATGCTCTGCTTGGACAAATCCCTGATGCAATGCCACTCTGCGCTATCGATCGATCCATGCTAAACAGAACAGTCCCCGTCATAGCTTAGAGGGTAACTGTTTGTATGTTCATTTTAGGGACACGTTCTACCATCTAGGTTCGCATAGGTGCACTTCATTTCGTGCTGGCAGGAACCAGCCGTCATATCGACTGCTCAAAGGCGATACCGGATGTAAAATCTGAAACAAAGACGACAGCTGAGAGCTGTAGCCTATGCTACGTAAAGACAGAAAAGGTACCGTAGTTTAGACACAGTCACCGATTGACGTCATCAATGATCGACGGAAGAATGACATGTTCTCATACGGAAAATGCCCTCGTTTGATCAATGCAAAAAGTCTATTTTCCAACAAAAATCCTGTTTCGTTTTTGCATCAACAACAGAGAAAATGCAATTTGTAGCTTCTCGTATGTGCCTCACAAACCTCTTGACTCGTGTCAGATGCTTCCTAGCAATTAGCCATTATAGTCACCCCGTCCAGCTTTGATAAATGCGTAAAGTGACGTGTATCTTGCTGTTACTATATTAAAAGCTATTTGTTGCTAAACTTGATCGTTGGAAATGTTTTATGAAATGAAAAAAAAAAAACGACAAAGAAAAAGCTTTTAGTCAAATCTATAACGTCCACGCTATAGATAACGCCTGTTCTGTAACGTAATAGATCCCTTCCTATAATATAGTTAGCCCTCTACCATATTTGTGTAGGAATAAATAGGCATGTGCAGAGTATGTATCTGATAGCATGTCCACAGGACCTAACTCAGATCGATCTGTGTTATTGCAGTCCGTAAAGCGGCACTCGTCCGAGATATTTCTGTTCGGGCGATCCAAAGCATGTTTGCAATCGTGATAGATATCTGAAATCAATAGACTAGGTTGTATATCTTATAAGCATGAAACAATCCCCTCAGCTTGAGTTGCCTTTCGAAATGGTGCCCGTGCCCCCCACCCCCCTGAGCTGCTTCGATCCATCTATAACGATTAGAACATGAATCTTAAATAGTTTTTTGCCGGTGATCGTTCATTGAGTTGTGTGTGAAGAAAAACGAAGTATAAGGCTCAACGCACCGATGCACGACTCTTAGAGCATTTCAAAGAAGTCGTATCGTAACGCACTATTCTCCAAATAATACAATGCAACTGGAATACACAGTTATATCTCATATTGTTTTTTTTTTTTTATATCAGAGCTGACCACGCCAAACACGGAACGAGAAATACAAATGGACATCAACAGTAAGTAAGTTGCAATTGTCTGCGTTTCTGGCTAAAATGAGATAACTATTGAGAGTTCAGCGAGGATTTGTTTTGCAGTTAATTGTTATATTTATATTCGAGGAGAGAATCAAGTTAAAGAGAACACGTTAGACCTCCGAGATATGTGAAGGCGAGCCCAGTTCTTTTTTTAAATTGTTATTTGTGCATGATGAAACTTAATAGGGATTGGATGAATAGCAAGTTGTAACTAAGTTCAACGCGCTCGAATCATAAAGCAATTGATTGCATTCAAAGGGCAAGATGCACAATATGGTATGCAGGACACTTATAGGATACAGGGAAGGTAGCTTCTAAAACGATAGAGGAAAATATAGAGCTTTACCATTTTCAAATTTGGATGACATTTCAATGAAGCTCGTGGTCACAGCTTTCTTCTTGAGCAGGGCAGTAGGTTTCCGGCGAGATTTATGCGGCTTCGTCGGTTGATCATCGTCTGCAAAAAAAGGACAAAAAAACCATTCAAATTAAGTATGTACCTACACTGTACATATAGATATAATTTGTTCTCTTTTTATTTTGGTGCATCTAATATCAAAGTAAATTAACCGAGTGGTATTAGAAACGCGTAAATATTACAGTAAAACCATTTCGAAGAAAAGATATATTACAGATATGATGAATTTCTGCTGACTTCCACTGCAAACGCTGCTATCTTTTGCATAATCCGCATAGAATACAATCAAGCCTCTCTGTTTGTAACCCATCATCACGATGTAACGTTTTGCTAAAAAACACACGAATAAAACAATTACCTTTTGGTAGGGCGGGAATTTTGAATCCGGGCAATTGGTTGATTCTTTCGAGCGAAATGAGCGCTAACATTTGGGCTTCGGCGCGACTCAACGACACGAGGGAGGCGGATCCCACCTGAGCTCGGCACTGCCATTCGGTATTGCGCCACGCACAGTCGCCCTAAAACGAAAAGGTCCCCTGATCAAATAAACTATATAGAATAACCAAGATGATTTATAAGGAAAATATCATAAAACAAATATGTGTTATTTTTTGTTTCCTTTTTTTTGTGGCAAAACATATAATCCTTTTTTGATGCTTGCACTTCCTAATTGCTGTTAGTGGCTATTGACAGCAGCAGTTAGGATGACGCTCTTTTTGGGTCCCACTATCGTTTTTGCGGATTACCATAGACCAACCGTAAAGGTTTCAGAAAGAGGTTAAACCACCGTTCCGAGCAGGAATAATATATATATATATATATATATATATATATATATATATATATATCTATGTATAAACTTCCGGGAAATAGTAAAACTATTTGTTAAAGGTTTTTCGGATTGAAGCTCAAGTCTATACTGTAACATGAGGGAAGACTTTAACCGCTGAAAAGAAAGCATCGTTTGTGAAGACCGCTCTCGCCGTATTTACGGCGTCGTTAAATTCTAGGCTCTCCTGAAGCAATAGAACTGCAGAAAAACCAGATTATTTAATCCCAAATGCAAATAACATAGCAGGACTTTGTTTTTGTACCTCTAATCTACAAACTGTAATTGTTTTTACGGCATAAGTTAACATGATAAACAAATAACAAATAAATGTGTTCTAAAAAACCGCGATGTGTGCAGTCGGCACATGGCCAAAAATAGCAGCACGTATCATTTTCATAAGGAAATGAAGGTGTTTTTTTTTCTGTTGGCGTAATAATTCTAAGGTATCCAAGGGCTGCGTCATTGACATTTATGAAGACAAACTTAAAATTATATATACATACACCGATATTTAGATAATCGAATAGAGTAAATGATATAGTTCAAATAAAGATGAACGAGGTTCAACGCTGTAATCATTCGAGTTATGAAAAATATTCGAGCCCCTAGAAAGGCTGTCTCTTAAATTAATAGGATATCATTCAATCATCATACGTATGGGTGACGAAGGCCTTTCGTGGAAACGAATTTCACACTGGCCACACAATAAATAAAAGCGATACAAATCGGCACATTATTATCTTTAGACTTGTATAACAAATAAAAAAACAATGTTATTTAGGTGGTAAGATATACTGCGACGAGCTCTGACAAGTGTCGAGTACTTCTTGAGGCCAAATCCATTATTGAGAAACGCAGCGTTTTATGATCCAGACGAGCGTTAGAGTAACGCACCTATCCAGTAATACGAAAACGATTTCTTTGTTCCTTTCAGGACACTAGCGTCCAGCCATGTCGCTTGTTCTCCCCGCTCTAGCTTATGATCCCACTTCCTGTCATATACAACCTGTTTTTTGTTCTTTCCACGCATAGCAATTGATCGACGTTCAGTCTCTCGACTGGCCCGAAATGGATTGATGCCCGTTGGAGTTAATCACTACCAGTAAGTAGATGTCCGATCTAGTACGCCTACTCGACGCATCAAACGGCCTCTGCTTTTACGTTATTGAGCAAAGGGGTTCTGGTTGATCTAGTGAGCCTAGCAAATTACCTCATGTCAAATTCAGCGGCAGCTCCCATGCATCTTCAAGAACGACGACGATCAAGGTAGGCTTAATGTATGTCCCTGTCGTGAACTACCACTCGTTCAAGCAGCCCATCAAAAGGAGTCTGTTCCGTATTTGCGAGTTTCATTTATCTAGCTTTTTCAGGTCCTCCTCCATCGTGTTGTACGAAACACTCCGGCGATCTCTACCGACTCGACCCTTACTGACTAAACAGCCAGTAACCAAAATGCGTTAAAATTTTATAAATAGCCTTTCAGTGCATCTTGGTCGTCAAGCTTTTCCATCAAGGATATAGACAAAATGTATGTAGGCTTGCTTGCAGCCTTTATAGCGATATAGTAAACTGGTGCAGCTTACGTAACGCATGACCTCCCATCGAAAAATCAAATCTTAGTTCTAAATGGGTTTGGGAACTCTTGTACTGAACTGTCCAAACCGAACTTCTCTCGCACTGTGATAGGCCTGAACATGGAACTTCTGTTGATGTCGTTAGTTCGCCGCTCTTATAGAAGACTTCTCTTGAATCGGACATTGTTAACGTCTGCATACAAAGTATGGCCAAACTCGGAGTCAGACACAATCACCATCGTTTCTTTCTTTCGAAGCTGCTGTTTTAGTGAAGAGTCCGTCACCTGACGCAGCCTTGATCGTGAGACGCTAAATCAAGCCTCATGGATAATTTCTATATATTGTTCTTTATGTGACAATACATTAAATCTGGGGTTCGCTGCATTTGCTTTCCGCAGAACCCAAGAGGTGGTCTACTCGACCACTGCGACCCAGCATGTTAATAGCATTTAAACGTTGTCATCAAATCGTTAGCATTCAAAAAGGGACGACACATAGCGCGTACGGTTGCGCATTTGAGAACACCGGCAGCCGACCATAAGTTTTCTATGTTTTACTGCAGGCATTTCTGAACGTATTTCCTCTAAATTTATGATCGGTATCCTGAGTAGTCATGAATATACATAAAAATCCGTAGTAAGACAGCAGACTTTTATAGGCTTATCATGAAGACGCACATTATATGTATTACTCGTCAGATATTCAATTATTCTGACCTGAAAGCTACTGAATTAAAATTAATTTTGCCAACATCCCTCTAGATGGCACTCGTTCGTATCGTGGTGTTTGTATTAACTACAGTTGCGTTGGAAGCACGCTTTTTTTTGCCAGTAACTTGAGTTGACAAACATAACAAACATACTACAAACAAGTAACCAAACAAAATATGCTAAAGAATCGGTCGTTCTCCCCAGTTGCTGCGCCAGACACATTTAATTTAATCTATTGTTTATCGAAAGGCTGTTCGCTCGCCAAGGCCCTCCCCTGCACGTTTATCGTCTCGCTGAAAATTTTTTTTTCGTAGGAAACAATCGAAAATTATCCTTTCTGTTATAAAGCACCTCGTAGCTACATTATTCGATCCGTCCGATCGGAATGCCTGAACGATGTATTCGTCTACAGGGATGTTTCATGTGCTACCAGCTGAAGCTACACACGCAGCCAGCTGAGTCCATTTCAGCCAAATTAGAAGGGAATACCCCGCAGGCGAGGCATCAGTCTGGATGTAGGAACTATTGCTAATGTTTACATGCCTACAAGACGCTGCCAACATGTTTAAGTATTAGCGCCGAACAGCGTCCCACCAAGAGCATCCGCCGCCGTCAGTTATGATCTTGAGGCCACGCAAATAGAATAGCGTCAGCAGGTACAATGCCAGAGTACCAAGCAACACAGATGGTCCTCGAATCGCTGCGCTGGCCCACAGCACTCGACTATGATCGAATTATCACTTCTTGCTCGGCCAGTTATGTTTCTGTCTTCGTCATAAGCAGGATATGTCGCATCAGCGCAGTGGCATAGATAAGAATATGGACTTCTATTTATCGAATCTTAAGGAAACGTTCTTACGTACGAGAAAAGCCATCGACAAAACAAGGATAAAACATATTATACTGTATAACCATGTTCTGTGAAAACTATAGCCAGGTGTTTGTTACCGGCAAGACTATAAAAGGTAGACTCCATAAATAAGTTCAACTAGTTCGTCAAAATGTGCCCCAGATTTTAGACGAAGCGGAACAGATGTCGAACGTCCACACTATCTTGAGACAACACCTCGCGTTTTACTGAAATTGTTCCTAAACTGCGCAATAAACGCTCATTAGCCGACCTTACCTAAGTTCTACTGATAAGAGGGCTTCGTTAGGAGGCGCGCCTCGTTATATACGCAACTGGTGCTTCATACAATAATGAGTGCTTTGAAACTAGCTGATATTTATTCAGCAGCTTCGCGAAAATGGCCTGTCAATTCATTATATATTAGATGATATTGTTCTTATAAAAACTTAGTAGAAGTCACCAAGCTGCTTATTTGGGTGCAGCTTCGATCTCAGATTAACCGTTGAACTTCAGTTTTAGGGCGTTGCGTAGCCTTAAATTACCACTAGCTTTTAAATACTTTGAAACAAAACTAGCCCGTACTTCTCTTTGGAGACCTTCCTATTTCAAAATCAAGCCTGACGATTAATTCACAAACCTTTTTAGGTTCGATACACATAGTGACCATTCGCTAGGTCAAGGTTTGTCCTTAAAAGCAGGTTCCATTGTGTATGTCAATGATTACAAATACTGGTCCTCTGCAGCCTTAAACGAATTGGCTTTCTTCGAATGTTTGTCACTCGTGGAGGTCAAGGTCAGTGGTCCTTCTACACCGCTATTTCAATAAACCCAATGTAATGGCAGCAATCATAGAGGTTTAGGAGGACCTAATTCTGCCCGCGGTTAACCGTCAGCTTTAGATAGATTCGACAGCTCATAGCACATCTTGACCGTGTCACTATTCCTTTGCGCCGCTAGAACTTCGCAAGCAGAGAAATATGCCATAGAAATGAATATTTCACAGCCACTTGCTCTGCGCTAATACAGGGACTTTGGCGGGCTGTAACGAGCACGCGTTCATCTGGTCAGCTTGCCAGCAGACAAAAGCTAGCTGTTTCCTACAACAAACTCGTTACGGCGAGTATCAGGCGCGTCCTTTTTGGAATTGAGCAAACGGTTAGTCACTTGAAGATACCAGCACTTTTTGGCATACACACATATGGACCGAACAGCTCTCAACATGACAATGTCAGTTCGATCCCTTAATACTATCTAGAAAACGTTCGCGTCAGGCAAATGAGTCTGAACGAAACTGTAATTTATATAAATTACGCTGTATATTAAATAAGCATGGCCGTCAGAAACTTCCAACACATCTAAGAGACATTGTTGAACTACCCGAATACAGTCCTAGAAACAAAACATCAAAAAAAGCTATTACTGCTGTAGACCGGTATTTATTTATTCATGAATTTATATATAACGTTTGCATTATCCCAACTTGAGCACGTTTATCTGGTGGGATGTCTTTTATATCGCGCACGGCACACCTTGGCGCCTAGTGGATTTGATTTCAAGTCCGCGCGTGCCGGGTAAGATTCAATTGCCTCCAGAAGCGCCTAACGGATTCCACGACTTTCAGTGCCCTCCGCCGTTGGGGGCGCCTCGGAAAAGTACGCATAAGCTGGCCCACACAATTTGGCCCTCTGACCCGAAGCATGACGTGCTATAGCGGCCGTACCCGTTGTCATTTCTTCCAACAGTGAATCCACCGATCCCTGATCATTGGCGTTGGAAGAAACGTACTTCCCCGCTTTTGTCCGCATAAGTACTGACGTGCTTTAATCTATTTGCTACGGTCCGCAAAATAACCGGCGTATAGCTGTGTAATGTGTGTATGGCTCCGGTAGCTGGTTAGAAACACCAAAGACTCGACTCATTTAGGCGGCACTGGTCCGATCTAGGGCTCCTTCGTTGAAGGTGAACCTAGGAACCTTTTATCCTTCCGTATTATCGCCGCCCATTAAGGGCTTTCTAGTTGATACACTGAGGGTAGTATTTTTGGTAACGGACCTATGGATATATATATATATATATATTACTGGCCATATTACCGTTGTCACGGAAATAGCATTTTCGTGGGTGTGCACTTTGCACTTACCTGGTATATTTTTTTGTCTATTTTACGTTCGGTTTCTTACGTTTCGTTAGGTGCGCCTGGTTGAGACTTCAATTGTAGACCTTAAACACTCATTTATGTAATCTAAACCGCTAATAGCAATATTCCATTAGAAACCGTTTGGTAGTAGGTACTCCTAATGGAATACTCCTGCGAAAATAAATTTTAGCCCATTGCATGAAAGTGGCTATTTTTGTAGTTTAGTCAAATCAGCTATAGCACCAGCCAAGCTAGCAGTCATTGACTGTCTACAGTTTCATGCTACGTTTATAAAGCGTTTGCATGACTTGAGTCCGAGCATGCATTGAAACTGTCTGATCAGCCGGCCTAATTTAAGCCGGGTTACGGATTTCAATCCGTTTCCAGTCGCCCTTAGGGACCTATTTTGGTATCGTGTCATAGTCGTCCTGTGAGCCTGTAGCGCGGGTTTCGTCTCAGGTGCTCCGCAGTGTCAACTTCCCCATACCCCTTTTTCAATCAACCTGTCTGTGTGTTACGTTTAAGCGTTTGCGCATTATTCAGCACATATATATCTATATAAACCTACAGACTCTTACTCGCTTATGAATTTAGATGATATGATAGTTACATCTTATATGTCGATTTTACGTATCAACGTATTTATACTGATCCCTTACATTGTTCTTCCTAGTTGCATTTGCTACGTAAACCGCGTTTCGATGAAGCTGTCTCCAAATATTGGTCGTTATATAGATTTCTCATATTAGTTATATAGGTGTTATTTCATTACCATCGTGCTTTTTAATACACACCCCAGTACCAATATATAGAGAACCGAGCAGAGGCTAGAAAACCTGTAAAAAACTTATATTACAACTGATTTATTCAATGCGACAACTAAAGGCTGCTACGCCTAATCTGTATCTACGCGTTCCGCTGCAATCACCACTCCTGGATGACCCCATCTAAAACTGTGTGCCTACGTACCGAAACAAAAAAAATTTTATATTGAAACAATTAACACGAGTGATCGTGAGCGTCAATTTATTGATCCTAATGTAATTTGCCCATATAAATGTTACATATCATACAGCTGTTTAGCATGACACGGACAAGTAATTGGCCATGTATGTCAACTGCCTCCTAGCGGGCCTGGCAGGAGAATCTAGGGTTTTGGGGCTTTCTTTTTTCACTAACTGACTGTAAGTCGATAGTGATGAATAGCATTGTTAGAGCTGCGAAGTACTCAATTCCTCGTGGAAATTAGGGTTTTAAGCCAACTTTAGCTTTCTCTCAGCTCTATATGCTGCCGCAATAATAGCGATGTTCCGTGCTTTAGCGCACGAGGTAAAAAAGGAAATCGAGTTGGTTATATATTAATATTGGCCGAAAATCTTTTAGGATAACCTTTGTCTAGGTACACTGGATTGTCACATTAGATACAATGCTACAGACGTTATAGAGGAATGAGCCGTAGTAAGCGATTGCCAAATTTTATTCCCTTTCTAAAAGCATTTCTTATCTATTTGATATACGGAAAACGTGCTTATAAAAAATAGGTAATAGCTATACGATCGGTTCCCCTAAATGCAAACTTATAGATACAGAAATGAAGATGTATCGATTTTTTTTTCTTCTTTTTCTCCTTTTTACTTTTATGTTAAAGTTTTTTTAGTCCTTGTGAAAGTCGCTTCGTTCTCCTGACTAAACGTAGCGTGATTTTCAGGCTAGGTCTTGCAATGCGTTCGGAAATGTAGTCTTTGTACAGGCCAAACAGGTGTTCGAAATCTCTGAGCTCCGGTTTATACTTCAAGCAATCCGCTGTTTCAGATATAAACGCAACCCAGTGACACCAAGGGTCTATCCCTAATCAAATATATACGGCAGTACATGTTTTTTCTGCTTGATAAGCGAGTCTATGTACAGCTGTCGTAACCACTAATTGATCAGAGACAATAGAATGAGGACTGGACGTATGACACTCTGAAACATAGTGAATCCACTTACGTGAATTAAATACTATCAATAGAATATGCCCATCATTGGTTACTGGTTAATTTTGAACAATTATATCTGATCCGTCTTTCCGAAATCACTTATCAATATGCGCGATCATCTAGTGATTAATACCTCCGTCTATTTTTAGATCTGGTATCGTTTCCTTTGATCGTTTGCAAGCAAAGAGCATTCAACCTTTAACCCGTCTGTGCGATTGTTGTTGTATTCTGCATAACGCATAAGAGATGCGGTATGGGTCACGTATCCCAAGGCCCAAATTCTGACGAGTAACTTACGCTCATTGCGGGTCAGCGTTTTTTCAACACGCTCAACGCGTCACTCACCTCCGGCATCCAGGTACATGGCTGCAGAACGCCTACCCGGGATTGGCTCTTTGCGCGGCTCCGCGCCGAAGATCGACTTTTGTGGCCCGAATCTCCTCCGCTGCCCCCGTGCATAGTTTTTACATTCCTTGCGCAGATTTAGATACGAAATAACACCAGCGACGACGACCACTCAGAGAAAAACGGCAAAATCTATAGATTTATAGCCACACCGTCTTCGGCACGCATCGAAGCTTATACACGCGTGCACCTTGTTCTTTTTATTCCTCAGACATCACCATGATCCACCATCATCCCGTGCAGGCTCCGAACTCAACCGAAGCCTTTTCTGTGCATAAAGCACCACTACGCCATATGTCCCCTTAGCTTTCGTACGACGATGCAGTAGTTATCGTTACTCCATAAAAATCTCTGCAACGATCGTGACAAGATTACCTATACCTGCAGAGAAGATATCCATTTCGGCTGTTCGAACCCAATGGCGAGTGCACTAAAGAGCAGCAATTCGCTTCTAACAATTTTCACGAAAACCAAATAACTTCAGGCAACAACTGACCGAACAAGAATATCGATCTGGGCCAAACTGCTTTCATCCTGTTTCAGTCGACGGATTATCTAAAGCACACACAAGTGATCGAGCCATTGCTAACAGCAGATAATGTTCTCTCGATCTCTCCGAGGGTTTAGTCCCTTCTGGAGGGTTGCCTTCCCGATCGTTATTGACCAGTCGGACCGCCACGATAGCACGAGCCGTGGTCCCACCAGGGGTTGATGTTGTCGGTGCTTCTGCTGGCTATACCCGTGGCCTGCGTCGGGCGCGGTACTCGTCGATGGCAGCCATGTTGATTTTTGCTTAACACCCACAAACGCCCCGGGCCACAGACCGCAGACTAACAGAGTCGTTGCCATAGGCCAGAACCAGATGTATCGACGCCGATGGCGGCGGTGGCGTCGGCTGCGACGATCAACTTAGCCCGGCCGGTCCGAAACGGCTTCGGCACCTCTTGCAGGTTTCCTCGCGATGCCTACCCTAGGGCGCCCAGGGTAGGTTAGCTAGGTTCGCCAAGCTAGGCTGTCTGGCTCGCTTGATGTCTAAGAACTCTCTGGGTTGCTGCTACCATACTCGCCATCACGGGCCATGCATGTCGTGACCATCTACGATGCTTTGGCGCCGAGCTACTGCCGTTGCTGCTGTTCGGGGCTACACTCAAGCTGCACTGACTACACTATGAAGAAAAGCAGCTACGGCATTGGGAACGGCTTTGACGGTGGCTTGTGTTCGTGCTGGTCCTCCTCGTTGGTTCGGCTCGCTAGCTTATTCAACATTGCGGTCCCTTTGTAGCCCAGTTGGACAGAGTACCATCGTCTCCAGCCCGACCACTGGTAGTCTAGCCCCAGACGGTTTAGCTCGACAAGGCGGGGCCTCGTCCGATACCCAGCCGACGACGGCCTAAACAACGTTAACTTTCCAATAGCCCTTTCATAGACAGTATCAGAGAGTAGCATGGGCCCACGGTACAGATTCACATTGCACACAAACATCACAACGCATCGAACCAGACACGCAGTGTGTCCGACACTCCTTTGGCAGCTGATTATAATGCCCGCGGCAGCGACAGCAGCGTACGCACCAGACAACCAAAAAGGAGGGAAACTGAAAGAGAAAGTTAAGGACAAAAAAGATAACGACGACGATGTCCGTTTATTCCCTAGATCTCTGCCGTCCTGAAACACCCATTCTTACCCATCCACAGGCCAGCGACGCCCTGAGCTGTAACAGGCACATACGAACCGCCACGGCAATCGACCCTCGGCCCTCGTGCCTACTCGGGCTACCACGACTTTGTCAATAGGTAGAGTTCCAGTACAGTTTTGGTGCAGTCTTGACGTCAGAGTTACTGAACCCGCTAAAAAAGAAACGAGACAAGAAGAAATTGAACCTGATACCGACAATCGCATAGAGCAGCAGCTAAGGAAGATTCAGTGGCCGCTCCGAGAACGCTGCCCGATGTACATTCTAGACTAGTTAGGTTCACAATTGCATATGGAGAAACATCGATCAAATTAGTTCCTCGAGCGGATCGAATGCTCTGCAGAGTTGGTAAGATAGATGTGGAACATTTTTAAAGGGCTGGTGAACAGATCGTAGAACAAACGGCCTGAAGCGTCCTGAAGCGAAATGATGGTACTATGTTGCAATCTCAATGCTGCGACGTTTCACATTGCTTCAGAAGAACCACAACTCACATTGTCATGGTGCAGAAAATCAATGGTCGCGGGCGTTATGTTTGCTTACGCTCGCTGCTCCTGTCGTCCGCAACATGTTAATGTTATGATAGACTCGTGCGGCCTATCCCCCTCCGTCAGTGGCCATGCGGCTGGGGCAAGGCGATACTTTGGGATGTTTTTCCTTCGAAAACGTCGTTCTGACTGATTATTAACTATTGGCGCCCTTGAGTTAGCAGCTAGATGACGTAAGCGTTTCAGGGCCACTCAGGGTTTGTTATTAGTTCGTTGGTCCGCTATGTCTCTTTGATCCTCTCGAATTGGTAGCGAAGGTATCAATAACATCGGTAACATTTGCCTCGACACGGCCTAGCGCGGAGTTCGGCCCTGCCACAAACAAAACAGGAATTCAGCTTCACGATAAATTTGTCGTCCTGTCACTGTGTATCGCCCTTTCTCGTTTTTTTTTCGATTACCTGTTGCCTCGGTCCTTCTTACGATTGCGGTAGTATGGTCGATTGCATATATGCGGCGTTTGTATTGTTGCTGGGTAGGCGACTGTTTCCTGATATCCTTAACAGTGGAAATCGTCAGCTGGTTAACAGTGAAAAGATTGACTAATCGATCACTCACTCAACGTTTATTAACTCTTTAGTAAGATACATTTATTATTAAATATATTAATTATCGCCGCAAATGTTGTTTATATATGCGCGGGTTTGGCGGATTCGAACTTGATTTAGCGGCGTGCAGGTACCGCAATAAAATTATTTATATATAGGATTGATAACCGATGAAGATAACAAATGTCCCGTAAAACAACAGAAAGCTTACGAGTAAATCCTTGTATCACTTAATAGTTAGTGTTAGTATTGTTCTCATACGACCTAACCTTTTAAGAGGACTGACACGGGTCCGCGGGTTTTTTTCTATTACATACATTTAACATTAGAAATATCTCCTCTCTCAAAAAATATATTTGGCAAATAACGAACAAACGTTATATACTAAATTTATCGTAATCGTAGACTTTGGAAACAAAGCCTATGTCGTTGCTTGTCTGTCATCACGTGATATCTTAGGCTGAGAAATAATATTTATACTGTTGCTAAGCTGTTTTTTTGAGCGGCGGCGGTTTTTTTGGCCGTTAGCTTTAGTAGAGTTGTACCGGCGCTGTATGTGTCGTCAAATTTCGATGGTGTGCCCGGTGTTCTATTTAATTTTAGGCTTTTTAAAGTTGCACTTAGAGCATTCTTTACGAACTGGAGAAAAAAGCCTCAACTTGAAGCGTCCGCTGCGTATAGACGCCTGTAAAAATTAATGAAACTATATAAAACAGGCTATTTTTTCCTTGTGGAGAAGGAATCACGTCATCTTTGAAATCAATAGCGCGAAAAATCTTCAACAATTTTGGATCTGTTTTATACACGGATGGCATCAAAGCCGATCAAAGTTGTGGGTGAATTTTTACCGTCGAAACTTTGATCTGCACGTCTCTATGAGATAAATAAGTGATCTCTTTAAATATTAGAAGGAACCTCAGCAGGATCATGACAATGCGAGAAAGTCGGTTGATGCAGACGGATTGAGCTGCCTTACCGAGTTCGTTTGGCATAAAACGTTCGCGTAAAACTACGTACTTTAGATGGGATCACAACTTTCATTCGGTTTTTTTTTATCAGGAGCTGTACGTCGTTTCTATGTTTTAGCAGGCTGTCTTGTAATAATGATTATTATTATAGGCTAAAAATAGCCATTTTGATACAAAGCTAAGGATAAGATATTTGTCTCGTAGGAGAGAATAATACGTGGGGGAATAGAAGAACAGTAGCCTTGACGATGACCCCGGCCTGTCCTATATCACTCCCGCGAGTAAACAGTGGTAGTCTTATTTGGAACTACGAAAGCATCGTAGATAATTTCGCTTGGTTATTTTCAACGAACGGACAAAACTATTTTGTCCCACCCAGACCCATATTTATTTAAGTATTCAATACAATGTTGCAGATATCTGGGTCTAAAGATGAGTATGCAAACGTTTAAGGTTTCAGCACGTACTTAATTTAAAAATTACCATGGTCATGTAAATAAGTTCCCCTGCGTATTGCTCAGTCCGGTTCTGACAATTTGATGTTCATCTTCATCGTTATGACTTCGTCCCTACGTGAATATTTTGTCGCCTAACCGCGGTCCAATCAGACAGCCAGTCGCTGAGGAAGCCTCAACGTCATGCCGATATAGCGATATGATTGCGCTGTTATAGCGCAAACGCACCATCAGATCGCTCGTCTATTTCGCTGTTACAAAGCGCCTCACTCATCCCGTTAACTGTGCCCTTCTTTTTCCCACTATAGCTGCTGCTTCGGAAAGAGAGCGAAGTTTACCGATGACGCACCCAGTGTTCTACCGGCCGCACCACCAACAAAACCCAAATCGCTGACGTCTTCTTCGATTGCCCATTTTGCAGTGTACATATGTCAGTAGTATTTATTCTTTTTCTTCGTTACCTTTTCGTCGCCCGGAGTGCAATCGCGGGCGCGAGCGGCCATTGCTGTCTCTCACAGGCAGCACGAGCTGTTGTCATGGGCACCATCGCGGCAGACGGAGTAGATTCCCGCATGATGATAGTGCCTCTGCTGTCGACGCCGCCGTCGCACCGAACCGCCGTTATTGCAGTTTTGTCTGTTTTGTTTGTTGCCTATTGCCGCTGATGCAGCTTGGCTAAAGGCGTCGCTACGACGCCAAAAATGGGAAAGCACAAAACAGTGCCTGAAGAAGGTTCTCGCGCTTTTTTCAAATAAACTTTGTCGCTTTATACTCACCTCTTCTCTTGTGCAAAAGCTACGTTCCCGGCTCTTTTGGTTTTACTTTCGGTCATGGTACGGCAGGTTGCTTCATGACTATTTTCGTGAACCAGGCTGATGCATCGACACGTAACGATAAAGCAGCGTTTGCTTACGCAGAGTTGAAGTCGATCTCTATGTTTTGGTGCACTATGTCTAGCCGCTCGGGCCCTCATCAGCCAGTTTCCACAACAGATGATGACGCGGATATTGATGCTGATGTTTGATCTGGCTGCGGTAGGTATGGTGAGGTGGCAACACAGTTAACAATCGATGAAGAACTGTCGGCTATCTACGATGGGTCTACGTAGATGTGCAATCGGTTTGGCGTGGGCTTCTGTGGTTCGTGAACGTGCAATAGACGTGGGTGATTGGGTTTGCCCCATTGAAATAGTGGAAGTGAATACACAACAAGGACATTACTCGCAGCGCGGCGGCGACAAAAAACCAACTTATTGCCAAAAATAGCCATATTGAAGCTGCTTATAGTCATTTATGATTACCTAAGTTAGTCTAGGACCTGAAATCTTCATGCAATGTATGTTGGCGATATGAACGTGCGTGTATCACTTCTACTAAATTGAAGCTGGGTGTTTGCGGATTTTAACGTTAATCGATGAAATTGCATTAAAGTTATCGGTTAGAAGAGTAAAGTAAGAGAAATCTGAATGGTACAGTTGTGCTGATGAAGTCGCGGTTACCGCAGAAAGTATGATTCAGCTGTTCTCTGCAAATTTCCAAGTATCATTTACGTATTGTATTTTGAGGATTAAGTGTTGAAGGTATGAGAAAATTAGATATTCCTTCTAGCCTGCTTTGGGCCTGCTGGAGTCAACATAACATTGTTAACACATGTCTTCAATGAAACAGTTTCTGTGTCTCAGTACGGAAACCGCAGTGAATCGAAGCAGGAACGAAAGGCAACTTCCTTCCAAAAGTAACTTACCTTAAGCTTGTAGAATGCTGCAAAACAGCTTCATGACAGCCCCCATCCTTGTTAGAGATCCACCTACCTGCCCGCCCCTTTAACTTTAAGTTTAACCCCCTTTAAGTTAGTTCTAACCGCTAAAAAACATCTAAGTCCACATGGCCTTCATGTTGAATCAGAAATTATTCATCCAAAAACAGTAATTTGTTTCAAATCAATGTTCTAAGCAGTTCTCAATCAGCCATCAGTCCACCCTGTTTACATCATACCCGATTTTCACCTTTTCCACTAGAGAACATACATAAACTCGAAATGAAAACACTCGTACACTTTTATACTATTATTAATAAGATATTGCATATTGTATTTGAAGACAAAAACCAATTCAAGCAACAGACAATCCGAGGCATTTGTCTCTTCTTGACCCTTTCGCCCTTTCTATTCATTGTTATCATTAATCAATATTATTTTTCTATGTCCATCAACATCAACTCTTATCCGTAATTGGGAAACGGTTCGGTCCTATGTATGTGCCGTCATCTGTT